GGCAATTGATCCGATCTCTCTCAACGTCCCTCTACTCGCCGATGAGTCCCCTCGATGACCGCAACAGCCTCAGCAAACCGTCCTTTACCTTCCGCCTTTTTTCCTTCTCCTGTCCCACCTTTACCCAATCTGTTTACTCCCATGGCACCTCGGACGCACGCAGTGCTGGAAGAAACAAAAACCATATATCAAAGATTCGACACGAACAAAAAATCAACACTTTAAACGTCCCCGATCCGACGCAATGCTGGCTCTGGACGAGATGAATGCTGCCTTGAGAAAATAACGCCTTGTTTGCTTACTTTTAATTACCGTTGAGAGTGGCCTGCGTCTCGGGGCTCACGGGGCCGGGCTGCTTTGTTCGAAGGGTCAACGAGAAGGGATACTCCTCAGGGTCCTCCTCCTCACTAGATTCATCGTGTTAGCCCTGCCTTGTAGAACTAGGGGAAAAAGTCAAGCTGTGAGATACTTACGGCAGCTTCCAGGCAACGTAATCCTCCGTGCTCAGGCCTTCTCGACCTTCCTGCAGGCTGGCAAAGTCTCCAGGCGTCATCATGCCAGTTCGATCGCGGGGCGAGCCAGGGACCGAGAATGGCCTGGAGATCTTCTGCTCCGGCCCACGGATAAAGTCCTCGAGCTCCTCTTCCTCCTCATCTCCATGGAACGAGTTGGGGTATGCTCGTCGGAGAGCGAGCTGGCGGGCCTTGATGTACTCCATGCCCATGCGCTTCCAGTCAAGCAGGTCACTGAGACGCTCGGTACGGTTCCTCTGGTTGATACGCTGACGCCTGCTCTTGCCACAGTATTCAAACATGAATTGACACAGCTGGTTGACGGAGTCCTCGACGCCCTTCATCCTCCGGTCCACAATGTAGATACCGTAATCACTCGAGTTTTCAATCAGCTCTTCCATGTAACAGCCGAAGCCAGAGAGGTTCGTGGTGATGCTCGGGACACCCATGACCGTGCACTCGGCGGGGGTGTAGCCCCACGGCTCGTAGTATGAAGGGAAGACGCCCATGTGGCAGCCACGCACGAAGTCGTCATAGTCCAGGGGCAGCACGGGGTTGGCCGAGTTCAAGAACTCTGGGTGGAACACGACCTTGACACGGTCCGAGGGGTGGTTGAACAGCTGCACCCGGCGGATCTGGTTGAGGACGGGGTCTTCGCTGTCGTTGAGCATGTTGTGCGTTACAATCGGGGGAAGCCCGTGGCGCTTCATGGCGAAGAGCCGCCGGCGCAAGAGAACGCGATCCTGGCCGGAAATGAGCTCCTTCTCATCCGGCATCGGGTCGCCCTCGTGCCACTTGAGCGACCGCTCAAAGATACGACGGCCGATGGCCTGCTCAATGATCTGGGTAGTGTCCTTCAGAGACTTGATGACAGCCTGACCCTTGAGGGCCTCGACAGTCAGGGACGTGGTCTGAGCAGGCATGATGATGAAGGCAACCACAGTCATCTTGCTGTTGGTTGCCTTGAGTCGGTGGTTGAGGCGTGCAAGGGACTCGATGAACATGTCGACACCCTTATTCCGGAACTCGTAACGGCCAGCAGTGAAGAAGTAGAGTGTGTTTTCAGGCTCAAAGTCGTAGTGGCCGTAGAAGTGACCTCTGACAAAGTCATGGATCTTCTCCTTGGCCTGCTGGTGCAGGTTCTGGAACTCATGAACCGCCGAGAACTTGGTGACATTGAGACCGTTGGGCAAGACGCCGTCGGGCTTTCGCTTCAGGAGATGCTCCGACTCGAAAGCGGTGATGTGAGACACCGTTGTGAAGACGTCGCAGGAATGAGCGGCAGCACGCTCAATGCAATACCGGTGGTAGATGCCGCGCTTTCCTGCCTCGGCATCGACGTCAAAGTATTGGAGATTGTTGTAGAAGTCAACCGAGCCGGCACAGAGATATCGCCCCAAAAGAGTGGCATGAGTCGTGAAGATGGTGGTAACATCAATCCGTCTCTTCTTTGTCAGGGGCAGAGCAACACCGGCCAGCCACTCGTGGAAGTGAGCAATGACGGCCTTTTCCTTTTCATGGCATACAAACTACTTGCGTGTTAACGACAGCCAATCAAACGCTGAAGCCCAACGACAAGGCTCAACAAGAAAGGTTGGGATGGGCAAGAGACAGCTTACCTCTCCCAAAAACCACGCCACCAAATAGCCAAAGACAACAGCCTCATTGGTCTCTTCGTCATCGGGTGGAGATGGGATGCTGGCTACTGACCAAAGGTCCGACTTCCACTCATTGACGTAGTTGTAGGCTGTCTTGGTGTCGATGAGAAGAACGCGAGGGGCTCCCTCAATGAGCCATCGGCCGTACAGCATGCCAATTCCGCGATCCTTCATGGTCTGCATGGTGGCGGCCAGCTCCTTATTGGTGGGCTCCATTTCTTCAACCTCGACTGCGGCCTATTTCTCGTCAGTTGGTGCCCAATTTTGAGCCATTAATTTAATTCTGGCAAAGGTACATAGGGGGCGCACCGATTGGTGGTTGAGGGGACCGATAAGCGTGTAGCGATCGCCATATTCAGCCGTGGTGACAGGCGCCTTGGACTTGAGAACCGAGTAGATACCACCGACTGTTCAACCAACAACCAGGTTAGCGTTTGTGACATTTGTCTTGTTCTGCCCGAGAAATTGGGCAGAAACGAGCACTGCGACGACGGGTGACATAATCGCAGGGGGGAATCGGGGGCAGGACTCGCCTCGATGAGCTACTTCGGTAGCAATCTCAAAGAGAAGGTGGTTCTTGATATCACGAACCGGGTGTCCGTCGGCCATTGCGTCGATCTGGACTGCGAAAAGTCGGGGCGAGTTTGTTGTTGACCTTTGGTGAGAGCTCCGGCGAAAAGGCCTGTGCCACGGGCCGACTGACCAGATGACGTAGGTATTAGGGCTGCGCGAGCGCCGCACAAGAGGAACAAGCTGGGGGTTTGTGAGCGCAAGTTCTCGTAAAAGCCAGGAGAAGGGGAAGAAGCAAACTGGCGATGTCTGCGACTACCAAGAGCAGAAAAGCAGAGAGGCAAGCTTTTTGCTTGGTTGGGCCGAACTTCGGTGCGAGATATTGTGGTGTGATGGTTACCTTTGAACTAAGAGCTCCGGCTGAAGGTGGCGTTGCTTTTAAGACCTGGGGAGTCCTGTCTGCTGTAGCAGGTGACGAGCGAGCGCGGGCAGCGAGGCAAACAATGGCGAGGCGCGTGAAGCAGCGAGAGGGGCTCTGCAAGGCGAGAGGACAGCTGGATCGGAGTCTGAGGCCTTGGGATGAGCAGGAGAGGAAGAAATAGAATCAGGCCGAGAGGGGGAGAAGAAACTTGATGAGGGACTTGGACTGAAGCTTTGGAGGGGTGCTACAGAGAAAGTGGGGACCTCTCGAGGGCGGTGGGTCTGGGGTTGGCGGATAGCGCACTGCTAGTCCACAGGGCCAAACCACTAACAGCCGTGACCTGACGATGCCCGCCTGAGTGTTCATGTACGAAGCGACAGTACATGTACGCGATTAAATCTGCAGGCTGTTGATGCATGCGGATCAGCGGGAGAAGGCATCTGGGTTCTGGAATTGGGCAATTGGGCGCTGCCGGCTTACCTAAGGTCGGGCAGGAGCTGTGTTGTGCTTTGATGCCCTATTCTGCGCGACTACCTGATGCCTCCTACCCGCCTAGGTAGGTAGGCGTCTTTGGGCATCTTTCGACTATGAGGTATCGGCCCTTGTTCTCAGCCTCGGTGGCTCCCCCGAAAATACGAGTACAATGAACCAAGTTTTCAGATATGGAGCGCCAGGTATCGCCGCATTTCGCCGTTACTAACACCAGGTCTGCCTGCCTCCACCGTCCCGCTCAGGCAAAAAAACTTCCAAGGTTGTTGTTGCACGGTTCCTTGTCTAGGCGTGGCCGCCACGCCGCGCAGCGCCTCTCAGCTTCATCCCACCGCAACCCAGAGCCGCTGACGTGCCGCCTCCTCCTGTCACAGCAGACGGTTTCACGTCCCTGCATAACAAACGGCCGTCTCTCCAAACCAGCGGGTCGAGGCAAGCCAACCGGTGGGCAAGGTGAGGTGGTGAGGTACCAGACTGGCCTCGTGCACTACCTGCCTAGCAAGTGTGGGGATGACGCCATGGATTGCGGGGGAGCTGAGCGGGCGTTGGAGAGCAGAGATGCGGATTGGCTGGTGTTTTGCGTCTGGACGGCATCTCCCATGGCATCTCGTCGTGCCTCTGCCATGAGTCTTCCAATGGGAGAATGACAGAGCGGCCATTGCCCGAACTTGCATGTGTCGTTGCTGCAGCGCTCCGCACCCAGGCGCTGCGGCTGGGGATTGCAGCTTGGGTAGTATCCCATGCTCAATTGCACGGCAGTGACGCCGATACGCCTCGAATTGGCAAGGAATCACAAGGGTATCAGGCGATTCTTACACCCGAATCACGATCTTGACGATCTTGGCTTTGATTTACGGTTGAAAATCCGGGGATGACGTACAATGCCTATCAACGACGCTCCGGGATCGTGTTGGCCAGTTGTGTGTTTGCTGTCCATTCCACCTTGAGTAGGGATTGCATCGATCATGACCACATGACTAAGAACTCGGAAAGGTGATCTGGGAGTGGTAAATCGATCTGTCATTCCCCAGATTATTTACTTTCTGACCAGTGTCAGCAGTCCATCTTTTCTTTTGCTGTGTCGTTGCCATCAGCTTTAGATCATCAATTGGACGGTCTAGATGCAGCTTAGCGTGCATTAGGCCGCTGGCTCAGCCTTGTGCAACAGCGCTTTTGATTGGATGTACGTTTCTGCCCTGCGCCCCACAGTAGGTCCACTACATGCAAGGCTGCGCCGTCCGTCCAAAATTTTTTGGATTCTCTTCTAGCCTACAACCAGCTCATTGTCAGCAACTCGCACCAACCACAGCGAAACCTCCGCGAGTGCCATTCTCCCTTGGCCAAGGACTACCTGAACACTCGAATTGAATCATCTCCAGAACGAATTATAGCACTTCTTCTTCTGCCGCAATGGACACCTCATCTGCTCAGGTGAAGGTCGTCTTCACCACGGACGAGCCAGACCTTGTCCTCCCAGAGTCCAAGAGACAACTGCTCGTGCCAGCAGGTTGGTACCCCTGCCTCTTTCCCTTCATCCTTTTCCTGTCCACGGTCATCACTGGGAGAGAATTGCTAACATTACGCAGACATCAAGCGCTATGGCCTCTCCCGTATCTTAAACTCCGAGTCGATGCTGGATACTTCATCGCCCGTCCCTCTCGATTTCCTCGCCAACGGCACTTTTTTGAAAACCAGCATCGAAGAATACCTCAAGTCGAACGGCCTGTCCGCAGAGACAACGTTGACCCTGCATTACGTCCGCAGTCTTTTGCCCCCAGTCTACGAAGCCAGCTTTGAGCACGACGACTGGGTCAGCGGCGTCGACGTCTTGTCGTCAACTTCTCCCGCCGGCCTGCTTGCCGGGGGTGCCACCGTAAACGACCGCGTGGCCAGTTCCTCCTATGACGGGCTTGTGAGGATCTGGAACCCGTCCGGAACGGCGATTGCCGTTTCTGCCGGCGGTAAAGGCGAAGGACACACTCAGCGCATCAACGCCGTGCGATGGCTGTCACCGACCCAGCTGGCGTCGGCCGGCCTGGATCGCAAAGTCGTCGTGTGGGACTACAAGGAGGCGGACGATGGCTTCTCCGGCACCCTCAAGCCCAACATGGAGCTCTGGGGCCACGAGAAGAACATCCACAGCATCGACGTCAACGGTTCCACCCGGCGCATCCTGACTGCCTCGTCGGACGGCCGAGTCGGCTTGTGGTCCGCCTCCAAACGCACGGCCCCCCAGGCCGACCCCGAATCCCTCCCCTCGGCGCACAGCACCAAGCGTGCCAAGCTGTCCAACGCCGGGTCGACCGCTCAGCGCGGGCCCCTGGCCATGATCCCCCTGCACGACGAGGCCGTCACGGCCGCCATCTTCCACCCCAAGGACTCGACCGTCGCGTACTCGGCGTCCCTGGACCACACACTCAAGACCATCGACCTCACCACGCAGCGGGAAGTCTCCCGCCTGACCACCATGCACCCCATCCTCTGCGCGGCCGCCCTGCCCGGCACGTCGCTCGTGGCCGCCGGCTCCTCGGCGAGGCACATCACCCTCCTCGACCCCAGGGAGTCCGCCGCCGCCACCGCCGCCATGACCCTCCGCGGGCACGTCAACATGGTCGTCTCCGTGGCCCCCAGCCCGGAACAACGACTACTCGCTCGTTTCCGGCTCGCACGACAGCACGTGCCGCGTGTGGGATCTGCGCAGCGTCCGACCCGCTTCGTCCGAGGAGGGCGGCGGCAGCGTCAGCGAGCCCGTCTATACTATTGGCAGGGAGTGGCTCAAGGGCAAGAAGCTGCCGCCTGCGGGAGACGGCGCCAAGGTGCTGAGCGTGGTGTGGGACAAGACGTGGGGAATCGTCAGCGGAGGAGAGGACAAGAAGGTTCAGATCAACCGGGGCAAGGGGTTGCTGGCATCATAGAAGGCTTGTTTTACTTGAAAAGGAGGAAGAATAGAAAACATAAAACTGTCCCATGTTTGCATATACCAAAAGGCTACCGTACTAATTATACAACGCGTTATGTTCTAATCGCTCAAAAGTCCCATGTCTCCATGCTTCATGTTGTGTCTCCCCCCTCTGCCCCCTCTGTCTGCTGCCCATTCCCCATCTTTTCTTGCCCCTCTGCCTGCTGTTCTTTCATCATCTTCTCTACCGCCTCCGTACATTCCCTTACCAGAGTCGAATACTTGTACATGTAGGGCTTCGTAAGATCTATATACGACATGACCTCTTTATGCAATCTGATCGCAGGATAAGGCAGTTTCTCAGCCTGTATGGCATCTACAACGTAGCTCGCGACAGTGGTCGTCAGTAACGGTGGGTCTCGTAGGAGCGCCGCGATATCGGCAGGGCAAAGGTCTTCATTCCGATGCCAGATGTAGTACGCTCTGAGACGGACAGCGGTTGTCTCCAGCTTGGTTCCTTTGGATGAGCGATACTCGCGCATTCGGACTTCGGCTTCAATGATCCGCGCGTCTCGTGTGTCTACAAACGGCGGTTTAGCCGCTGAAGGTTCGGTAGCCGCGTCTCCCGTCGCTGCTGTTTCTGAGGCTGCAACATCTGATGTTGAAGCCTTTAACGATGCAGCTCTGCGCCTGGGAGCTCTCGGCTTATAAGGTCTGCGTCTTGAAGTGGGTGCAGCTGCGTCTCTAGGAGTTGTTGTTGAAGGATCCGTTGTCATTGCATCTCCCTCTGCTTGAGCCTCAACAACCGGAGGCTCAGGAAGGGGGATGGGTAGCCGCAGTTCCGCATGGTGCGGCCTTGGAGGGCAAGGCACTATTGCCTTTCGTTTTTCTTCGAGCACGTAGTAGAGCTGAAGGCCTGCATAAGCATCCGACGCGGAATCTGCAACTTATCAGCCAAATGTATCCAACAGCCATCTGCTTAGGCAGAGACAGTAGTCTTACAGTGAATCTGTTGAGGGTTGAGCCGTCTCATCCAATTGCCCGTTCGAACAACGTGACCCTTGTATAGAGGGAGCAGGAGGTGGTCCTCGACTTGAGTAGCCAACGACACCAGCCCCTTGTTGACCATGTAAGGCTTCTCTGGAAGATACTTGACAACCTTGTAGAGATGGCTTAGCTCAAAGACGCCACGAACAGTGACGCCGAGGTAGTTTTTGAGGCGAGTGCAATCTCCGCCGATGTTGACGCCGACCTTGGTCACGTTAGGATTCTCCAAGATCTTGCGCAACGACGGACCAACAAGGTCGCCTTCCTCTGTTGGAAATAATGCCACATGGATCAGGGCAATACGGCTAGGACTTGCAATCTGGATGAGAGAGACGTTCTGCCGCGGCCCGTCCGTACGCGATGCGTACTGCATCCACTCCAGGTCGAAGCCGAGGACATCTTCGTTGAGGAAATACTCCTTGCAGACACGCTCTGCCGTGGCTTTACTTTCGCAGTAATGAACCTTGACATTATCCACGGCGCCATTCTCACCGGCGCGATGGTACATTGTATGTGACCAGTGAGACTGAGAGGTGCCAGGAACGGCGGCACGAGCCGCGAGAAATTCTTCTTTGGAGATGCTGAACTCTAGCGGCGTCGACGGTGGCTCGACAACTGCCCTTGCTTCGGCATCAGCACCGGCATCAGCATCTGCACCTGCACCACTAGCAGCGCCGGCGACAGGAGCGGCGATGCTCGCTCCTAGGCTGGCTGCTAGACTCTGCCCGGGGAGACCGATGTGCGGTTGACCAAAACCGCTTGAAGGCAGCGCATCTGTGCCAGTGCCAGCTGCGGTGATGCTCTCCCCTGATATGACGGCGACATGGTGTGGCTCGGCAAACGGATTGAGCGGCCTATCAACATCTCTTGAGCGTGGTTGCACTGGCGGCGCTGGGTCATGGACGCGGAACGGATCCGGATTTACAGGGCCGTCGGCGCGCCCCTCCTCGCCGCCCGTCAGGGCCGAAGTGTGAAGCCCCGAGGCAACGGTCGTCGTCGGCAGAGTCGCAAGCGCTCCAAAGCGCACGCCGAGCTGCGAGCTCCATAGCTGGCTGGTGTGGTTGAAGTTGAAGCTCATGTTGCTCGTCGCTGCTCTGGCCAGGGCGCCTCTGCAAGAACCCAGGACGGGAGCAAACAGGCATGAATGCATGCTCCGCGCGGGCTGGACGAGGACTGGCGTTAAGTACCCGACCTGTACTCGCATAGGCAGAGCTGGTCCGCGGCTTGGAGCAGCACCTGAGCAACGCCTCGTTCGTTACAGGTACAGCAGCTTGCAGGCAGTATCGCGGGCCAGGCCATTAGGATCGCGCCGTGGGCAGCAGGGACGCCAGAAGGGGCTTGAGGGAACGGGGGAGCTGAGGATGCGGGCGAGGGTGATTGGCCGCTGAGGCAGCCATCATGTATCAGCGCGCTTAGTTGCAGAAAACAAGAGCATGGGGATGGAGGGATGGAGGGATGAGTGCAGATGCGACTGCGGAGGACGGACGGCGCAGCTGTGCAACGGCCCTTAGTCAGCATCGCGAGGTTGTGCTGTCCTGCCGTGTGGGGACCAGGCGCTGTTTTGCCTTGTCCTGCCTCTGCCCAATTTAGCGCCACCAGCCCACCAGATTCGAGCTGGGAATGACTTCAACCAAGAGAGTGTGAGCCTGCGCCAGATCCTTGTTCTACCGGCTTTTGTTCCGCGGTAAATATTCCCTTCGCCAGATATCCAACTGTGGAAAGATTACATCCGCCACGTCGCAGAGGCAACAGGCGAAAGAAACCCCTTCAGGCCAGGTCAAGATGGCGTCACAACTGCTACCCCTCGGTGAGTCCTGAGCAGTCGCTGACTGAACCTCATGCTCCTCCAGCTCTGGCTTGACACTCTGACACGCCGCTCCAGAACTCATTGACAAGTGTGTCGGATCAAGGATATGGGTCATCATGAAGGGAGACAAAGGTACCAAGGCCCGGCATTGTCCTGTCACTGTACCGTGTGGATATTAACACCTAAGCCAGAGTTCAGCGGCACGCTCCTGGGGTTCGATGACTACGTCAGTAAGTATACGGATGCACATGAACCATCACGAAACTGTCTCCTAACTAGAGTATAGACATGGTGCTGGAGGATGTGACGGAGTTGTGAGTCTTCATCGTAATTTGCTCTGAATCCAAGGGCCAAAGCTGACTTTTCACTCTTCTCTTCCCCCCGTCAAGCGATTACTCCGGAAACCACACAAAGCTCCCCAAAATTTTGCTCAACGGCAACAATATCTGCATGGTATAGCCTTCTCCCCCTCTCCTACTCGGAAATGTGTCGAATAGGCTGACACAACCCCGTAGTTGATTCCAGGAGGAGAAGGGCCAGTCGGTGCCACCGCTTGAGGGAATCTACAGCCTTACGCATATCTTCAGTGCCTGCCGGCTCACTATGAAAAGGGGCACGCTTCTACGGCATATTTTATGCATGTGGCTCACATCCTGTGAACAGGACTACCATGATCCGGCGACAGTGGAAGAAATATTCTATAAATTGTTGGAATCTATCCAGTCTCGAGACTGGTTCGCGTTATCCCCAATATGCATACTGTCAGTTTTAAAAAGAAAGCAAAATAACGAAATTCATTTTCCGCGGCCCAAACGAAGCCGAAAACAAAAGCCAGATTCCCCGTTCCCATAACGCCTTCCTGTAAGACGGCTTCGTGAAATGCTCAAAGACCATTAGATGGCATATTCCCTTGGTCTCCGGTGTTGGTGATACGTCTCAGCTCCCACTCGCGAGTGAACTCCTGATACAACATCTCGAGCTGGTTGATGAGCTTTTCGCACACTGACGTAAAGACGTCGCGAGGAGAAATGGTCCCGTCTGTTTGGACGCGGATGTAAAGCTCGGGGACATTAGGATGAGCAACTGTTGTATCCTGGTTAGCCTTCACATCATCGTATCAGCCGAGACCGATACCTACTCTTGTATCCGGCCATCCAGACGTTGGGGTGCGCCTTGAGATGCTCGGCGAGCAGGTTGCCCAGAGTGTGGTCTTCCTTCTTCAGTAAGAAATCTGAAGTGTTGGACATGCCTGCGAAGTAGAGGATAAGTACTTGAGTTGACCCGAAACTTTAACGGCAGCCACTCACCAGAATAGACCTTCTCCTCAATCTTCTTCTCGCCTTCGGCGAGCAAAAAGAGCTCGAAACTGACCCAAGGTTAGCCCAGTGCCCATGACGAGGGTCGAAGCTGGTCAGAGTAAGGAAAGACGCAACGGATGGTCCTGGAGGTTGTCATGCTTCGTGTTGCAACCCGACATTTTTGCTGAAGTCAAGGCGAATAATAGATAACAGGAAGTGATTGATGTTGGTGAAGAAGATAATGAAGCGTGCTGAATGATGGAAAGAGAAGCAGAGGTGAGTCTCTGGCACGGACGGCATCCAGGCAGCTGCCGAATCTTCCAGCTGCCAGCTCATGTGCCGTTGTTTGCGGCTCTGGGGAGACGGCAGGTGCAGACTGAGATGGTTGCTGATTGCGCACTTGCATAGACCAGCAGGCCATCGACAAACAGAAGCACATCATCAGCAAGAGCCGCGCAATTGCTCCAATGGAAGCCCAGGAAGAAGCGATGTTTCAATGCCTTGCTCTTGCCTTGGATATCTGCAGTCACGCACGATGGCTCCCGGCTTCAGGCGAGGCTTGGCGACATCACGGGAGATCGACCGGAACATCAGGTGATGAAGCATGACGGCAACAGAAGAAAATTCAGCAATTAAATCAAATACGTACCGGTCCGGTGCGTTCATCTTGGTGGGATGTCGGAGTTTGGCCGTGAAATCTTGATGGTTTGCTCAGAACGACGCGTTGACGGAAGGCTCGACGGAGGCTGCACGGCCAGGGGATACCGGCAAATCGGCGGCGAAAAGACAACTAAGAATGTAAGAGGAAACCGGCTTTATAGGGAATCGTTGATGCCAAATCGTCTCTGTCTGCCTGAGGACTGTGGTTCCGATACAAGACTGGTTCACAAGGGTTCTGATGGCATCCTCGGTCAAGGGTGATATGGATATTGAATGGTTTGACAGCGAGGCGATTCGGAGGCTGGGCGGCGAGGTTGATTTCACAGGCACATCGGCTAAAGGCCGGATGCAGATTAAGTTTAGCATGCGCAGCGTTTGACGTCGGCGTTGATCCTGAACCGAGAGGCGCAAAGTTAACCAAGCCGGTAATGGAAGAATGAATTACTCGGCAGTAAAAATGATGGATTATTTTCAGATACGCATCAAGAAGCTTCGGCCTTGAATATGATCGGAGTGCTTGATAGATTGAGTCGTTGAAACTTAATCGCTGGAAGATCTAGTGGCATTCCATATCTTACTGTACCGGACCCAGGCACTCCCTTATCCCTAAACAGGTCCAGCGATAACTGAACTCCGTACCGCCGCTTCCACTCCGACTTTTTTTGTCTTTTATTCCAAAGTCACATACTTACGAGGCCAATGCCGCGAATTCCGCCATGGCTCTTTCGCAGGGCCAATCGTCGCTCACCCAACCTCGCTGCACTGCTGCCAGCTTGCAGAAACCTTCAATCTGCCGTGAATGAGCTGCGATGGCTCCAAGAGCATGTCAACGGCACCACGCGCACCAACAAAGAGGACCTGCTCGCCAGACTGTGTAGAAAAAGAGGGCAAGGCTATCCTTTGCAGTACATTTTGGGATCTCAGCCGTTTGGGCCCCTTGATATCAAATGTCGCCCTGGCGTCTTGATTCCCAGACCCGAGACCGAGGCGTACACCTATCATCTTGCTGACCTTATCAAGGCTGGGGGCTTGAGGGTCGATGCATCGGACCAGGGTCTCGGAATCGTCGACTTCTGTACGGGCACGGGCTGCATACCTCTACTCCTCTATTCTTTGCTCTCCAGACGATTCGACCGCTTAGAGGTTCTAGGAGTAGATGTCTCTTCACAAGCGGTCAGCCTGTCTAGAGCCAATATAGCTCACAATGCCAGGCTTGGGCATCTCTCAGATATGCGACCAAACCACACTATCAGTATCTTACAAGCGGACATCTTTCAGGACCAAGTTATAGACAAGCTCCGAGAACGCACCTGGGATGTGATGGTATCTAATCCGCCCTACATTTCCCGGCGAGCGTGGCGCTATGGAGGCGGCCAGATTGGACACTCGGTTCGCAAGTATGAGCCGTCCCTGGCCTTGGTCCCAGGAGATGATATTTTCGTCCCCGCACATTGGGAGCACGAGGATGTCTTCTATGCCAGATTATTGGACATCGCATACAGACTCAAGCCAAAAGCGATGCTGTTAGAGATTGGTGATGAGATGCAGGCGGTTCGTGTTATATCACGATTCTCTCAGCACAAACTCTCCATGGATTCGCACATAGTGATATGGCGAGATTGGCCGGACCTAACGCCAGGACATGACGAAGGCTTTTCGCTGGAAACAACAACGGTTGATGGACGCAGCCAAACAGTCCTCGCCAAAGGCAGCGGGAACATACGTTCCATCTTCGTTACACTTGGCTCCTGATAGCATTGCTCATTCGCCAAAACCGTATTCTCTTTCCATTTGTTGGCCTTTTATTTGACTTTCAAGGGACGAATGACCAGCATACCATTACTTTCATAATCAGTAATAGAAAAGAAACATAAACACAATGGATTCTATGACAGCACGACTTTGGTGGCAAGATATCAGAGGAGCGGATTTTCTCTTACCTAGGCGGAAGCCCGATGCTCCGAGGCTACCCTGCATCGCGCCGAATTCCGGCACGTGACTCCGTACAAATTTCGGGGTTAGAGTGGGTTCGCCTGCCGGCAGGCTTCAATCTCGTGGTGTCATCTGGAACAGCTTAGAACTCTCAAGTCTGCAAGAGGCGCCGACACATTGCTCGCGATTCACACTCAGCGCATGGTCTGTTCTGAGGTACACTGAACTCAGAGACATCAAGCGCAATCCAGCGCAGCGAGTGAGACAAGCTTGCGCCGCTGTCGCTTGCCATCAACCCGGCGGATCCGCCGCAAGCCAGAAACCGCCGCCCGCCACCATGTCAAGATATCTTCGTCAGTCGGGCCAGCTCGCGCGGCTGGCGAGGTTCTCAAATAGCGTGAGCTTACAGAGGACACAGAGGCTCGTCGCCCGCTCCAGCGCAGTCTCCATTCGAGCGCTGCCGACGCCCTACGGCATCGCCCCGCGATTCTACTCGTCCAAACCCCCGCATCCCGACAGCAAAAACTCCGGTCCAGAGAAGCCGAACGACAACAACAACAATGACGCAAAGCCAGAGTCAGACAAGATTCCTCTGCCGCCTCTACCAGAGGGCTGGATTCGTCTCACCAAGGAGGAGATCTCTCAGCTACAATCGTTCCAAGAGCTGCTCCCCGAAGGCCAGAGGCAGACCCTGAAAGACGTCCTGGTGGGGCTTCAGCATACCGGCGCACCGGCCGAGGCTCGCGAGCTGCTACGCAAGATGCGCCAGGGACCCGGCAACTTGTCGATCATGGATAAGGGCAGACTCATGCGATGCGTCTTCGTCATGGCCGAGCGAGTGGCCGAGTGGGAAATCGAACAGCAGCAGCAGGGAAAGCGAGGCATGTTTGACCAGAACAGCCCTGAGATGAGCGATCACAAGGATGGAGAGAAGGGAGAAGATGCTGGCCGATCTCACAAGGCGTCCGACGAGTCACAGTCAAATCAGCAAGGTTCTGGAGGTAAATCACCCAAACCGGAAAGAAATGGTTGGATGGATGCTCTTCAGACTGGTCTCGTTCTTGGTATCACGCTTTGGGCAATCGAATCGTTCAGCAGACCCTTCTCGGAGAAGGAGATCACCTGGCAAGAGCTGCGCAAGGCCTTTTTGGATAAGGGCCTCGTGCAAAAGCTGGTGGTGGTCAACGGGTCTCAAGTGCGTGTGGAACTGCATCCCGATGCCGTCCAGGGAGCGGCCGATGGGTCCGGCGCCAGAAGGACGTATGTCTTCTCAATTGGATCGGTTGAATCCTTTGAGAAGAAGCTGGAAGAAGCCCAAGATCAGCTGGGTATCCCCCCGTCGGAGAGAATACCTGTCAGCTATGAATCAGGCGGCAGCACTCTCGGCAATCTGGTTCTCGCATTCGGACCTACTCTTCTCTTCATCGGTTTGATCTTGTGGACGCAGAGGTCCATGGGTGGACGAGCAGGAGGTGCCGGAGGCATGTTCAACTTTGGGAAAAGCAAGGCCAAGAAGTTCAACGCCGAAAGCGCTGTCAAGGTCAAGTTCAGCGACGTTGCTGGCCTGGAGGAGGCCAAGACGGAGATCATGGAGTTTGTTAGCTTCCTGAAGCAGCCCGAGAAGTTTGAGAAGCTGGGTGCCAAAATTCCTCGCGGTGCCATTCTCGCCGGCCCTCCAGGAACAGGAAAGACGCTTCTTGCCAAGGCCACTGCTGGAGAGTCTGGCGTGCCTTTCTTCAGCGTGAGCGGATCTGAGTTCGTGGAGATGTTTGTCGGCGTGGGTCCTTCTCGTGTGCGAGACTTGTTCGCGGAAGGTCGGAAGAACGCTCCTTGCATCATTTTCATCGACGAAATCGATGCCATTGGTCGTGCTCGAATGGACAGCGGCCGTGGATTTGGTGGAAACGACGAGCGAGAGGCTACGCTTAACCAGATTCTGACGGAAATGGATGGCTTCAACACGCGGGAGCAGGTCGTCGTCTTGGCTGGCACCAACCGTGCCGATATACTTGACAAGGCTCTGATGCGTCCTGGCCGTTTCGATCGGCACATCTACATTGACCGACCTACCATGAAGGGACGACAGGAGATCTTTCAGGTTTACCTCAAGAAGATTGTCACCAAGGAAGACCACGAATACCTCGTTGGCCGACTTGCCACCCTGACCCCTGGCTTCTCCGGTGCAGACATTTCCAACGTCGTGAACGAAGCAGCTCTGATTGGTAAGTATCCTACAACACTACACATAACCTGGCGCCTGGGGAGTTCTGTGGACTAACAAATTGAACAGCCGCGAGAGAGAATGCAGACGACGTCAAGATGACGCATTTCGAGCGCGCCATTGAGCGTGTCATCGGAGGCTTGGAGCGCAAGTCGCTGGTTCTCAGGCCAGAGGAAAAGAAAACGGTAGCTTATCACGAGGCTGGACATGCCATCTGCGGTTGGTTCCTGAAGCACGCAGACCCTCTGCTGAAGGTCTCCATCATCCCCCGTGGCCAGGGTGCCCTGGGCTATGCGCAATACCTGCCCCAGGATGCTTACCTGATGAACACCAACCAACTGATGGACCGCATGGCCATGACCATGGGAGGTCGTGTGTCTGAAGAGCTCCACTTCCCCACGGTGACGACCGGTGCCAGCGATGACTTCAAGAAGGTCTCGCAAATGGCACGCAGCATGGTCACACAATGGGGCATGTCAGAGAAGGTGGGACCTGTGCACTTTGACAATGACCCGAACCGCATGGTGAAGCCATTTGCCGAGGCTACGGCCCAGCAGATTGACCAAGAGGTGCATCGGATCGTGGAAGAGGCCTACGCCCGGTGTCGAAACCTCTTGGTGGAGAAGAAGAAGGAAGTCGGGCTGATTGCCGAGGAGCTCCTGAAGAAGGAGGTGCTCTCGCGCGACGACATGGTCCGAATTCTCGGCAAGCGACCGTTCGACGACAACGAAGACTTCGAGAAGTTCTTTGGGGGCAAAGAGGCAAGCTCTCCACCTCCTTTCCCTACCGAGACCGACACCCCGAAGGAGGATCCTCCTGCTCCCGCGCCAGCCTTTCGGGAGTTGCCAGACGACGGAAAGAGGTGATGGTGATGTTATGTAATAGGTGTGTTGGACCATGTACAACTGCAAAGAAACCAAGGACGGGAAGCTCAGGTCGAATAATCAGGGGCGGAGATGCTGGAAGTCGTGGAGAACGACGCATGGGGGAATAAGGGGAACTGCCGGGAACTTGATGACACGCCCGGATTGGCTGCCGCAGGACGTGGTTGAAGGTGGCAGCCCGTGTTTATTTTTTACGAGTCTCAACTCTACCAGGAGCACGGGGGATGCTGAATCTCCTCTGCATGTATTTACTTATCATCATATTGGCGTGGGCAGGGAAAAGGGGGGGCAGGGGCTATTGAACTTTACTATGTACTCGTATCTGGATTTAGAACTCTAGACGTCTCAGTGGGACCAGGAAATCAAAGTAGAAGGGCGTCTTCCGCTCAAAATGAACAAGAGTATGTGATATAAAGTTTGATGGAGACAGTGATGTTATTGACGGGCTTACACATGGTCAAGTAATACTTACTACAGAGTGCGGGCAATGAGAAACCTCGGCACGTCCAGATATCTGATGGAACACACTCAGTATCGGCTTGAATCTACACATGCAGGTGAAACATAATAGACATATGCATCGTTCGTATTATATCCGCTTTCCAATGCTTTGCAATGATGATTGCTTGTGATAACCCTTCCGAGTTGTCGTTGTCTGACGTCTGCGGAGTTGTACTCCGTAAGGGACGTTGAGGAAAAAGCCCCGGATCGAACATGATTGGCTGGTAAAGTTCCTTCCGCTGCAGCACGCTAAAACCGCCAAATGGAACCTTCTAAACGGTTTGTGGCGATGGCCACCTGAAAATGTATAAAGAAATCCAACAAAATAATTAGATTTTACTCGCGTATCGTGCGTTTTGTTTGGCGATTTGTGCGATGTAGAGGCCCTGTTCAAAGTTGAGGCTCTTTATACGTACTGGTTACTTTCGTGTCCTGTTACGGTGGACTTTCACTGTTAGTGCCGTGTTTGGTGTTAGACGGCTTATATGTGTTGTCACTCCCTCTTCTGCCGAGACGGTTACACAACAGGTGGGAAAGTTCCGCGCAGCAAATGGATTTGTTGTGAGACTTTGCGATTTTTTAATGAATGCTGGTTGGTGGTGAAGGTTCTCTTGGCATCGTAACAATCAAATGCCCGATTCCAAATGTTTCGGTTGGAAAAGGCTGTGAGCTGGTCCGGGATGGCTGGCCGCTCAATTTAGCCACTGAGGTTGAGCTCCGCAAGGAAGCTCGAATAAAGGATGCAATGGGACTGTTAGAGAGGCTACTTGTTCTATGAACGTCGAAATTAATATGATTTCTCTCTTATTTATGTCGATGCTGCTATTACGAATATAAATCACTTGGTTGCTACTACCCAGGGTAAACGGTTACTGTACGGAATATCAGATCCAGAAAACTGACCAGTCTTTTGAGGTCAAGGCAAAGGACCCAAAGGCAAAAGATGTAGAGAATAGTTCAGCAACCAATAGCATTAATCCACGAGACGGTTTACCTTTGCTCTCTTGCCCATGGTAATTTTTTTGAGGAGTGATCCTGTCGTAAATATCATGGAGGTGACAGAACGTCTGTTATAAAGTTGTTCGTTATTCCCCACTGCCTTAATTGGGAGGATGAAAATGCGGTAACGGCGGCCTAAGCCAAATAGGGGCATAATTCATCCAATGTGTGTGATGCGTCGATGTCATCGGATTGGGTGTTATTGGTGGTGGTGGCGCCTTCCGATCTTGAATCTGGATCTAGCTTGCCGAAAAATTATGAGGAAATGGAAAAGAAGGGAAGGGACGATAGAAAATCGGTGACACACCTCGCCCTCTTCCAACTCCCTTTTTCATCCGAACAGAAAAGAGAGACAAGTCAATTCCTCTTCTACCAATAATATCCCGTTTGCTTTCCTGCAGGTATTATAATATCCATCGCCAGCCTTGCAGTGGAGGATCTTCTTTTGGTTGTCTGACCAGGGGGTCGAATTGTTGGTTCCCGGCCCGTATTATTATAATAATCCCCAGAGGCCGGTGTTTCCTGCAAACATCTTTTCGTCTTTTGCCTCCTTCGCCACGTTCTCCTGGCGCGCGTTCGATTCGTTGCATCAATGCATCTGTTATGAGGACTCGCCTCGTAGCCGGCTTGACGTCTTCCAACTGAGACCGAGCTCTGCGAACAAGCCTGTTCAAACCGTTCTCATAGGGCTCGGCGCCTGTCTCGGCATATTGAGTGCTGAAGACAAAAGCGAAGCGACACAACACGACGGAGAATCACCTCAGAATGACGGCTCCAATGGCAGGTTCTGGTGACGGGGGACGGAACAGAGGCGAAGACGGAAGCCATGGCGTGCCTCCCTTGCTTCGGACGGCATCAGAGCAGAGGCTGCCAGAACCGATGACAGCAGCGACGACGACAAGCGACAGACGCGCGACCTCGCCATCGCCATCGATCTCGACATCACGACGGCGCGGAGAAGCATGGTGGAGCATCCATCCCTTCCGTGGCATGGTCAACGATGTTCGTCGGAGAGCGCCTTACTACGTGAGCGACTGGCTCGACGCGTGGGATTACCGTGTTGTGCCCGCCACAATCTTCATGTATTTTGCCAAGTACGTGAGATGCCATGTCTCCCCACCCCCCTTAGATCATGCCATTGACCCTATCTCTTTGGCTTTGTGGTCCAACAAGCGAGCCGGCAGTTACTGATCTGCGCCTTTGATAGCATTCTGCCCGCCCTTGCCTTCTCACTCGACATGTTCCAAAACACAGGATCCAACTACGGCGTAAATGAAGTCTTGCTGGCGTCTGTTCTTGGTTCTGTTGTCTTTTCCATCTTCTCCGCTCAGCCTCTGGTTATAGTTGGAGTAACTGGTACGTGTGTTGCTGGACCAGCATTGCCGTCTTGACTCTAATCTTGGATTCCATAGGTCCCATCACGGTATTCAACAGTACGGTTTACGATATCATGAAACCAACTGGCGTCAATTACCTGGGATTCATGACCTGGATTGGAATGTAAGCTCTGACCCAGACTCGGGCACGACATATCTCTGGGTTGTGTTGCTGACTTACTCTCTTCCAGATGGTCACTAATCCTGCACTGGATCCTTGCCATCACAAACTCGTGCAACTGGCTGCGATGGGTTACGCGATTCCCCTGCGACATCTTTGGATTCTATGTGGCCTTCATCTATCTTCAAAAAGGCATCCAAGTACTGGAGCGCCTTGGTGGTGACAGCGCCTTCTACCTCTCTATTGTTGCGGCTCTGTTACTCTTTATGGTTGCTTACATCTGCGGTGAACTTGGAGCCAGCAGCCTCTTCAGACATCCCGTTCGCGTCTTCTTGAAGGATTACGGCACGCCGTTGACCCTTATCTTCTTCACTGGCTTTGTCCACATTGGACGCATGTCCGAGGTCCATCTAGCGGTGCTCCCAACTAGCACTGCGTTTGAGCCTACAGGGGATCGAGGATGGCTTGTCCATTTTTGGGATTTGAGCGTTGGGGAAGTCTTTACTGCGCTCCCATTTGCCATACTCTTGACAATTCTATTTTGGTTCGACCACAATGGTAAGATCTACTCCTTTACCTCATCGCTGAAAAGTGAACATTGATTTTCGATACTGACATACTGGATAGTTTCGTCCCTTATCGCACAAGGAAGTGAATTTCCCCTGAGGAAGCCTGCTGGCTTTCATTGGGACTTCTTCCTGCTTGGCATCACCACAGGGGTAGCCGGTATCCTTGGCTTACCCTTTCCAAATGGCCTGATCCCACAAGCACCCTTCCACACAGAATCTCTTTGTGTCACCAAAGCCGTCAAGAAACTCGATGAAAAGGGTGAAGACAAGGGAGAGTATTCTTTCGAAGCAACCCACGTTGTCGAACAGCGTGTGTCCAATCTTGCCCAGGGCCTCCTTACCCTTGGCACCATGACGGGTCCTCTTCTCGTCGTCCTCCATCTGGTACCACACGGAGTCCTGGCGGGGCTCTTCTTCATCATGGGCTTTCAGGCTCTTCAAGCGAATGGCATCACCGCCAAACTGCTTTTCCTGGCTCGCGATAAGAACTTGACGCCCGCGAATTCGCCTCTCAAATCAGTGAAGCGGCGCGCCGCGATATGGGGGTTTGTCATTGTTGAGCTGGTCGGCTTTGGCGCCACTTTTGCTATTACACAAACCATTGCTGCCGTTGGCTTCCCAATCATCATCTTGCTCCTTATTCCCGTGCGCGCCCTAGTCCTGCCCAGGATATTCCGTCCAGACGAATTGGCATTGCTAGACGAGCCAACTGCTTCTGATTTCACCATGGAGGGCATTGGCGGCTCCTGGGGGGGTGTCGAGCAGCAAACTGGTATTCAAAGCAGCGACGATACACGTGTGGCGAGCAGATCTTCGTCCTCTCGAAGAAGTGACAATCCTGGAGATGTTCACCGTGACTACAAGAGCCAAGAGGATCTGGCAGAGCTTGGCCAAGCTCCCTATCCACGAAATACGGTCACTAGGAGGAGGAGTGTCGATAGAAGATCCTGAGCGATTTGCTGACGATGGTAGGAGCTGAATATCTGATACCCCTAACGACTTTTCTTGAATGCCTTGTATAAAGAGTGGTAACGATACAATTTGGATACACAAAAGCTAGAACACATCTTCATTGAATAATATGCAGTCGTTATTTATACATTCCAGGAATCCCGTGTAATGCCGTCTACAGATCAATAACATGAAGCATACATACACAAAAAACCCCAACTCCTCTTTGCCTCCAAAGATAGGTTCTTTTCATACGGCCCCTTTTAGTCCTCATCATCGCTGTCTATGACAAACCCACCGCGTACCCTCGGCCTGCGAGCCACGACAACAGGAGCATCATCGCCATCCTCCATGGCGTTTGCTTCCGGCTGCTGCGAATTTCCAAGCTGGGAAGCGTCTTCCATATCCACGTCGTCATCCTCCACACTGGTTCTCCTCTTCTTTCTGCTGCTTTCACTGTCGCCATCGTCCTCCGCCATGGGGGTATCATCCCTGCTCTCCACCTCCTCTCCACCACTCAGCATGCCCAACAAATCGTCGTCGTTGTCGTCGTCATCGTTGTCGTCGTCATCGTTGTCTGATAGCACAGCAGCAGCAGCAGCAGGCTTCCGGTTCTTCTTCTTCTCCTTCTTCTTCGCCGCCTCAGGCTCCAAAACAGCAACAGACTGTGCAGCCCTCGCGGCGCGCGCCGCAATCTCGCGCTCGCGGGCGAAGAAGGCCTCGTCTTCCTCCTCGTCAAACTCGTCGTCTCCTTCCCTGACGTACACGGCGGATTTGATCTTGCGCGCCTTTTCGCGCTCGCGCTCGCGCCGCTTGCGGGCTTTCTCTTCGAGCTCTTCGTCGTCGAGCTCTTGCGCCTGGCTGTTCCTTCGCCTCCTCTTCCTCGTCGTCTTTTTAGGTCTCTCGTCGACGGCTTTTCTGGCTGTTGGGCCTCCGGGCTCGAAGAGAAACTCGTCGTCGATGTCGTCGCCTTCGTCGTCGTCGTCAAAGTCTGCCTTCTTGCGGGGTTGCGTTTTCCTCTTGAGCTGATTCTCTGCTAGCTGTCCGTCGTCAAATGTGGGAGGATTGAACTCCGCCTGGTTGATGAAGTGCAGTGCATCCTTGAGCGAGTCGGCCGTGACGTCTTCCGGGAATACCCAGAGAGACTCGGGCGTTTCCTCGGAAGCAGGGCCAAACAGCTGGCATCCGCAGAGATTCAGTAAAAGCCGGAGGTACGAGTTCTTGAATCTAGCGGTCCGCCTCGCGTCACTGTCGGGTTTCACAACTAGACGCAGGTTAGAAGTCCGTAGCTATACCTGTCAAACATATGATGGAGACTTACTGATCGGGGAGGGCTTGCTCGCTTCTTTTGGCTCGCCGGCATCCATCGATTCTTCCATCGGAATTTCTGTTGACCTCAGTGCTTCCTCCGCTGCAGCCCATGACCGGCGCTCGCTCTCTGCCTCGGCGACAACGCTCTTCACCCAGTTGATGTGATCACTCTCATTCTTGTCCAGCAGTGCGCCGACCACAATGGCGATCTGACGGTCTCGCTCTTCTGTATACTTGAAGACAAGTTCGGCTCCCGGTTTCGCCTGCTTCTTGGAAGCAGTCTGCTTCTCGTATCCGTACTCTAGGAAGAAAGCGGTGCTCTGCAATTTGCTGAAGAGCATCTCAATGATGAGTTCCGGTCTCTGCTCTATCTTCTTGAAGCATTTGCGGAGGATCTGCTTCACCAGCTCTTCCCAGTCCTTGTACACGCTGGAAAATTTGTCCAGGGGCTCGGGGCCCTTGATCATATTGTAGAGTAAATGAATGATGTCCACACGGAAAAGCATCACGCTCATCTCCTGTTTGAATGCGAGGCGGTAGAAGTACCGATGGACACGCTTCAGCTGGGCGTCGGTCATATCGCGATAGAACCGCGTAAACTTGACAAAAGTGTCCACCACGCCCTGTGGTGTAAAACGAGCAGCGAAGCGTTGGAAATCAAACTTGCGTTCCTTGGAAGTACGCTCCGCGGTCTCCTCATCGTTGGCCGAATCGTCTGGTTCTTCGGCCAGAACGCCGTCCTCCGTGCCCTGCTGTTGCTGTTGCTCCTTCTTCTTCTTCCGGCGTGTTCGCTTGCGGGAGCGAACCTGCATATCAGCATTCTGCTTCGAGTATGCTTCCAGTATTCGCAAGAAATGGTGTACCAACTCCGTCGCAGCGTCCAGATAGTAAAACCCCTGGTCCTTGTAGGTCCTGATGATATTTGCAATGATATCGTGCGTTGACTCCTCGTAAAACAGACGGCTGAGGACGTTCTCTGCTATTTCCTCATCGTCCTCCCGGCCGCTCTCAGACATTGCCTGAACCGTGAGTAGAATCTGCGTGAAGCACCTCATCACAGCAGCCAGTTCATGCCAGTCCTTGTACTCGTAAGCTTCCTGCATGGCCTTGTTGAGAGTGATGAACATCTCCTGGTTCAAGACGCCTGCCACGAGACTGAAGCTGGATACGTCGTCAGTGGCCTTGTTGCTGGACGCTTTCTTTGACGCCTGCCGTGTCCGCTCAGCTTCGAGAAACCATGCTACGAGGTAAAAGAACTGCCTCCTGTGGTACTGCATGACATGCGAAGCCTCTCGGTCGATGGTTTTGCGAACGTGGGAGAATAAAGGGTTGAAGCCCGAGTCAAGAAACTCTTCGACAAACGAACGGAGCTGACTGGTCGCTCGCGCGTTAAGCTTCGCTGGTGGTCCCAAGTCCCTCTCGTCTCTGTTTTCCTTCCTTGTCCTCCGGGGAGGCTTGAATACTTTATTGTTGTCCATCTTTAGGTTACGTGTCGCGACATCGGTGAGAGCATCTTGTCCTGTGAGCGAAGACATTTTGCCGTCCTCACGCTTGACCCAGACCATGGTGCCGAAGCGATTGTGACGCGTCGGGCCGCTGCGGGCGTATGCCTTGTGCATGGCCGACTCCTTATTCATCAGGGACGCAAGCTCGTTTGCTTTCGCCTTGTGCGCCTGCTGCTCTGACATGAACAGCTTCTCAATGTCGACCCTCTTGATGAGATGGTAGATGATCTCCATAACAGCGGTGTCTTCTGTTCTAAAGTCCTCGCCCATGTTCGATGCCAGCGTGAGGAGGAACAGGAATATGTCTTGGTACGAAAAGGCATCAATTGTAGCCGACCGCGAGATCTGTGTCTCGTCGCCCTCGTACTTGACATTAGGAGGAGGCGCAATCATGGCCATGTTGCGGAGGAAGAAGAGCACCAGCTTGATGATGCCCTGGTCCCGCGCTGTCCTGTCGCCAGCGGGAAGCGCCAGCGACGGCAGCGCAGTCCTGACGGCAGCATGGAGGATCCGGGCCTCGTCAAAGTTGATGATGGCCCTCTTGTACTGGACCTGCGCAAGCTCCAACACAGGCATGTGCCGGTGATGGTTGACCGTCATCCGCTCCTTGTCACGCTCCATGGGCCATGTCAACGGGACCATGATCTCAAAGCACGACAGCGCGATCCGAGACTTGTATTTGCTGTCGGTGGCGTTCTCGGGCCAGGTCGCCAGAATCGGGAGCAGGTCGCCTTCGATGAGGTTCGCCTCGTGGAGGCAGCGGGCAACGTCCATGCGGTTCGTCTTTTCGTCGTAGAAGCGAATCCATCGCTTGATGTCGCGGAGGACCTCCAAGGCATCGTCGCCCAGGTGGTATCGGCCATCGTCTTCTGTGCTTGCGCCTCCCAGCTGCAAGATTTGTCAGTAAGTTAGAATCTCCCCTCAAACAGCTCCAGGGAGGACTTACCGCTGCAACGAGGCTGCTGATGTGTGCCCGAACCTCGGGATGGACAATGTCTGTGGTGCCGTCGGCCAGCTCCATGGCGGCCCGTCTTGTTGCGTGAAGCTCTTATGGATGTAGATGCGTGCCAGACATAACCGGGAACATCAAAGGCAGCAGAAAATACTTAGAGACAGCGCGGTGATTTCCTTAACATGTGCCCAGCATGGTCATGACCAACCATCAGATGGCCATTCTGCATCCAAGTCAAGTCAATATACAGCCCCTCCAGCACGCGTCTGCCCACTAAAGTTGACGCGCCTCAAGCTGCAGTAGATGGCAATCGATTTACGCGGTCGATAAGCGGGTGATTGTCGGCACTCCGATAAGCCTCCAGCGCGCTCAGCCCGCTGCACCACCGCCGGCAGCAAATGGGCCGAGGTTACCCGGGTTGCGGCAAGCCCATATTAAGCTGGCCGTGTACTTCCTCGTTTAGCCGACCCAGGAGACTCACCGTTCTCTCTCTGTCTTCCTCTTCACGAATCACAGAAAATGGCCAGCTCAATTCTTCGAGGGAGGGCGCTGGGGGCGGTGCGCCAGTCGCGCTGCTTCAGCTCTACGCCCAGGCAATGTGCTGCCGATGTCAAGAGTCTCGGTGTCCTCGGCGCCGGCCAGATGGTAGGAACATGAAGCCTGTCCCGCTTACACGTGAAAGACGGAAGTTCTGACGCTGCATCCAGGGCCTGGGAATTGCTCTTGTTGCTGCGCAAAGGGCGCAGGTTCCAGTGACTCTCGTCGACTCGTCCGAGCAGGCTCTGAGTAAAGGCATTGCGTTTGCCGGTGCGTTGGGACAAGTCTTGAGCTCTAACGCTGTGATGTCATGACTGACGGCCCGTGATAGAGAAGCTGCTGGCCAAGGATGTGTCCAAGTCCAAGATCACTCAGGAACAGGCCGACCAGGCTCGCTCCCTGCTGTCGACAAGCACCAAGATTGAGGATTTCTCATCTGTCGACTTTATCATCGAGGCTGTGCCTGAGATTCCCCAGCTCAAGTTTGACATCTTCAGCAAGCTGGCCAAGATAGCCCCTTCTCACGCGATTCTGGCAACCAACACGTCTTCCATCTCTATTACACGCATTGCTGCGGCTACTACTACTGATCCTCACGACACGTCGGCCTCATCTAGAGTTGTTTCCACTCACTTCATGAACCCGGTCCCCGTTCAGAAGGGTGTCGAGATCATCAGCGGACTGCAAACCAGCAAGGAGACGCTCGACACTGCCGTTGAGTTCTGCAAGAAGATGGGCAAGGTCACGTCCGTCTCGGCCGATTCTCCCGGCTTCCTGGCCAACAGGATCCTCATGCCCTACATCAACGAAGCCATCATCTGCCTCGAGACGGGCGTTGGCGACAGAGACTCCATTGATGCCATTATGAAGAATGGAACCAACGTTCCCATGGGACCTCTGCAACTGGCAGACTTTATTGGCCTGGACACGTGCTTGGCTATCATGAAGGTCCTCCATACGGAGACGGGCGACTCCAAGTACCGCCCGAGCGTGTTGCTGGGAAAGATGGTGGATGCGGGCTGGCTTGGGAAGAAGAGCGGAAAGGGATTCTACGACTATTAGAGCTTGGGGGATGTAGGTATTAAAAGTGTATATAGCTTGCAGCTGTGAAGCTCCATCTACAAGTTGTATACTTGAGTCTCTGTGAAAAATGCTCCTTACACATCCTATTACCGTATGTGATACTGTATAAGTTGTACTAGCCCCCGATGTAGTTCTTCACATCACAATTACAATTACATGTACATCAAGTCACATCTCTTTCTCAACTGGCCGAGAAGAATCGGTAGCGTGAGGTTCACTCAAATTGTTCTTCCGGAATGATATCATATCTGCACCTCCCCTTTGGCGTGAAAAGCCTCCATATGGACGTCCATCCATCACTCACCACGAACCCCCTTTTGTGCCAACGCGACAAGGTCACGAGGCAATCAAAATGACAGCAGAGTATTCATATATTCCTACAGTTGCAATTCAGGTCGAGCGTCCGTCATTGTCAGCATCAAAGTTGCTTGCGAGGTGGGTTGGCTTGCATGCATATGCCGGCAGAGAAGAAATGGACGGCCTTTTGCATCGACTGCATATGCGAGCTGAGTGGCTTTTCTTCTTGTTGAGAAACGCCACGCCTTCTACGCAAATTGCTATTACTACTCACCGTATATTCAACACAATCTTCATACATGAGGGAGGCATCTCCCTTGCAGATGCCTATTTATGTGAGCTGCAGTCGTACAGCCAGCCACATGTTGTCCGTAGTAGTACCTCAACTTCGTATTCTTCCCTTACCCATCAAAAAAAGGGCTCCAAACAAGGCGTCTAGCGTCTGTGCTCCCAGCGTTTCAGCGCTAGGCAAGTCATCCGACGGGCTAATAATAGATCCATTGATTAGAGATCGGGCTGTTCCTGGCGAAATGTCTCACCAAGCCTTATAACAACGGTTCGTTAGCACCCAACGGGCACTACAGACCACAGATTGGGCGTTGCCAGGCATGGACATGGACCTACAAGTATCAATGGTCAAGGTACGAAGTCCGATCAGGCTGGAAGTTGGGTGCAAGGGGAAGACAAAGTCCTTCATTAATAGGTACGGAATACTCGTCGAACGTCTACTCTCGCTACGCCTCCTTGCCGATCAGGAGAAAGATATCGTGTTAGTAGGTGTGAGAGGTCCCCCGTTGCGGCCTGGACGGCCTACTATCTGGCCACATATGAGAAATTTTCAACAGGATGGGGGGTGACCTAATAATGCGCAGCTAAAAGATGATGCAGCAAGAGACTGATGCTCTGATGCATGATGCGGCACTCGCAGCGATTCTCCCTTCAGCTCTTGGCATGCTAGTAAGGTAAACTCAGCCATTCAGCCGTCCTCGGCGCCGCAGAGCGGACCAAACGCCGGCGGGAAGAGTCACTCGTCGACAAAAGGGGAGAAGGGAGGACAGAGACGGGAAGGAAGAGAGGACGGGAGCATGGAAACGGTGCCACGCTGGCGATCTGTCACTCCACCTGGCCACCCGTGTTTGCACCTACACCTGGACTCGAATTCCACGTTACGCCGCCAGGACCGGGATTCTGCTCGTGAGATTGAGGCTGAATTGAAGGATTGGCCGTTCCCCTCTGCAATTACGTGGATGGCTCAATGACGACTCCTACCAGGCGCCGGAGGGAAATTAGACGAGCATGTTTGCGCATCCGAAGCCGCCCAGGTTCCCTCGGAGATGTGCAGATGCAGCAGATATGGCGCCCAACGCTCGCAGGCGTTGACCTCATCGGAAAGCTGCTGCGTCCGGAAGGCGTCCACAGGAAGGTGAGGGTGCTATCCACGCCAGTGTTCAGCTTCTGCAACCCACGACCGGGCTGCTGATGAGAAGTGATTTCGATTTCCGGCTAATTAAGGCCGGCATGTATGTAGTATGTATGTATGTACTCGTACAGACTTCGTACTCCGCATGTGCCGCGAAGCAGACAGGCGGCAGCAATGAATCTGCATGCTGTACATGTACACATATCTCATGCGACTCGGGGGGCAGATCTCCCGCCTGCTGAGGCGATGATTAAAGACCCGGCCTAGTTCGACAGAGCATGTGTCCAGCCCATGTGGCCGCTATGGCTTGCAGCACGGAACAGGTTTCTGTACAAGGCCTTGCCTGGCAACCCAGAGGTGGTCGCGGTAGCACCCTCGTTCGTATGGAGTAATTCGCGCGTCCCGGTAGTATCTGGCTTCATTCACGAGCCTGCTGATAGGTAGAATCAAACCGAAAGATACAAGGGCAAAGAGAGGCACGCACACTCCACACAGGCACACCCAGGACACCTTACTTACCTTGGATATCCCTAACGAAGCTTGTTTTCCAATAGCTCCCAGCTCGGCATCGTGGCAACTCTGCTTCGTCTGCCAGAGTAGAGGTACAGAAACTCTCTGCGCCCGCATATGATCCCAAACATAAGATAGGCATCACACCAGCTGTCCATCCACCGGCTTGCTCGCCACACCACCTGCTGGATGCAGTAGGTCGAGAACCAACGGCAACTGGCGTGAGGGAACGCTGCCATTGGGCCTTCGGACAATCTTGGAGTAGAACCGAGGATTCTTCACGCCCGTCCTGAGCAAACTCCAAGTCAGCACGCGTCCTTTCGTCTCGTTTCTTTTCTCTTCCTTTCTTTTTTTCTTCTCCCTATTTTCTAGAGCCGGGTACCTTGCTTCCTCATCTCTCCATCGCGCCAGCAGACGCAGCCAGCGAGCCGTACAGTAAGGGGAGGGGGGTTTTACCTCGGGAGACTCGTCGTACAAGTACAAAGTCAGTATAGCCAGACTCGCAACGCTCCGGAGGAGTCGCAGCAGCTTGAAATGAAAGGCCCGGCTGCTCCATCTGCCTCTCCATCGTAGGCTCTACGGGCGGGAACTAGCACTGACTGAGGCATTGGCCCGGGCCTCGATTGGATCGCGCTCCTCTGAGCTCCCCGCTTTGTCGCGCAGCAAATTTGGCCCTGGCCTGGAAGCAAGCAAGCCTGAGGGCGAGCATGTGCATGTGAGGGCCGGAACAGAGACCGGGCCCAAGGCATCAGGCGCGGGGAAGGACTTCGAGGGCCGCGACGCGAGGCTACGCGAGAAGTCCTGAAATCTGTGAGGGCGGCCGGCCATTGGCGGAAGTCCAGGGTAGGGGCGCGGAGGGAACAACGCCGGCTGGTGCAGGTACAAGGTCAAGTATTCGTCCAGGTGCAGGAACAATGGGAGCGTGAGGTTGCCAATTGTAAGAGTGTGAGCGTGTGAGCGTGTACAGGAACCGCTGCGGCCGGCGGCGGCGAGGCACACGAGCAGGTACGGGTACATGGGATTGGTGCCTGAGGTGGCACTACAACGTCCCGTCCCTGGGAGGGGAGTGGCTGTAACTTCATGTTGGACCTCGCACCCTTCTCCCCTGGCACAGCCTTGCTCTCTTTCGTCGTGTTCTCTCATCGTCTTGCTGCCCGTTCCTTCTTCCGGCCGGTTCTCTCGTGGAGGGTGACATCTGGCAAGCGATCATGAGTGGCCAGGTGAGGTACCGAGTACGGCGTTTGTGCACGCCGTGACGGGTCCTGGGCAGGTATCACTACTGCTGCGAGGTGCTTCGGAGCTTCTCGAGATTAACACTTGCGTGCGTGCGACTCCGTACATGTACGGTTACGATACGGCCAAGGGCCAAGGGCCAAGGCTACTTGCTCTGTCTATGCGCACACAATCGTATGCACACTGACAGAAGACGGCCTTAGGACCAACGAGAGCCGGCTCTCTGCTGCACTTGCTCCGCTTCAAACGACATCTACGGGGTCTGACTCTTGGCAGTAGCCAGCGGGCGAGTATGGTAGTACTACTACCTGCTTCCTCCTTATCCTCAACTGTTGGGTTCTGACAATGCGGTTCGGGCTGCAGCAATGTCCCGTTAGTATCGTGCTTGGGCACGCACCTTCAGCACCCTGATGATGACAAGACGACGGCACTTGAAAGTACAAACATCAGCTCGGCCGTTCTTGACACTCACCGGGGCAGCCCCCTGGCCCATCGGGTGATCCAGTCTTTCTTTAGCTGCTTCACAGCCGCGGCAACTCGAAGCACGCACTCGTGCTACGGCTGACCGGGGTTCTCGTTTCCCCTTCTTCCTGACAGGGAGCAGAAGCTCCAAACATGACTTCCAAACGGCCAGACCCGCTGCGTCAAACATGTCGACCCTTGCCCAGTGAGCCAAGTGGTCCTGAGGCTTTCCCACTTCCGACATGGCGGCTACTTGCGTCCGCGTGGCCGGCGGCCATCCGAAACCTGGCACGAAAAGCCATGTGGTCGGATCTTGCCTAATACAACGTGCTGTTCTTGCTGCTCCAGGCGGGATGATGGCGAAGCAAAGAGACCAAACAAACGCCATATGATTGCTTCGTAGACACGCCGACGGTTGGGCAGGCCGACAGCAGGGCCTGGAGAACTCGAGTCCCAGATATTCTCACCAGCCGCGGACGTCATGCGATACCTTACCTCTGTTGCGCCGCGCCGCGTGCGACGCCTCGGGAGCCTCCCAGGCTCGCGCCATTGGCCGTAGGAGACTCACAAGGCCGGTGACAGAAGGAGCTATCCGTCCAGAACCGTTATTTCAACTGGGACAGCAACAGCGGTCTAGCAGATTCGCGACGCTTGTCTGACCTGCAGGTCTCTTTTATAGCGACTGACCATAATACGGATGTCGGATTGCTTGCGGCGTGCCTCTGACTCGCTATGTTTCCCCCGCGCCGCCGCGCTCTGGGAATTCATGCTTATTCCAACTCTCCTGATGGTTTACCTATAAACCCCTGGTGTTTTACCACAATACTGCCTGTATAGTGGAGTTTTCTCGGTCTTCTAGAATTTGATCGCGGCCCCGTTGACAAGGTAGTCCACCGGGGTCTCGAGCTCCACTGCTAAGGCATCTTGAAACGACATGGCTTCCCATCCTTTCATTACCAAGTATCTGCGCGACATATTAGGGCCCTGCAGCTTCAAACTGCACATACGAGGATTCTTACGGGACACACACATACGGTACGCACACATACACATGCATGTACGTGCCTTAGCTGTGAGGAAGATCGGGTGCCCGAGCTGCGCGCTCTCGCTAATGCTGCTATAGAAGCAAGCTCCCAATATGAAGACGGCATCCCTACCCAATGGCAGAGGCCGAGGACGTTGAGCTTCGCACGTGGCCTGCTGCAGAAAAGCATCTGCAAGAGCGGGAACCTTGGCCGCGAATATAAAACAGCAATTCAACGGGCAGCGGGCCTGCCAATTACCGATGACAGCGACATTCTTGAGCGTTCCAGTTCGTGGCTACCCCTGAGGGAGCTAGATAGAACCTTGAGTTTGTCTAGCCACCCCCCGGCTTGGGATGAAACGGCGTAGTTTACAACCTACGCAGGAGACTTGGTCAAGGCTTGGGCGTTCTGCTGCGCGTCTCGTACGAGTACAGGCGCTGCCGGCATGCCTCATTGCTGAGGCGAATAGAGCTCCTCGATGTCCACCTGGCGCAGCTCCGGCATTATCGCGCTGCTGTCATCGTCTGGGCCTAGCCGCGGCCAGGTCATACCAAGTACATACGCACACGCGCACACGCACGCATACGAGTGAAAATGCTACGTGGAATGAGCATCTCGCGGCTTGGGCTCGCCCCACCAAGTCTGGCCCGGTTGCACCGGCGCATATCCCTTCTCAGCACCTTCATGGAAAGGCTGCCACTCGTCAGAGCTTTTAAGATTGATACGTCGTTGCCCTGCAATTCTTCCGCTCGTCGACTGATCCCCTGCACAGAGATCCTGGACGACGCTCTTTCGACCTTGTGGTTGATCCGACTCAGCAGAACTGCGTTGTTCCTCCAATATCAGCGCCGCGGCTGCCCTCATCGCTTCCGCTCGCCGAGGTCATATGAGGGATGACGCTCTCTCGCTTCGTTCTGATGCCAAAATGAGAATCCAATGCCTGCAGATGCCGTTCGCTTTGCCTCCGTCGTATGAGAGCTAACGAGGCACATGCTAGGCACGACTCTGCAGCGAGAGGGCCGGCGAGGGTTAGCTCCATACGCCACGCTCGGGAGGAGGGTGGGTACCTTGAACGCATCGTGCTGCACTTTTCCCAGGCGTCATCCGCTTCACATGTTCTCCTAGCCCAATCCAACTGATCGCGCGCATTGTCTGCATGAACAAGCGAGACGAGGCTGGCATGTTAGTGCCAGTACTCCCACCCATTTGCGGTTGCCTCAGATGAGCAGAAGTCGACCGAGACTCTTGTTTCCACGATTTTCAATGCCTCTTTTCTCGAACGAATACAAGAGGACGACTGCTCTACCTCGACCTGCTTCTCCCTGGCCGCTGTAACTATTACCTGCATTCAAATGTGGCGACCCTCCCCCACTTACAAGGCCCTGCGATTTCTCGTCGTCTTCGACTTGCCGCTGATGACCCCCTGTCCTGGACGGCAGCCCTCTCCCTCCCCCCGGTCACCGATATGCGCGCCCCCTGGCGTCAACCCTCCTTGTTTCTGAGCCCCCCTGTCTTGTTGTACTATCTATGCCTTTGACTACTATGGCCTCTGTAACCAGTTGAGGAGCCCATTGGTTCACTATGAAAACAGGTCTCGAGCGGCGGTCATGCGTTCGTCCGTGGAGTTGACTCTAGCACAGATGTGCTATGTACGAGCCCTATTGTACTGAGAGTATTACGAGCACTTCCCAGGAGGAGCCACGGAGCTTTGCGCCAGTGGTCCGGCCGAGGTGCCGTCTGGTAGTCGACTCTTGCCACTGTTGGGCTTGACCTTGTCACAAGCCCTGTCCTGATGAAAATTGCTGGCTAATGAGATCGATCCCATGCCACTAAGATTTGGAAAAACAGAAGCCATTTCGGCTTCTATCTCGCTCGGGGACGTACGAGGGGCATCCTCGTTGTTGAAATCGGCGGTCTGGTACCATGGGCGAGGACTTTATGCTGCTGCTACGGGCACTCTCATGCGGACGAATAGACGAACGCGATGCCCACGATGGGTCTGGTATTGCATACCCGGCGCAAGTGAGCATCGGATCACTGCGTCGGCGCGGCTGAGCGCCCCCCTCTTGGCCTACACGCATTCTGCAGATGCTAGTGGTAGTGCTACTTGATTTGCTCGACCGAGGGCCCAGATCCGCGCTGTTGCTGCCGCTGTCCATCATAGCGGACGCTTTGTTTTCATCGACTCATCGTTCGTTGACTTGAAGGTCCAAGCAGCCGGTATTGCCAGTGAAGCCGTCGCAACTCCTTGTTCTCGCTGAGATGATGACAGCAAGCCGGTTCTCACTTATACGAAAGGTATGAGTCCGTGGTGGAATCGTCGTGAGAAAGCCTGGGGACAACTTACCAGGGGCCGTTCTCAATTATACCCTTCCTGGTAGTGGTCCCTCTTTCCCGATCTTGGAACGCGGAAGACTCCTGGTAGCTCAACCGACAACCGCAAGGGTGAGAGTGCATGCTCTGCGGTGCTGGCCCATTACAGTGCGGCTTTTCTCGAATCACGAAGCTTCAAAGCTGCCCACTAGGCCGCCCACCCCATCCTCCTTCATCAGGTACCAGGTACGGAGACACACCCCCCCCCACAGCTTGTTCTCCATCGACACAAGCACTTGTCTCCAGCGGCAGCTTCCAGCTCTGCCGTATTCTGCGGACAATTGTCTGAAACCCCCTCGAACGGACATTACGGGTACACTGTTTTCTGGCCAGATCTGGGGCTTGCCAGGCCCGGGACAAGTCAGTCCAGTCATCCTGCCAGCATCTTGGGACCGCCCGGCACCTCACTCCTGCACGAGGCATATACCTGTCTGCGAGCTGATGATTCCAGGACCATCGATTGCACCTACATCGACGTCGGGACCCCACTTGAAGCGCGTGGTATGCGTCCTCATTTTCATGTCACCATACAAGTATATCCCAATCCTACCTCGTGGAACCTTGGAACTAACCCAGATGCTACCCCTTCAAATCAGTCTTGAGACCTGAACTCGATAGCCACCTCGGGCCCTAACTTCGTTCAGACAGGGGTCACTCACTGGCTCTCTCGCTTTTGCAGGCGGCTAACTACCTACTTCTTTCTTGGCCAACCCGGCCAAAGGGATAATACGCCCACTGTACGAGAATTACCAACAGTACGAGTACAGCTCTCCGCTGGGCGGCATCTGAGCAGTCCCTTTTCGAGTCCCATTTCAGAGAGATCCCGCCCCCTCAGCCTAGACGAAACTAATCTGGGCCGCCTTTTGTGTTGTGCCACTTCCTGTTAGCATAGCTCAGCTTGGTCTTCGTGATATATCATTTGGTTGGTTGGTTTCGAGTTTCTGCTTCACACAACTCGCGAGCGAGACGACTCAACCAGCACCTTCTATCCAACTATCGGCTTACCACGAGCATCTGTCACAACCACGTAAGCTCCTTTGCCTGTTTCGGAGCCTGTATCTATCGACAACCTCCTGTTGGGCGGTAGTGGCTTGCCCGTCAGGCCCTCGTCGAGTTGATGTTGGCAGAGTATTCGAGCATATCTCGAACAAGTCGTGTGGGCGATCTCGCTGTCGCCTCTCCGTCCGACGGCGTAACTTCCATTCCAATGCTCGCCACTAGGACCTCCGACACCGAGAATAGCCACTGGTCTTTCGGCAAATACTTTTCAGCTCCTGGCAAAGCTTCACCCAGTCCACGCATGTCAGACCAGTACGACTCCTCACTACCGACACAGCCAGACTGGCAGGGCCAGTATCCCTATCTTCCCCAGCCAGCTGGATCTGCCTATCCTGCGTCCGCCGAATCGAATCATGCCAACTCGGGAGCAGTCCATCCGCAGCCGGCGGTAGAGGGCGGAAACATTCGACTGGATGCCCATACCGGAAGACAACCAACGCTGCCACCCAATTTACGCCATCCTGCTTACCGTGGAGGAGCTGGAGAGCACGGGCACCCCCATCGGCCTGCCGAATCATCAGAGAGGAATGAAGATTCGAGAGGCATGAAGACGGCACCCCTCTTGCTGGACGGAACGCCGATGCCTAACAGAGCTACTGGCCGAGAACCTGCGCCCTCAACCCACATCAACTCAGCTTCAGCTGCGACGAAAGGCTTGAATGATGCCTCTGACAGATTTGAATCAGAAGACCAATCCGTGGCGGTTGCTAAAGACGATGCGGATGATGCCTTGGGCGACGAGGATATAGCCGAAGAGGAGACAGACTCACTGTTACAGACTACGGCAGAGCGAGTGGCGGCGCGCAGAAAGATGAAGCGCTTCAGGTAATCTTCCGGGCATTGGCTGGAGAAAGAAAGTGACAGCAGGCTAATCTGACGGTCAAGGCTCACCCACCAGCAGACACGGTTCCTAACGAGCGAGTTCGCGAAACAGCCTCACCCTGATGCTGCCCATCGGGAACGGCTGTCCAGAGAGATACCTGGACTAAGCCCTCGGCAAGTCCAGGTTTGGTTTCAAAACAGGTGAGTCGCCCTCAAAAAAGGATTGACTTGTCCGAAGCTCTGGGGTGGAAAGGCAGGAAGAGGTCATATGCAATAGGGCCTAACCAGTCAGTTAGGCGAGCGAAGATCAAGAGACTCAACGCCGATGACCGTGACCGAATGATCAAGATGAGAGCTGTTCCGGATGATTTTGACAACGTACAAGCCTTACACTCCCCTTACGGAGCTGTTCATGGCATGCCGATGCCTCTGGCCGGCCCCGTGGATTTCGCACACCACCCATCGTACCCGAACAATCCGATCATGAGGCCCCTAATGGTAGACGTTCGGCGTCCAGAGGGAACAGACCATCTATCGCCCACCGGACTCACCCCTTCGTTTGGCAGTATCGGCTTCCATACGTCCAGCACAGTCAATTCGTCTGGAGTAATGTCGCCGATATCACCACATTCGAGTGAGCGCTATCCTCCTCATGGTGGTGGCGTTGCGCACAATTCTTTGGAGGCCCATCGCCAAGGAGTAAGGCCACACCAAGCTTACAATGGCCGAGATCCGATATCCAGACCAAGATCCGAGTCGCTACAGTCATATTATATGTATTCAGGGGTAAATACGCAGTCTAATGTGCCTGATCGATCCCCACTGGTCTACCAGTCCGGCCAGATGAGCCAAGCAACGAGCAGTAACTCGGCAGGCGTTGACCGGAGCCCGTACACAAGTAAGTTGGAAACTACTAACATAGCGGTCTCAGCTGAAGGTTCACGCTAATGTAGAGTTACTCATAGGCGGAAGCAATACGCAGTCATCGTCAACAGGTTTGAGCTATCCAAACTTCCAGCAGACGCCTGAGAATGGCTCTCGCCTTCGAGCTGCCTCAGCTTCGGGCCCGTTGCCACTGAATACGACGGACCACTATCGGCCTCTCCACTCTCCGCAGTCACATAGCCATCGGGCAGCCGGGCCGTCTGCTCAATATGGAGCTTCCTCAACGTACCAAGCCAGTTACGGCGCTGCTCCATTGTCAGCACCGTTGACGCCTTCACTGGCAGCACCACAGGCGCGGACCCCGGTTGGACCGCCAAGTGTTAGGGACTACCAAGACTCGGTGGGAACTGCTGGATTTTCCCAGACATTGCAGAGCGGATTGAACGGCCATGGTGCTCGAACAGAAACCAGAAGCATGTTTCCCAGCGGGACGTCGGACTATGCAAACCAGCAGCAACGGAACGAGAGCTACGGCATCAATGACTTGAACGGCACAGTCCCCTTCAAACGAGAACGAGGCTATTCGAGTCATGGAGGCGCAACCTCGCCTCTGGATAAGACGAGGCCCTCTTTATATCATAGCTCGGGCTAAGCAGAAATCAAGTTCGCGCCCTGGGCAGCGAATCATTGTCTTCGTCGAAGAACAAGGACATGTGGTCGCGATGACGAACTGACCACTATATCTACTCGCCCGAATCAGGCCATGGAAGCTAAGAAGGCATAGCTACATAACCATGGGGACAAGATTGACGGCCCATTGGGTTTCCAAAAGCCAGTGCCTGCCGCGCGGCACGTGTATTGTCATTTTCCTTTCTCCTTTTTCATCAGCGGCCATATATACGAGGCCAGGAGTTTCTCATACCCGTACCTTGGATATGATTTGCCTCTCTTTGATCATGGTTTTCCTCTGGAGTCGAACAGCAAATGATTTACGCATTGGGATGTGTTAGGGACGGGCCTGGGCGGGCTCGGCGAGTCGGACAGGCGCGAGAGAACGGGTACTGGTGCCGTTGGCTTATGGGAATAAGCACGCCACACTTTCGAAAGCAAAGTTACGAGATCAGCACGTCTGAGGGTGATGGAGCGTGATCAGCCTGAAGCTACCTTTTCTACGTCGGGACTTGGGAGAAGAATAGCTGGCGTTTACAAAAAAGCATTGACCTGGAGCGATACGACGGGACTGCGTGCGGGATCTGAGATACCGAATACCCTCCTGGAGTTGGGCACGACACAATTTCCATCTGAACATCCGGCCTTTTTCTCTTCATTTTATCTTCCTCTTCTTATCTTTCTCCTTGGATTTTATCTTCCTTTCTCCCCTCATTTTCTCTTCTTCAAACTCTTTTTTTCGATCAACCATTCTTTCATTCTCTTCTCTTCTCTTCTCTTCTCTTCTCTTCTTCTCGTTCAGTTGTATAGATTACAAGAACATGCTTGATTTTACTCCTTTTCTCTTAAGGAGCTTGGAGAGATGGGGCACGCCGAGGCGTGACCGTCTTCTCGTTTTCTTTCTTTCTTTTCCTTTCTTCTCTTCTTTTCACATTTACCTGTATATACATGGATACTTTCTGAGCAGCCGGATGCTCCTCGTCGTTGGGCAAAGATGACAATGGAAAAGGTTTCTTTCTTGGTGTCATGATGATGTTGACTCTTTCTCTCGCGGTGATTACTAGTAGCTGTGACGTAGATACGAGCCGCGTGATGCTACAAGTTGTACGTAGTTTGAGCAACGAACTATCAGTTCTGGGTCTCGCCATTCATATCACACCAGATGAGCATTGCTGTTCGGTATTGCTCGCTTGGTCGGCTTGCCTGGGTGCAAACTCCGGTCAGCACGTGAATAACAAATCCGAGCTCAAGTTCTCTTGCGTTGAGGGCAATCACCACAGTCAGTCAAGCCTATTGCTTCTCCGCACGCAGCCATGTGGTTGACAGTGATGTAAAGCAAAAGAGATTGCTTAACTTCTCCTGAAAACGGCAGCACGGCAGGTAGGTTTACCAGATGTTAGGTGTCATCAGGAGGGGGTGGTTTTGTGTTGAAGACGACACTTTACAGGAGTATTGATATTGATCTGGAAGTAGCTTACATTTTGCAACTCTGAAACAGTCTTGGTATATGTATAAATTAGTATATATGGGCGTCGATTGTACGCTGATATCGTGGCTGTATCCCAAGGATCTATCCATATTGGTAAAGTCACGAAGGTGAAGGAAGGAAGTCGAGCATCGGCAACCATGGCATTCACACAAGCCTCCACCAACGACAGCCCCTTTGCCCCCCCAAAGAAACACATAGAATCATCCAGCGATATCGTAGTGAAATGTCACTTGCATCAGGTCATCACCGCATCATGGTAGCCGCACAAAACGGGGCCCTCGTGATGATGGTTTTAGGCAAGGTTGCTGCGAGGAGTGTGCTCTGGACCAGAAGCAAATGAAAAGAACAATCGAAAAAAATCGTCGACGGCATCGTGTAGTAAGCCGACGGCGGTCTTGTATAGGTATTCGATTTTTGCTGGTCGGTATAATGGTGAAAAAAGAAAAAGAAAAAAGAGAAGAAAAAAAAAAAAGAGAACGAGCGGAGTTTTTCTTCTCCTGCAGATGGGAAACGTTGGATCCCCGTGTCCCCGCAGGTCATGTGATTTAGCCTGATGCTTGCCGTTCTCGTGCCTTGAATGAGTTTCTGCGTTGGTGTGGCTCCCTTATGTAAGCATTGGGTTATTGAAACGAGGATCGAAACATCGTGGAGTGAGGTGAAGTTTTGGCGCGCGCCGATTCACCGACGGCGAGAATACATGTACAGTACAGCCTGTATTTGCTCTGTATGTCCAAGTGTATTGGTCAATACGAAGCCTTCGTAGTACGATGGATGTAGCATGTGCCTGATCGTGAGTGAGTGTTATGGCGAGTTGTCTCTGCTGAGGCTGAGACATGCAGACGGACGGCATGCCGATGAAGCCTTTTGCCTAATACGGCGGGAGATAGCCGAGAGCCTCGTACCTCGACGTACCCAGCTGATCGAAGCATTGGGTGATGATCTTAAGTAAAACAACTCCACAACAGAGCGTCATTCTCGTTCTATTTCCCGCTTCCATTCTTCTGCTACAGCGCCTACTTGTATGTATACTTGTCCGCTCCCGCCCGCAAGCGCCTTGTCGTCGCCCTTGTCACACTCCCCCATCACAGCCCAGACCCTTCACTCGCCCGGCAACGTTCCATGCGTTCCAGGGCCGCAAGAAGCGCACCCGCACCCGCAACCCGCACAGGCTTCTGGCGCATCCTCGGCAAGACGCGTTTGTTTGGAGCTTAGCGCCGGTGCCCTTCTGTGGCTCACCGGACGCCAGTGCTGACAGCCGCTGGAGCCCCCCGTTAGTTGTACGTTAGCACCCTTGAGTATAGTCTGGCAATCTACCTTAGGTACTACTATCCCAGTGGAACCCGAGTCCGCCCACCTGATTGATTGCCTCGTCTTTCAGGCTCGCCCTCTGCCTTTCTCCCAGCCAACTCCACCTTTTCGCTTCTCCAGCCAGCATTTGTCGCCTCTCAACCCTCAGCGCTTCCATCATCGCCCCCGTCCCTCGCCCGACAATCGCCCTCCCCGTCCAACCGCAGAATCGACGCATTTCCGCACGTCTTCGCCCTCGCTCGCTCGCTCGCGCTCTCTCTCTTCTCTCGATCGAGTGCGTCTTTGCGCCGCGGCGGAATTCTCCAGCGATTCGCCCTCCGCCCCCTTCCGACACCGACGAAAACCTTGAAAGGCCCCAGACTTTGCTGTTCTTGGCTGGCCGACGCGGGACCTGCTGTTTTCATTGCAGGCCGTCCGCCCTCCGCCATCGTCGGGTCATCGCCAGAGACGTCGGCACCGAGACCTCTCCGTCACGATCACGATTTTTCGGCCGGGTTGTATGAAGTCGTCCGCCTGAAGTCGGCAATTTCCCCTTACCGCAGCCATCTCTCGGCCGACCGGCCTGGCGCGACACGCCACTCCAGTCCCTCGGAAGGAGCCTTTGTTCATGATGTCTTTCCACCCCCAGACCCCCCAAAGTCCCTCGCAGTTCTCGCCCGCAACCTCTTCGGATCCCTCACTCGGTTCGTCCGGCTCTGTGGCCGTCGCGGGATCAGGAACGACGACCTTGCCCACGCCTGCGCACAGCGTCAACGGCAGCTACTCGCACCCCGACTCCATCATGCTCGACGACTCGCCGCACAAGCGAAAGCGGCCGCTCGAGGATGTCGGCGACGACCGTGAGCTGAAAAAGGCGCACGTCGATGACGACAAGCCCGCCCTCGAGGACTTGCACCTGGACGTGGGCTCGAAATATCTCCTTCTGCAATCTCGTAAGACTCCCTCCGCTGCTCTCGTCTCGCTGCTCCTCCGCCCTTGGAAGACGCGATCTCGACAGTCGTTGGGATGTTTTTCTTGCCGTTCCTAAGATCTCTGCTTTGTTGACACTGCTATCCATCTAGCGCATCCCGAGTCTCTTCCTAGGACGTCGGAGGATCTCTACGAGATGTTTGACTTGACCGGCTTGGCCGCCGAAGTCGCCAGAGAGAAGCCAAACGGCGAGAAGAACGCGCTCCGCAAGACGTACAAGGGCCACATCAAGCGGCTGGGCGTCGCTGGACACTTTGACGTCCAGAAGAAGAAGGAGGATTCGCCCTCGGATTTCCTGGCCATGCTGCAGGTTCCCGACCACGAATGGAACGTCCACCAGGTCAAGGGCCGCAACCTCATGGATGGCTTGTCCGAGATGACCAAGGCGTCCCTGAGCCGCGCCCTGACCATGGCCAAGGGCCCAATCGCGAAATCGGTTTGGGACACGTCGGTGCTGGGGGACGTTGGCTCTAATGGTGATAGTTCAAAGGCACCGTCCGCGAAACCGACGGCGCCCAACACGCCTCTGATATCCATGCCTGGGGCTGCCATGAACCGCCCCAAGGCTCCGTTGTTGCCCGGCCAAAGCCCCGCACGGCCTCAACGGAGCATCAAGAAACGGTCATATGGAGACAGCAGCTACGAGGGATACGGTGAAGGCTTTCCCGATGATGATACAGGCCTAGAAACAGGCTATTCTACGGGCGAAGGCGAAGGGGGCCAGAAGCGTCGCAAGAAGGCAAGTGGAAACTCAAGGCTCTCCTCTGACCGTTCATTGCTAACCTCTTGCAGAGCTCAGGAGCCACACCGCCTTACCCCAGCGCTATGCGCCAATCCAGCTATGGGCCTGGAATGGTTGGAGTATGACACATGCGATCGTTCGAAAGCCATCATGCCTTTTCAACAGAGTTGACCGAAAGTGATTTCACGGAGAGCTGAAAATAATGCTCTCGATGAATCCATCGCCTTTCAGTTCGTCGCTGATTTGACGCCCCGGGTAGTCCGTCGCGGACCAAAAGAAAAGCTATGAGGAAACAATGGGTTTTGTCACTTCTACAGGCTCTCCATTACGATACATGAACACTCGGCTCTCGCAGAGAGATCAACGGGTTACCGGCTTGCTTTTTGATTTTTCTCAATTGTTTTATCCGCCATCTACTCTTTTACTTATTGCATCCTCGAACAAAGAGGAATTCGCATGCACATATTTGCGGTTTTGTCTAGCATGGCGTTCGGGAGAGACCAGGGGTGTGTGTACGTTTGACGAGCAGAGGCTTTCTATTTCCAGAAGTGGTCTGTTTCGTTCTTTGTTTTCATGTTTCCATTCATTTTCCTTCCCCTTTTCCCCCTGTGTTTATGCTTGATTTTATCGGTTTTGCTTCTTGCATCTTATTCGTTTATAGCCCCTTACAACAAAGCAGCAGAGGGCCGGTTGGAAATCTGAAACCCAAAAAAATTACCGGGGTTGATAGGAGAACGAAACGGCGGCTTTGAAACGCTGGAAAGCCGCACAGGGGGAAACAAGGCTCTCATGAAAGGGATCGCGCGAGAGTGGGAACGATTTGGACGGGATATGAGACGGCTGAAACGACACAAAAAAATTACAAACTTGAGGGTTCAAAAGACAATGCAACGTCTTCGGGGGGATATCGAGGGCGGTAAGGAGACATATGGGATACAGCTGGGCTCTCTGTCTCTCCCCCTCTTGTCACGAGTTATAGTTTTCTGTGCCCTCGAACGATGGAAGTTGGGGTCAAAAGGCGATGATGGTTTGTTTTTAATAGCCTCCCCAACTTTCCTCATTACTTTCGGGGGAAACTTATAGCTCGTTGTGCGTTTTGTTTTGTTCAAAAACAGATACCCTTAGATGGGGAAAAGCAACACACATTTCAGAAAAAAAAGCTGGGTCACAGCGTATATCTATTTGGCACACACAAACACCTTGACTCACAATTTGCTCTTTGTATGTCGAGTAGCTCACGCTATAATACAATCGTCTTGAAAGACGACGGGTCAAGCTTAACAATACCGGATACGGCACAGAGCTGTAATAATAAAGAGAAATTCATCATGCCTCAACTTGTTCCATTGTGCTAACAGAAAAGATGAGACAGTAGAAATGGCGTATGAACAGAGATGAGATTGCAATACGCTCATCAACCATGCTAAATCACATTCTACCCGCTGACATTGAATCATGCTACTAGCAGAAACTCATCATCATCCATCGTATTAAACCAATCATGTTGCAGCACCAGACACCCAACATCGTACATCACAAATAGCCCTTGTAAAGATGAAACAAACTTCTTCAAACATTTTGAACAAATCACTGCCTCTGCTCTCGTGGATCAAGCACCCCCGTGTTCTCGAGGCCGCCAAAGTTGCCATTCTCGACCGTCGGGTACGCCCCTCCGCTCATCTCAACCCAGTTCCAATCCAGGCTCATAGACAAGGAAAAGAGGTCTTGGGGGAGCAACGGTTGCGGGAAGCCACGGCCGTTGGGCACAGGCGGTGACTGAACATCACTGCCGAATCCCGTCAGATCGCTGAAGGACTCGAACTCGACGTCTTGGGGCATCTGGTAGTCCTGTGTCCACCCCGTAGGGTCGAGTGACGGTGACGAGCCTGATGGCGTGGCCTTGTTGGCTGCATTGTGAATCGAGGCACGTGCAGCAGCAAACTCGGGCGTCAGCGTATCGTGGACGCTGGTCTGCGGTGTCGTCGTTGCTCCGGTGTTTGTCGGCTGTGGAGTCTGGGTAGAGGATGATGCCGGCGTCATCGACTTGGCGGTAGCTGCGGTGTTGGGCGAGGAAGATTGATGACGGGCGTCTGTGCTTCCTGGAGTGTCGACGGCCTTGCGCTTACGTCGAGAAGATTGTTCCTTTTCAGCCTTCTCAATGACTCTCTGCGCGATTCGGCAGAATTCGGAGCAGATGCCCAGCATTCTGTGGACGCCGCCCTGCTCAGCCTCCTGACCAAGCATTGAGAGAAATGTAACGACGAGATTCATCAGTCGGACATCGGATTTGGCACGCTGATCGAGAGGATTCTGTAGGATGTTGCCGAAAAGGGTGACTAGTGCCGAGACTGGGAAGTAGAGAATCAACCTGGAAGCATGTTTAGTCGTCTTTCTTCCAGATGACATGAAGATTGGGGACACAAGGTCCATGTCTCTGTTTGACTTACCACACACAAGAAAAGTCTCCCTGGGGAATGTACTTGAGCAGTGAGATGGATGCCCGTGCTGCTGCTGTTGAGAGCATGGCAGACGAATACACTCTGGGGTTCAGTGGCCGCACATTCTGGCCTGAGATGGCATAGTTGGCAAGCCGGCTGGTCCAAAAGCCGTGGTGAACTGACATGCGGTGGATGGTTGTCAAGCAGTTGTAGTAAGTAAAATGCACCATGACGATATGGAGGATAAGAGGCGTGTGCGAAGCCCTGATTTCATGCTCGGGCCTAAAGTCGATGGGGATCCGGTCCTTCCACTCCTCCAGCTGTTGATCCAACTCTCCGATCGTTGCAAGAAGCTCGCCGTCGGATTGCTTCGCTGCCTTGGCCGCGTACAGCCTCTTGTAGACGTTGCTTTCGATGACGGCGAATTCGCACATGACTCGGAACAGATTCATCTTGCCCTTTCCATCTGCCAGAGGGATGTTGCCAATGTTGTCCTCGGGGTCGGCATCGGGAAGCTCGACGTTCATGTCGTCGTCATCCTGAGCAGGGGGGCGCCCTGATCTCAGGCAGAGATCCTTGTCCAGCATGTAAGCGATCCAAAACACACGCTTGCGCTGCTCGATTTCGATGGGATTGAGGTTGAATCCCGTGCCCTTTTTGTGGAGGCCAATGCTATGCGAAAGCCGAATGGCGGCAGCAATCAATAGGAAGGTCGGCTGAGGATTGGGTGTCCCCTGCATGAAGAGAGCCATCCCAAGCAGAGCCTGGACGCTCAGCAGATCCGTGTTGCGCATGGTAAGTTCGGCAAAGACGCCCATAGCGTTCTTCATGTAGCCCCAAGCCTTGTCATCCTCCTCTTGCGGAACCAGATTACTCATGACGCGCAGGCGATGAGCGATGGCCAAGGCACAGTTGAGACTTGCCCACCAACCCGAACCCTGGTAGGGGTCATCGGAGTACTGGCGCTCGACCAGGTGCATGAAGGTCGGCTGGTGGAAGAGCGGAAACATGCAGTTGAAGTTCTCGAAATAATCTGTAAGCAGAGACATGGCCTCGGCCTTGGACGGTAGGGGTCGGAAGACAGGCCGCTGAAACAGGTCCCTGAATATTTCAGGCTTCCAATTCGTCCACTTGTGGTCATCTTCGGAGACCTCGGAGATCATGTTCTGGAAGGCGACATCGCCAGTCTTGTTGTTGATCCATTGAATGCCCTTTGGTGAGAAGATGGAGAAGCCGGACGAGGAGCCTGCGGCCCAGTTAGTCAAGCATGTTCGGCAAGAGCTGCACTTGGCGATAGTTACCGATATATCTGGTCTCTCCGGAGTTGTTGGTTACCAGCGAGCACATCATTTCTGACAATGCCTCGACCTCCTCCTCGCCCTGGAGGCTCACGGGGGTGGCGATTGATTTGTGCTTATCATCCTGTCTTCTGTCCTTGTCCTTTTGGAAACCTGGCGACGTCACCGAGCTTCTGGGAGAGGCCGTGCCGTCGCTTTCCGACGTGAGGCGTGACGGCGAGGAAGGGGTTGAGCTTTGAGTGCCGGCGGTCTGTCGTGCCTTTTCGGTGAGTCTCTTCTCGAGTTCAGCAAGGTCGTCGTCCTCATTCACGATGATGCCTAGACGGGGGGGGGGAGCTTGTGTAAGCGACTTCAACTCGGCCCGGGAGAAACAGATGAGAGCATACCAGCCAGCCGAAGAAGCTTTTCCATGCGAGCTAGGCGGTTCTCCAGTGCTTCGATGTATTTGGCACTATTGTGCGTGTTAGCAAAGCGCGTGAATGGCAGTCCTTGGGCAATCGTACCCCTTTGGCGTCGCCCTCTTCTTTTCGATCTGGGTAAAGATGCATTCGGTCTTGTAGTTGGTGCAATGAGTGCACGCCGGCAGCTTACCATCGCACTTGATCTTCTTCCTTCTGCATTGATCACAGGCCTGGAGAGGGGGAAAAGATTCGTCAGCACCTCGAACAACTTGGGTCATGATTCCTCACTCGTGGCACATATAAGTGGCTTCGGTGAGCGTAGGGGAGCCTTACCCTAGCAATTCTCCGCCTCTTGGCATCGCTGCTGTCGTCTAGCAACAAGCTGGAGTCTGGAAACATGTGCGCCGCCAAGTCTGGCGGAAGTCCATCGGGGAGATATGAGCCGCCAAAGATCTGTGGTGGTTGGTTTGTAAGCGGTGGTGGCCCCAGAGGGGGCACCTGGAACATTCCCAGACGGTCCATATTGGTGATGCGATCAAGCGCAGTCGAGGCTGTTTCTGCTTCCAGAATCTCTCTTCATCCGTCCTGGCCTGGTCTCTCTGCGCTGTGTCTGTGTCGCCGTCTGCGATTAGACACGACCTATATGTAAAGGTGGGATGATCCTGAACCAGTTGCGGCAGAGGTGGTGGATCGGCAACGCGGAGCGCCAGTATGGGGTGTTCGAGAACAGGCAAGGTTCCCTTATCTTTGAGATTTGTCTCAGAAACGGACCATGTATAGCCTCGCCTGTGGCTGTTGTCGATTCGCGCGCGCACTCAACGGCGACAGATGGCTGTTGTGGGTTGCCGCTATCGCTTGATGCTGGAGGGCATGTAGCTGGCAGAGTAGGCGAAGCAGTGTCAAGCAGTTGAGGCCGTATGTCGATGCGAAGTTGTATGAGAACGACTACACAGCGCGAAGTTTTGTGTGATGGACAGAACAACGGGCAGTATGTACGAGTATGGCGACGGCTGAGCGGGAGCGGATTGTCTCGGACTTTTAAGCGTAGCTGAAGGCCGCCACCAGGATGTCCTGCGGCGGATAGGGGGGCACACACTCGTCGTGATGAATTCGAGAATTGTTCAAGCGTTGGAGAACAAGCTGCGGGCAAAGAAAAAGCGAGTCCTAGCGGGAGGGTATCGACATGCGCATCTGAGGCGGCGCAGAGAAAAGAAAAGGGACAAGTTTGAGGCGTGAACGAGTGAGTGAGAAGGAGGATGATTTGAGTTACTAGCAGGCGAGTCTACGAGGTACCTTACTTGACTGGCAGAGGTCAGAAACAAGCGGGGGCCACTGGCAGCACTAAGGTAAACGACCTGAAGAGTCTGGTAAGGTACTGTTGGTACTGCCTCCCGGAGGATTCGCTGTGCTAAGCTCCGGGCTCAGGTCGGGTACCTCGTGCGTGGCAGCTCCAAGGTTGGCAGCTTCGTACCGCAAGCCACGCCCGTCGACCTCGGAGCGGCATCAAATGACAGGTCGTTCGCCGTTTGTGCTGTCTTTCATGGATCCCATGGATGTCTTTGCTAGCAGCTGAGCCCCCCCAAGCCGAACCCACTCTGGGGGGAGACACCGAGCCTCTGCGCGCTCCGCCTGATGCTGCCCCAGGTCCCCTTGTTTTTGACCAGTATCACAGATACAGTACGGAGTACCAGAAGGGCAATGCATGTGCGCAAATGTCCGAGATCGTATACGACCTACTGTACATGTAGTACCTTTGCCTCTCACTCCCGGACACATACCTCCATGGAATTGCGATGCTCACAACAGCCCTCCGAGCAAACCTGCAGCTCCCCCGATCGGGGCTGGCCCACGCATGTCTCAGAGCGCCACGAACAGCAGCCTTCAGTTCACGGGCCCCGGTCCCCGCTTGAAGGTTCCAGTGCTTCTCGGCTGCCGCCCAGCGCCCATCAGCCCACTGCTGGATGCCCTGTAAGCTGGGCCCTGAACGGCTAGAGCCTTGGCAAGTGATACCGTCTGGCGTCATGCCGCTGGAGCAGCCGCGCCACTAGAACCAACGCCTGCGCCAGGGCTCCCCAGTTGCCCTGTCCCAATTTGTAATGTCGACCTGATGGCTTGCGCTTCGTCCTGTCAGTGCACTGCGTCAGAAAGACATTGGATTGAACTGTCAGTGGTGAGCCCAGGCGCCGTTCGTGGAGAAACTGGAGGCATATGGAAGACTTGCAGAGGCATTAGGAATGCTGTTGAATTGCCATTTGAGAGGGCAGAGGAACATACAAGTATTTCAAACATGCAACTGTAGGAAGAACCGCGAGTCAAGACACTACATGCATGTGGACAATGTCGTCTACATGTGAATGGAACGCACCAGACATGCAACACAAAGCTTCTCTCGCAGCAGCGCCACCAAAAAGTCGCCGATCTAGACGTCTCTCTCTCCCCCCCCCTATCTCCCGAGAATCTCAGAGGGACACGGAGCACGCCACTAACACGCGGCATCGTGTAACGACGGAAACAAGATGCAAGAGTCACGTCTCTTGGTAGGCACTTCTTCTTGGCTTGCTCCACGATGCGCGGAACAGCGTACGAAACGCTCCATCGCAGGCAATCCGGATAAGACGGACTCCGTACAATGGCCCTTGGCTTCACGGAGACCTTTTGGAAGCCTCTCGTGTATTATTTCTGATGCCATTTCGGATATCGCCCGTCAGCCAAGTCAAGTCTCTATCTCAACCAGCGGAGATGTTTACCAAGGGGCATCCCAGTAGAACATGGCTCTCTACGACTATAACCTCCTAGTAGCCATGATACAGTTTGACGGTTAAGTATACATCCAAGACGGCGCGTGACAAGACGCAAAGGCGCGGCAGACCGACGGCTATCACTGCGGAGTTGAGAGGGCGCGAACGTCTGTTCTCATCGAATCTGACGCCCGTGTGGAACCGGGTGCAATACATGGCGGACTTTGCAAGTCTTTGCACTCCGCAGAACAGGAGGAGGGAGACAGATTCGTGCTTTGAGAACCCCTAGAGATCCAGATTGGAGGCTATCGATGCCGGACTTGGCGCACTTTGCACTCAATGCTCTCTCCGCGCCCTTTTTGTCCCCCCGCCCCCAATCAAGCTGCGACAGGAATCAACCACACGTGAAACGTCTTGCACACGAGTGATGCTGCAATCGCGCGACTACTGCTTCAAAGGCTCCTCGAATCTCTCTCAAACTACTTCTAACGCCGTGTCTTATCAATGCCATTCCCTCCGCTTCTCATCAGACTTCATCTAGTGTTCGTGTACGAGTACAACTTGCTGCTACATAACCAGACCAACAAACGCCATCTTAGACCGAGGCCAAGGTGAACCAAACAGTCCAACCAACACAAAAAACACCAAAAGTAGCAACAGCCAGACAGAAACTAGAACAGTCCCAGAACCGCCGTCAGCTTCTAAATGCGTCACATTGAGCAGCCACCACCACTACCCCCAAAGAAGACATATGGATACCTGCTGCAGATAGTAAAGTACCTTAGGACGCACAACGAACCCAAAATAAGTATCCAAAACGCTTTTGGTAAAAAGAGTAAGCAGACCCCATCCAAACCACGCACTCGTCAGCCCTATCAGAATCGAACTCACGGTCCCCTTTTCTAGCAAAAAGGTTCTTATTTATAGCTTATTCACGCACACTTATATTTGGAGCCCAATTCTGCTCACGAGTTGTGGCTAAACTTAGAATCACTCCACGCCTTTCTCTTCTTTCTTCCAATCTATACCAGTGAATCTTACTTGCGTAGGACTATTATCCGTTGCGCTCCCATAAAATCCATCCTATCGGATATAAAAGCTAACGCCAGCCAAACTTCTCCGACCACTATACTATCGCCTTCTCCTACCAACCTACTGAGGTACCCATGGTAGGCAGGTGGTCAATGTGGCGGCGCATGTCAGACACGCAGCACCCACGTGGGAAGAACTCTCAACACACATGCAAAGTTCTTGATACTACATACAGACATTGACTCATGACTCACGGCTTTAATGCCACTGTAGACTTCTCAAAGGGGGCCGGAAAGACGAATGCTTCTGTTTCCATTCGTCTTATCCATGCCGGACTCCCGATCTCTTCGTCACACGCAACCGCCTCCCCGTTTCATCAACGTCTCGCCTGCTCATCTACATCCCTCACATTCATCAATGAAAGTCTAGAAGAATTCAGGGGGAAAGGCCGTGGTGATGTCTTGATTACAATGCTTTACGCCATACATACAGATGCTCTTCGAATTTGATATGCTCTTCGAATTTGAGAACGAGAGCCGTGCATCCGATGCGATATGGCTGGCTGCCTACGTAATGTCACTTGCGCAACACTTGTCACCCTATCGTGATTGGTATTCTCTGAGATGAACAGCTGACAATGATGCAAAATCTATATTCAAATGATATTCTCTAAAGTGGCGCGTCGCGATTTTGTATCCCGTACATACTCTGCCATCATACCCACCAATCTATGTATATGCATGTTGTGACAGATAAGTCTACCGCGAACGTCATACCATCTCCATCAACCACAGCCATATCCTCACGGATGAGAAGACTAGAAAACAATCATGCAAATATCTTCAGACAGTTGGCATCGTCCTATTTAGATAGATTATACATGACATGATCGCAGAATGTACAAGCGTACCCTGCATACGAGAGTCGCTCCTTTTCAACCCCGCCACACTTCCTCCGAAGAGATGATATGTCGTTAGAGATGGACAAGAAGGAAAACAAAAAGAGAGAGATAGAGATAGACTGTAAGATGAAAGATGCCCCTCCCATATGAAAAGAAATTCTTCCATACTTTTCCTCTATATCCTTACCTTCCTTTTCCTCAAAATTACAGCCCGAGATTTCCCACGTTGCCCACACCAACGCCACTTTCAAAAGAAAAAAAGAAGAGAGTAAAGAGACTGAGAAAAGAAAATCGCTCGAGAATCAATGCTCCTGTAGAGGGGGAGCAACCCGGTGAGTGTAGAAGTAGCGAGAAGAAGAATGTGGAAAGGCACAGCTTTGTAGAGCAACGATGGACAGAGATAGAACGAAACATGTACAGGAACAAAATAAGGGTATGGAGATGTATGTATGCAACAGATTGGTATCAATCAAATGCCCTCTTGGAATCTGGATCCCCTGCTTGGACTCTCGCGTAGCCGTGTCAAAGGGGGCGAGGAGGCATCGGCAGGAGGTGTCTTCGGAGGGTCAGCGAATGGGTTCGGCTCGGCAACCACGGCTCGAGCTGGACCAGATCGGACGATGGGTACGCCGCTGTCTGGCCGCATGGGAACTCCCAGCTGTAGCCGAGCTCCGGCTCCTCCCACGGGGTCAAAGGCCTGTGAGCCTCGGTAGTAGTCCGACGTGCTGCTCATGAAGCTCGAGCGAGGGTCCGAGTACCCGTCGCCGCCCACCTGGAGGACTGACGGCAGCTTTCTGCCTGATACACGGTAGAAGCTCTTTTCACCTGTTTCTGCAGAATTCGCAGAAGCAGAACTGCTTTTGGATGCCAGGCCGGCGAACGCCGCGGGCACCGCGGCAGCGCCGTATCTCTCCGTCATTGCGCCTCCACTGCCGCCGCTGCCTCCGCTGGGAGCTCCGTCAGGGGTGACGATGGTCGGGGGAAGTCCACGGCCCTCCGAGGTGGGTTGCCCGGCGGCTTGAGCTGCATTGAGTTGACGTCTCTTGTACCGCAGAGCCAGCAGAACCAAAACAAGGAAGAAAGCGGCGCCAGCAAGTCCTCCAACTACACCTCCAATGACTTGCTTCTGCTGAGGGGACAACAGGGTATCCGTCCCATTGGATGATGCTGAAGGAGTAGCCTCCGAACTGGTTGTTGTCGGTGACGCACCATCGCTTCCAAACACGCCGCCGAATGCGGCATCTGTAGCTAAGGGCTCAAAGGACGAGACGGTGGAAAGGACGGTTTCCGAAAAAGACGTAGCCTCAGAGGTTGAAAATTCCGTAGTCGTGAATGAAGTGTGAGAGTGCGTCTTCGTCGAGGAGTGTTTCGTTGACGAGTGAGTGGCGTTTATTGATTCAGCATGGAACAAAGTATTGGTGGAGTTATGATGGGCGGAATGATGAACTTGATGTGTGGAGTTAGCACTATGTCTCGTGGGCAGTAGCGGGTGACGACGTACTGTTTGTTCCATTATGGCCTACGCCCAGCGAAGGAGCCGCTGGTGTTGGTGGTGGTGAAGAATGAGCGGACGGCGAAAGCGACGCCGGGGTAGTCGGTGAAATTGAGATGGTGGGAATAGAAGCAGCCGGCGCTTGCGAGCTGCTGGAGACGGAAGCGGCCGGTGATTGAATGCTGATGCTAGACGTTGAGGACCGAATCACTTCGCTGGACTCCGGGCCGGAGCCCGGAGCAGCAGGAGCTGGCGTGTGGTCTGGGTTGGAGGCGGAAATGGTCTTGCCCGTGTCCTTATCCACCACTACGGTGTTGGGGATAGCGAAGCGAGTCTGCGTCTCAATTGGTGATCCGGACGAGTCCACGATTTGAACGAGCGAAACGGTCTGGACGACCCGGGTGACGAGAGATGTTGCGCTGGGAGTGACGACATCGGTGGACGGTTGGTCTACGACGGGCACGACAGCTCGATCATGGAGCTCTGGTGCCTGAGCGCTTTCGGGCTTGACGTCGTTGGGTCGGGGGCCGGCAACGGCGTCGTGAGGATACTGCTGATGCAGGTGCTGGTCGTGTCCGTGTCCGTGTCCAAGTTTGTATGAAGAATGAGCGTGGGCATGAGCGTGAGGACCGCCGCGGGCCTGAAGGAGTGAAGGCCGGCGGCTCGTCATGGTGGCAATGTCGGCGGGCAGTGCTGATGTGCCCGGTGACGACGATCGTATCGTATTTGCAGGTGATGTGGGGCTGGCGCCGAGAGGTGAAGCAAAGTGAAGATCTATTTCGCTATTCCTTCTGCCGACGGCATCTTGAGGGCCCAAATAACCACCGGTGTCGTTGTGAGTGTCGTCGCAGCTAGTGTCGTCGGCCTTGGCGATGGTTCGTCGAAGAAGATCGCCTCACCTTCACCATCCGCCCGTGTCACTGGGAGATGGATCCGATGGAATTCGGAAGCGAAAAAAAGAGCCCCTAGGGAATCAGAATCCAGAAGAAAATATCCAGACGGTGGTTGTTTCGTTTCGTTTCGTTTGCTCGTGGCGCTCCGGCTTCTCTCGGTTCTGCTTCTCTTTTTCGTCTCAATCGCACGCGAATCTCCCCTTTTAAAAGAACGGCTCAACAACGGGTAACGAATGGAAGGTTCAAGGTCATGGCGAAGGGGCAAAGAGAAAGAAACAAAGCAACGGTGCGCGCACGTCCGCTGGCCACGAGGAGAGAGAAAAAAAAGAAGCGAAAGAGAAGACAAACGGGCGGAAGAGGAGAGGCTTAGGAAGGGGAAACGAGAGCAATCTCTCCGCCAGGGACGAGCCGGGCCACAGAGCTCGACTTGCTCAAAGGACGAAGTGCAAGTATCAGGTACCTCGACCGGTTTCAGGCACGGAGCTCCGTTACCTGTCTGAGCCGTCCAACAAGCGCGATTGCAAGTAGCGGCACGACTTCGTGTTTGGCCGTGTTTGTACAAAGTACTCGTACGAGGGACGGGCGAAGCCTATGGGATCGCCTGGATGCGAAAGCCGAGCTGGACGACTGCTCGAATGAGGGCGCCGGGGCTTTTGCCAGCCAGGGCCAGGATAGCAGATGTGGATGCGGACGAGGATGTGGGCGTGGTTAATTATGGTGCACTTGATGCCATTCGCTCCGTGCCTGAGGCTGATGCTAGCGCAGATGCCGGGACAGGCCTGCCACTAGCTGCGAGGTACAGGCCCGGCGGCGATGCTAGCAGTGGTACTTTGCACCTTAGCACTGCGACAGCCCGCAAAGGTACACCAAATGTCGGCACATGCAATTTCGCTAGGCGGGGTGGCTGCGGCTCGGACAGCCAATCACGGGCGGGCAGCCATACGATTCGGTGGCCCGGGCGCTGGAATGGCAAGCGCCAAGACACACCAGACGATGCAGGTCCGAGAGATGCATCTTGCAGCACTTGAACAGCAGAAGAGGTGACGGAAGTCGAACCACTGAGTGATCACGAGCCAGTCGTTTCTATTCCGTTTGTTGAGCTTCTTCAGGAACAACGTTTGTTAGTGCATGTGCTAAAAAATCTCCGTGGTACGTAATGGGACATGCGCGTAAACGCTTCAAGAGTGGCCGATGCCGCCTAGGAGATCATAGGCAATTCCTTGTGATATTAATCTAATTTACTTGCTATCTACAATAGTCAGATGGGGCATCTCTCGTCGCTAATCACAATTCTTCCATCTTGAATGCGCGTCCCGATGGCCTATGTACGAGTACAACAGCAAAGAAATAGTACACTGGCAGAGAGAAGAAGGCAAGCGGCGAAGGGCCACGACGTCAATGACAATTCTCCTTCTGAGGACTGCTCTTGTCGGTGAACATGCGTAGCTGCAATGGAATCGCTGAGGTGCGGTTAAGCTCTAGATGTAATCACGAAAACCCTCCATTGTACTCGTACGTCTTACAGCAAAGGTCAAAAACGCCATGAGTCATATCAACCAGTATCGCGCCACGGGGACAAGCTATTGCTTCGGAGAATACATGTATAGAATAGCTCCTCGGCAGCATATGACTTGCGTAGCTAGACTACCTAGGTAGGACTATGTACGTCCTTTTTTCCTCTGCTCACGGTATGTCCGTCCTGCTGTTTGGCATGCTCGTCGTTTGCTCAGGGTGCCTTGTTCAATCCGAGCAATCAAGCAATGGGAAACCCTGCTAGTGCGCTGTGTAGCATCAATGCATCCCTAGCACTGCAGATTGGAGGCTGCACGACGAAGGACGGCGGAGACTAGGAGCCTTCGCCGTGCTCCTGGTTAATCTGCAGACACTGCTAGGCTGATGAGCCGCGTTTTGCAGACGATGAAGACGGGATGTGGTGTCTATTACAGACACAGGCAGTGCGATTCGTATCTATGTAATGCTTAACTCAAATCATCAGCACACCGGCAGAGAGATCTTGTACCTGTTCAGTGCTTCGTATTCGATCAAATACATGCGTTATCAGGTAGGTATGCAGTACGGGCAACGTATCAGCAGCACTTTGCGTCAAACAATGGCGATCCAAATTCCAAGCAGCAACAAAGACGCCAAACTGCACAGCGCGTGGGCCCTGAATCAGGGTCGTGGCAGAGGCGTGGCCTCGGAATGACGCGGAAGCCCCCGCCCGGTGCTCCTTTTCAACTTGAAATGATTGCGATGGCCTCAAGAGGTACCTGGACAAGCATGAGCACCTTCATACACGTACCTTATTTGCTACTATGATCGTAACAAATTGCGATGTGAAGCCATCAGCTGGGGGAATAGTGTTGTGTTCTTCTGTCTATATGTAATATTTCGTACCTAAAAGTTGTTCGATGGTCAGCTTTAGTTCAGGTTCAATCGTACCAACTTGAGTTGATGCTCTGTCTCGTCTGCCATTGGCCCCAAACTGAGGCTTGATGCGACGGTTGGCCCCACCCTCACATGGCCCCTGTAAAGTAAAAGATGCAGGCGCCATGCAGTGAGTGGCTTCATTCTCTCGCTGCTACAGTACTGCATGCAGCCTAGCGCATGAACTCGTACCTGTACCTGACCGCCCGCTCAGGCACCAGGTCCCAGCACGCTGAAGCCGCCTGGGTACAGCGCGTGGTGGCCCAAAATCTCCCGCTATTGCCTCGTCGTCTCTACCCTCCTACTAATGGTACCTCGGTCGTCGTGAACCGCGCCGCGACGGTTATGTATCGGTCCTCGAAGTACAGGTACATTAGCGGGCCACCCATCCAGCAAGCAAGCGCCAACCCCACCATCCGTCTGCATCTCGGCATCTCCAACCTCGTCTCGTCTCTCCCCGCTCCGGCCTCCCTGACGGTAGCATCCCGGTTCCGCCTGCGCCGTTGCCGGTCCATTGACGCTGTTTCACCGATGATGACGATGGCGATGATGACGACGACGGTGATTCTATGCTCTCTTTGTGTACCTGCGGCTACGTTACGACCGCAATAACGGCGACTATTCTCGCACAATCTCAGTCGATATCGCCTCCCTCTACACATCTTTGGTTAACATCAAGCACCCAAAATCGGACCGCGATCATCCGCTCATATTGAACCTTCGGCTCCATACACAGTCAGCTTCATATCCCCATACCCAACACCATGGCATCACCACCGCCCCTACCAGAACGAGCCGTTTCCCAGCTGCCTGGGCCACCTCCCCTGCCGCCTAGGAACAACTCCCAATTACCTCCGCCACCTCCCTACTCGGTTGTGGACGAGTCCCGGATCTCGGTGGCTACTCAAAGTCAGGAGATTCCTCCCGGCGCCCAGATCCTGCGCTCCAAGGAGGATCCTCGGGCCTCGTCATCACAGTCTCTGGCGCCGTCACAGGCCAGCTCCGACACCAGACGAACTCTCCTATTGGTCTATATCCATGGATTCTACGGCAATGACCAGTCCTTTCATTCATTCCCTGCCCATGTCCACAACTACTTGCGTGATGCCCTATCAGAAACGCATGTTGTTCATACCAAGTTGTATCCCAGGTACAAGACATACAAGGCTATAGAGGTTGCGAGGGATAATTTCAGCGCTTGGCTGGAGCCTCACGAGTCGCCCAAGACCGATGTCATCCTTATCGGCCACTCCATGGGGGGTCTCTTGGCTGCCGAAATGGTCCTCATAGTAAGCTATCCTTCTACTGATGCCTGTAAAAGCCATATGGCTATGAGCAACTCTCCATACTAATCATGTTCACCGCAATAGCCAAATCGGATGACCCCCAACCAATACCCTTTCAAGCATCGTATTCTAGGAACTCTGTCCTTAGATTCACCCTTTCTAGGACTTCATCCCGGCATTGTGTCCTCAGGCATTGCCAGTCTCTTTCAGCCCGCACCAGCCTCTCCCAGCCAAAGCGCCACCTCATCGTTTGGGCCAGATGCTCCATCCGCTGATTTGCAACCTGTCTCCTCTGCTGCTTCCATCGATAGCTCACTTAGAGAGCCCAGGGATCCCAATTATGATCCCCCTTTCTTCAATGATGCGCCCTTTCGAGAGCAGCCGTTCCTCACCCGTATGCTCAACTTTAGCACTAAGCATTGGTCTGAGGGCATCTTCACTGCCTTGGGCAGTCATATCGCCTCTCACCTAGAATTTGGCGGATGTCTTGCCGACTATCGCGGGTTGATGTCCCGATACAATCAGATTCGTGCTCTTGAAGATGTTGATGATCTCCAGGCTTTGAGCGGCGGTTCATCCGACGATTCACATCCCCGAGTCCGCTTCCTAAACTACTACACGCGGGCTCCTGGACGACCTAAGCCACCAGCCTCAACTAAAGGCAGTCGTGATATAAGCCAGGTCGATCTTTCAACGGGTTCCGTATCCGAGAGAAAGTTTGCAGACGAGATAGACAAAAAGCTTGTCGATATTAGTCTCATCACAGCCTCAGGCGACGATCAAACAGACTCTATATCTACCGATCTCCCAAAACCCGGGACTCTGGCTCAAGAGACTGACGTGGATGGCCCAGTGTCAGCTCCAGTGCCAACAGAGGAGATCAGTATCAGGGATGCTGACTCGGGGTCCGAGTTGGAGGTACTGAACTCATCTCTCGATCTTAATCGGCTGTCTATGCAGGAAATCGAACCCATTCCTATGGAAGAGGATGAACAAGGCGTTGTGGAACACAGCTTAGATACAACGACAGGGACTAACTCAGACCGGCCATCTCCTTCCACCGAGGTTGCAGTGGATGAAAGGACGGATCTGTCCGAAGAAACACCCGCCCCTCCAGATCCTGACCTCCCTCCGATCCCCGATCTTCCTCCACCCCCTCAACAGCCCGATCTCTCACAGTACACAGACAAAGATGCACGCAAGCAAGCAGAAAAGGAATTCAGCCGCCTCCAGAAAGCCCACGAGAACGCCGTCAAAGACCGCACCAAGGCCCTCCGTGAACGCGAGAAACTCCTCGGAAAGCGCCAAAAGAAAGCCCAAAAAGACGCAGAGAAGCTAGAAAAGGACACAAAGAAGCAGAAGCAGAAATCCGAACAAAAGTCCGAACAAGAAAAAAGACGGCTGGAAAAGGAAGCGGAAAAGGCCATCAAAGCGGAAAAGAAGCGGCAGGACAAGGAAGACGCCGCCCTAGCGAAACAAAACACCGAAAGCAAATCCAAGAGCATAGCCACCACCACCGCCGCCGTCGCTACCCCTGAGGAGGCGGAGCTCGAAACGCCGGGCAAGCCCAAGAAGCTGCGCAAGTTCTGCAACACGCCCGCCAAGAGGGACGGCGTCGCGGATCCGACGTGGGTGAGCGTGTACATGGACGGCATGGACGAGGTGACTGCGCACTGCGCGCTCTTCTTGCCGGGGCCGCATTATGATGGGCTGGTGGGCGATGTGGCAAGTCGGATCGTGGGGTGGGTGCAGAATGATTTGTCTGTGAGGGCGATGTTGGAGATGGATTGAATAGGGGTCTTGATGGAGCATGAAGATGGATTCATGAGGATATATATGTGCCTTGGCATCGATGTAGTTTGTCTCTTGTATAGAAGGATGTTGTCTCATGCTCAGTACATCCATACTCATATCTTCGGTCGTAGACGGTATTTACATTGATACATCTCAAGTCATGTTATTAAATCATCCCCATTCTTGATGGATACATCACTCAAAATCAATAGATATCCAACTCCCGCAACCGTACCCTCAAATCCCTCTTCTCCCCACTCCTCGCATCCACCCCCTTCATAACCGACGCGTCCGCCTCGTCCGCCGCAGGCACCAGCCCGTCGTACGCTATGCTCAGCGCCCCCAGACGGATCAACTGGCCCTCTGGATCCCAGTTCCTGCGCCCGCAAATCAGAGCCGTGGCCGTGGCCGTGGACGGAGTCGTGATGGCGGCGCTTCCCGGAGGGCGATGGACTAAGGCGTTGGGCTTCCAGTGCCGTCCCGAGATGAGGACGCCGATAAGATGGTACTCTGGTTCGACCGGGGCTTCGTCGGCGGAGGCGGGGAGGACGGTGACGGAGGAGCGGCGGATCCAGGCATCTACCGATTCGGAGGCGGATCGACCCAGGATCGAGGCTGCGGGTTCGGCTAGGGCGAGGCTGGGGTGGGCTCCTAGGACGCCGCTGGTGCTCTTCACGGCCAGGTCGAAGCAATAGGTCTTGACGCGCAGCATCTCGATCTTGTCGGCCTTGCGGGCGATGGCGTCGCCGTCAATCTCCCACGAGAGGACCATGCCGTCGCTGAAACCGACAGAAATCTCCATCCCGGGAGCGGCCGATACGCCGTCGAGGAGGGGAGATGTATCGTCGACGAGGTTGAAGTTTAGGGTGTAGCTGGGGGTGTTGTAGTTGTACGTCGTCTGGTTGGGTCGCCACGCGAGCCAGGTCCATGAAGGAAAGGGGCAAGGAGAGTCGATGAGGGAGTAAGGGTCGACGACGGGGTTATGAAGGAGGTCGTCATAGGAAGAGGTGGTGGAGGAGGACATGGAAGAGGAGGGGAGTGTGCGGACGGGCATCCATCCTAGGGCGACGGCAAGGCGGTCCGTTTGGCTGACGACCTTGTGTTTGGAAAAGTCATCGGGGTGGAATAGGGGCAAGCCAAGCAAGTGCTCTACAGGTCGCTTCTCCCGCCGCGAGTATTCGTGGAGCAGTCCCCTGAAGGCGTCTAGGTAGTCGTCGGTATTGGTGAGGCTCTTGGCCAGATAGGCCTTGATATGATTCTTGAATCTGGTGGGATGGAGAGCGGCCTCGGTGGAGTGTGGAAACACGCGGCCAAGATTCAGGCCTGGTGCGTATTTCAGGGGAAGGGCGAGGCTCTCGTGGCAGTGTATAGCCTGGCACTGGAAGTAGACCTGCGAGGGCGTAAAGATGAGGCGCCGTCGCGACAAGAGACCCTCCTGGTATGTCCATGCCCGAGACGCCCACTTCGATGAAGCAACCTCGAGGTCTGGGCGAAGCAGAGACGTGGTGAAGAGATCCGTCTCCGTCTGAATCGACAGCTGCTCGTCGCGCGGCACGCTGACCCCGGCAATGCCGTCTTCGACGCCTTCTCCCGCGGCCACGATGAGGGTCAGCGTCGAATGGCTGAATATCTGACCAATGAGGCTGAGCTGTTGCTGGCGTTCTGTTGCTCTTTCAGCGTCTCCCTTTGCAGGCATGCAGTACCGATCTACCCAGAGGTAGCGGTATCCAAGGCCCTTGGTGGTGGAAATAGCATCGGCGATAAGTTTCGGGAGACTCTCCGGTAGAAGATGGTCGTCGTCGATCTCTGTATCCGCGTCGCTAGAACTTCCCGAGACATAGCTGAGCGTGACATAGTCGACGTTCTGGTGTCGGGTGCCCTTATCGTGGCTGTTGCGGGTGCCGGTGTGGCTTCTGTCGTCTTGCAGCTCTTCAAGCGGCGCCGTTGCTGATAGCTGCTCTGCGAGAATAACACGATTCTCTTCGCAGTCAATCAGCTTCAGCCCCTTGACCAGGGGTCGGTGTTTGGCGGAACAGTCCTCAGCAGCGTGGTTTTCGTCGCAAAAGTCAATCCAACTCCTTGCCAGCTGCAGACGAAGCAGCGGAGTTATCTCCCGGCCCCGAATCTCCCTTGTCTCGTCTTGTCGTCTGTTGCTTCTGTTGACTTTGGCATGACCATTCTGTTTGGTCACAGCTTGCTCGTCAGCGTCTCCTTCGATTCTGGCCCTAGGCTTTATTTCTGACAATCCCTCCTCTTTCAGGTCAACGTCGGCCTCGACTCCCGAGTCGGTCCCTGTGTCTACGCCTCCTTGCGTGATGCTCGCCTCTATACCTGATTCTGCGTCCGGTTCTGTTTCCGCCTCTTGCTCCGTCTCCGTCTTTGCCGGCGCGTCTGCTTCCGGATCCTCCGCCCCCTCTCTGTCCTCCGGTAAAGCCTTGACAATGTACCCCCATGGAAGAGATCGATTCCTTGTCGTGACTTCAAATAGCACCGACCTCCCTAGCGGGTGCTTCTCCCCACCGCCGAGCCGCTCAAAGGCCAGTCGAATGCGTAGATAGGGCGTGAACTTGGTCCTCAAGGCTCTATCGTCCCGCCCGTCTGCGCCGTTGGTCTCGTCTCCCTCCGGCACCGTGGTGATCATGGAGTGGAAGAAGACGCACCACGGACAGAGACCCTTCCTCCGCTTCTTCCGCCTTCTCCGCCTCTCCTCCTCGTCGATCTCTTCGCCCTCGTCGTCGTCCTCAGGCAGCTTCAGCCACAAGCAATGCGCCAGCGACACCCATGGCCTGGGGTCACCCGGCTGCCAGTCCAGCAGGCTCGCAAAATCGATATCCTGACAGATGTCGCACAGCTGCCCCGCGTCCTCGCTCCCGTCGGCCAGGATCCTCCCCGCGCCGTATCTGGGAACCTCCTTGGTGAAGAAGCGGCTGTGATGCTCGCCATTCATGGCCAGTCCATGGTCGTCGCTCCGCCACCGCCTCGACGTCAGCTGGTGAAAGTCCAGCGACGACTCTTGTCCCGGATCCCAACGGCCGTGATCATCGCCTCCGCCAGACCGCCCGAGTCGCCGCCGCGACAGGATCTTGGAGAACTTCTTCATCTCCTTTCCCTGGGTTGTCGGTGTCAAGGCCTAGAATAGGAGGGGTTTAGAAAAGAAGCCGACTCTGGTTGGCTTCGCGCTCTCTTCTTCGCAACTCTCTCACTCGCTGGCGCGCATCGTTTCCGCATATGATACTGTGCCTGTATTGTTTCCGAGGTTGCGCGTGCCTCTTCAGCGAGGCGCTGGTGAGAATGATAACAGCAAAGAAGAAGCGATTGAAGATGAGCGACCGAGGTAATTGTATGATCAAGGGGTGACCTGGTGGCTTGAAGCAAAAACGCGCCGACGGAATCTTGTCTCGGTGGAAAGCGACGGCTGCTTCTTGAGTGAAGTGACTAATGGAAGATGATGCAAGCAAGGTATGATATGATCCCAGGAAAAACGATTAAAGATGGAGATCCAGATCGCACAATGGTGGTACAAGAAAGAGAAAGAAAAAGACGGATATACAAAGACAGGGGTCCCACGCAGACGACGGCCCCCGGGATGTGACGAGTATCAGGAGGTATAGAAGAGACGATGGTGAGAAGGAGAAAAAGTGGTGAGAAGGGGAGAGAGGCAAAGGAGATAAGCCAGAAGCTACTAGTGGTACATACACTGTACCTCGAAGGTGGTGCAGAAAATAGACAAGGCCGCGGATCGGACAGAACTGGAGCTCTAATGAGAATCAAGCATCAGTCAACAGGGACCAGGACAAGACCAGACCAGGGCGTCTCCACAGCCTAAAAACATCGTGATAGGATGGAACTTGATGGGAGAAGACTGCCTTGTAGAGAACTATTGCAGCAGCAGCGTCGACCCAGTCAGTCTCATTTCCAACGCAACTCGTCCAATAATGGATGGGGACTCGACAAGCAATACTACAGTGGCCCGTCAACAAGAACCGCCAGATCAGGGGCATCTCATTTCATCGTCTTATGGTCCTTACGCCAGTAACCATCGTCGGGACCTTTTTCCTCTCTTCCTTTTTTGCCTGAAGTCTACGCATTTCAAAGCACGGAGATTAAACAACCCCAGGCCAAACCAACAAAATCCGACTCAACAGGACATGACCGGCCCCCCGTTTTGTGGCGCCGGACTACGATGCTGGGCCCTCGCTAGCCCACCAGATAGCTGGGAATTAATTTCAGGGTTCTTGTTTGCGAGGGATAAGGGTCGTCTGTGCGAATTGGTTCCTATTTTATCGAAATTTATCGTGGGAAGAGGGTAGTAGTAGTAGTATTAACCTCGGCCATCATGGACATGAATTTGAGAGGTGCATCGGATTTCGATCTGATAGCAATGCCAAGCGTCTCAATGGCACCCGCCCTCAACGCCTCCAGTTGTTCCAGCTTCGTCCAGCAGCAGCGTCAGCATGGACAGACGCTAATCCCAGGTGCCGCCGCCAATTACAGGCACCACTGCTCCCTGGATTTAGCGCTGAGAGCAGCTGCACGGCATGACACGGCCCAATGGATAAGATAACGAACCCTCGACTGCATACAACTTCGTTCACGACACATCCGATATCAAGCATCTGCACTTCCACTAAAGATCATTTGTAGCATCTGATCCCATTCTTCTTTGCTACGCGTCTCAACTTATCTCAGCACAACCGTCGGGCTGTTGGCTTCCAGCAAGTCGGGATGCGACGCGTCGGAGATTGATATCAAAACATCCACTTTGGCGACCAACTTACATGCACAGAGCCTCATCCTTCCTCGTTGGCCGAGCTTGTACCCTGCATCCCCCCCAAATCCAACAACACCGCGCCCTGAAAGATCCATTGGTCATACCCAGCACCATCCCAAACCCCAAATGAACGCGTAATCCCAATCCCAGAAATGGCCGACGAGCTCCCTCCCGCCTTCAAAGCGGCCACCGCCGTCCTCGCCGACCGCGACCGCCCGCCGCGCCTCCGCAAGCCGCTCTCCATACGCTGCGCCGAGCGCTTCTCCGTCAGCCCAAGCGCCGTCAAGCGCGCCCTCGCCACCCTCACAAACCCCGAGCCCGTCTCCCGCTCGCCGCGCCCGGCCGGCCGGCCGCGGGCGCTGGCGAGGGACGAGGACGAGCTGCTCATCTCGTACGTCCTCTGGCTCCAGCGGGGAGGCTTCCCCATGGCCAAGGCGCAGCTGGTGGCCGCCGCGAACGACCTCCGGCGGAGGAAGAATCCCGAGGCGGGCGACCTGGGCAAGAATTGGTACAGCAGGTGGCTGTCGGAGCAGCCTGAGCTTGCGGATACGTATGCCAGGATTCAAGACATGTATTCCAAGGGCGGCGGCGCGGACAAAGGCATCAAGTCGACGGAAGCCTCCAACGTGGAGAGGGTCATGACGTACTTTGACAACTTGAAGAAGATCATCGCCCTCCATCGCATCGGGCCCTCGGAGTGCTGGAACGAGGACGAGGGCAGCCTCCGGGTTGGGTGCCTCGGGGATGAAGTCCAGGTCATTGTTGTGCGCACAACGCGGTCTCAGGTCCTCGAGCCGAGCAACCAGGAGCCCTCAAGCCTCATCGGTGTAGCCAATGCCGCCGGAGAATCCATCGCCCCTTTTGTCGTGTTCAAGACGCTCCCATTCAACCCCGAGCCCGTGTCCAACGCTGTAGGCGGTAACGGCGTCCACTTCGCCCAGTCAGAAACAGGCTTCTCAAACGCCGACATCTCACTAGAATGGCTCCACCACTTCAATTACTGGTCTTGGAAAAAGTCGATACAAGCCCAGCGGTCTGGAAAGGAGCTCGAGGACTGGTTTGGCTATGACATGTGGTTGAGAGACCCTGAAAGCCCTTGGAAACCCCCGCAGAAGATTTCGCGGATACAGCGGCCAGAAGAAGAAAGAATATATCGGCTTCTCGTCCTTGACGGCTCCGCGGGCCATACATCCCTCGACTTTATCGAATATTGCATGAAATTTGACATCATAGTCGCCATCATCCCCTCCGATTTCCACTACATCCTTCAGCCCCTTGACCTCGGAGTCTTGCAACCTCTTAAACATGCCTACCAGAGGCTGTTGCAGAACACTCTCGATACCCACTCGTCCTTTACGCAGCCAGACTTCATCAAAGCCTTCAAGGGGTATACGAGGAAGGATTCACGAAGCAAAACATCATATCAGGCTTCAAAGAAGCCGGCATCTACCCTCCCAACGCCCAGCCATCCGTCATGAGAGTCTTCTCCCCTCAGAAGAACCGGGAGGTGATCAACCCACCGCCCAACCCCGTCCTCCCATCTCTCAATCACAGTGGACACTCAAGACTTGACCGAAATCGGCGTGTCGAGAAAGCCGCAAGGCGAAGCAGCGAACTGGCCCAGCCGTCCAGACAAACTCAACCCTCGATCCCAGTCCAACCCTCTATGCCCGTCCAACCTTCCACACCCGCCCTCTCAGCCCAGACTGCCGAGCAAATCCGGCAGCACGAGGAATGGCTGAGAAAGCAAGAGTTGAAAAGAAAAAAGGCCGAGCTACGAGAAGGCCGTCGGGGTGTGCAAATCGACATGGAAAAACTAAGGAGCCAATGGCAAGACGACCGGCTGCAAAGATTGTCGACAGGGCAGAGACGGCTGACGTTCAAGGGGTGGCTAGACCACACGGGGAAAGCGGAAAAGTTCGCCTTCCTGGAGAATCTGAGTAAAGAGATCACTGCTCTCCTCAAAGAAAACGATTACTCCCTCTTCGATATACCAGAAGGATCATCTCAGCAGCAGCAGCAGCAGCAACCACAACGGCAACCAAACACACTATCAGGTGCTATACAACCAGCTTCGCCAGCAGAGCCTCAGAGTCCGGTAGACGTGACCATGAGTAACGCCGGCGATGACGGCGGCGAAGCAACACACACACACGAGAATCCCAATACCCTCGACGGCGACGTAAGTGCAGAGGAGGACTTCCATAGCCTTCCGCCCTCGCCGAAGTAACCACGTGTCAAGCAATCGCTGAACAGGAGAAGATTCACCAAACTTGAGTCTCGAACTTCCCGTAGTGGTAGAAAACCTCGTAGGAGTTCGAAGGAGTCAAAAAATGAAGAGCATTTCATGAAGATGATGCTATATAGCTCGGAACTAGCCCCATGTCCCGTACCGTGAAGCTGTTTCGATTTACAGGCAGTTTCGTAGGCCTGGGGCCAATGTAGCAGTATGCCTACGGTCTCAAACTGTCACGCGACCACTGTTTCAAAGTATTTGGCCTCTCCTAACGGCGAACGAAATCGCATCACACATTACACCCAACCAACATAATGTACTTTTGTAGTGAGTAAATTCTGTTGGGAGAGCTTCCTGTTTATATCCCAAGCCCTGTCTTGATCCATCTTCATAAATCATCATCAATCTACTCCAGTTGTTCAACGCTCTTCGCTGTTGAGCGCATAAAGAAAGCCAAATGTATAAAAAAGAAGACTCGCCGAGATCCTTTGACCTATCCTGTGACGACATTGTCCAAATCGTTCTTCTCAAAGTCGGCATTTGTGTAGCCAGATTTGCTTCTCCTTTCCTCCCCTTTAAACTATACCGTGCCATCCCCAAGAGCACTCGGCTTCTATGACACGTAAGCAAGCGTATTGTCATGTCTAAGCGTTCCAATAACACCAAGGTTGGTCTCGCCGCCAGCAACGCTGGGTCCTGTCGCGTAAATCTAATCAAAAGGTTAGTAAAGGAACACGGTGGGACAAGCAATGTCAAGCCTACCTCTCCCACAACCACGTCATCAGTCGTCTTGTATGGACCCTTGTCCTTCAAGCGAATCTCAACGCTGGTCGCCGGCGCGCCAAAGTGGCCCTTGTCGCCCTCGTCGACTCTGTAGTCGTAGTAAGCTGTTTGCGAAACGGCACCCACTACCCGAGCACTGGTCAGAGCATATATCACTCGGGCGCCGGTAAAGACACGCAGGTCGGAGAGGACTTGGGCCGAAAGGTGAGGCGTATCCGCGCCAACACGCTCCGCCGTGTACACCAGACGCAGCTTGCTCGGGTCGGTACCGAGGGATGGCTTCGCTCCGGCGGCAAACGGAGACAGCAAGTTGGCGGTGGGAAGAACACCGTGCTGGGTGAGAGTGCGAGTGGCAATGGCATGAGAGGCTTTGGCAAGAGGACTGTTCAGCTTGGCGGTGGACTCTTGGTGGACCTTGAGCAAGCTGGAAGGACTGGCAACAATCACCGTCGGAGCGATGCCCTGGGTCGCCAGGACCAAATCCGGCGATCGACCAGCAACCGAGTTGAACGCGATCGAAGAGTTCTGGTACAGCGCAGCCAAGGTCAGGGAAAGGGTGTGAATGCCAGCCAAGGACTCGGCGGGAAGAAATAGGTCCGAAGGAGTCAGCCTCTCCTTGATGGGGATGGCGTTGATCTGAGCAGCGATGCCAGCAACCAAGTTGGCCTGCGTGAAGCGCACCATTTCTTCCAGCTGGCCGGGCTTCGTCTGCCAAAAAGTAACAACGTCCATGGGAACCTTTTCCAGATCCAGAGGAGGGAGCTCAGTGCCAGAGTCAGTCGGGGCATCGCGGATAATCTCCTGCCATGTGGCGACGTTGACGCTGCCTCCCATGCCCTCAGGGACCTCGTTCCAGTCGAGATGCGAGCTGCCTTCGTCCACGACCCAGATGAGCTGTCTCAGCGACGGATATGCCTTGGCGACGTCGTCGAGCGGGAACGAGCCAGGAGTCGTCACAACAGTGTCGACGGCGGATCGTCGCATCATGTGGACGAGCTCCTCGTTGGAGACGTTGAAGGGGATCAGGACGGTTGTCAGGTTCGGATAGAAGCTGCAAGCCATGAGAGCGACGAGGAATTCGACCGAGTTGGGCAGATAGATGGCGACTCTGATGCCGCCCTGCTCCGCAATGTAGTGTCCGATGAGGTTGATCTGTCTCGTAATATCCTCTGCAACGGCATGTCCCAGTCAGTTCGGTCAACCTCGACAGCTTCCGACATCAGACAAAAAAAAAAAAAAGCCTTCCTACCTAGACGATGCTCAATGACATTCTCCGATCCAAGAACCGTCAACAGCTTGCCCTTCTTCCCCTCGGCATCCCCCGCAACCGCCTTCCGCCAAGTGTCCCTCAGGTCGCCATTGCGTCCCCGGGACCACTTCGAGACGCCGGGATCCTTAATGTCCAGCCCGCTGTTGAGCGGCATGCTGTGCGGAGCGGCGAGGCAGCGGTAGGCGGCGCTCTCGCCCTCGTTGCGCACCGTTGAGGCGCCGGCCTGCCTGGCCAGCAGCAGCGGGTGCACGTCCGGCTCGCGCGACGTCGTGATGCGGTACGTGACCAGCAGGACCAGCAGCGTCACCAGCCCTGTCGAGTAGGCGTTCCATTGGCCCACGAAGCCCGTGAGCCCGGCGTCGAGGCTCTCGAGGAGACCCATCTCGCTGGACCCGGATCCGAGGCAAGCTTCAAGAGGTCGTCGTCGTGCTGCTTCCTTGCGCTGCCTCTATGAGGGTGGAGGCATGTGACTGGGAGAGGAGGGCAAAGGAAGAAGTGGTGGGGGAGGTTGAAGAGAGAAGAGAAGAGAAGAGGGAGAAAGGCCAGCCAGGTGAGATTCGGATGGCTGTTACAGAAAAAAGCAACTTGGCAGCAAATGTACTTTCGTACCCAACCAATATGCACAGGTAAGATATTGTTACAGCGCTGAGGTTCTCCGGCCGCACCGGCGGGGCAGCGGGGGAAGCACAGGTCAAGCATCAACCATCAACCATCACATCATGCATCTTGTTGCAGTGGCACCAGCAAACGTCCAAATTGCCTGAGAGCTATCTAATCTCTTCCAAAGTGTGCAAATCATACTCTGTCTTATTCGCGTCTTGCACCTCTATAATCATTCCGCTCACTGGACAAAGTCTGAGAGTAATATCTACGAGAGGCTGATTACTCTCTAAATAAAAGAATGACTGCAGAATTCTATATAATGCAGACATGCCTCACCCTGAACATCCCACGCCAAAAGTCACATCTGGCAGTCACAACATGTATATTCGGGATGCTAGCAGCGTCGTAATAAGAATAACCGTGCCAAAATATTGCTACCAGCTACGGGTTGTGCTTCATTCTGGCTTCCGGATCGGCAGAAGAGGAGACACGACAGCGGAGCGAACACGAAGACGAAGGTATTCAGGGTAGCATCTACATACAATAACGCAGGCAAGCCATATCACGTCTGAGGTATGCTTGACACTGGAAGTGGTCGCCTTCAAGGACCTTACAGCATCATGAGAATTGGAATCAATCTTGGCAAATCTTCAATGTGCTCGTTTGACTCCTTCATTTCGTGATCGAGATCACCAGACCCAAGTTGTGCCACGATTAAGAGCGGCTACAGCATCTAATAAGAAGTCAGAAGGCGGAAACAACTTCACAAGGCACACAATGGACATCACAGTTGCACAACTAGAATCGCAAAAAACCTGTAATTTTTTTTTTTACATAGGACTCCTCAGTCCACTCTGGTTGTTTGTCTATCACGGGGACGAAGCCTCCCTAGACCCTGTTCCTTAAGGCTGCGTACTCGGCACCCTTTCCTTCGGCCGAGTCGAAGCGTTCCATGTGCGTAAGACGGTCAAAGAGCCGAGAGCCTTTGATCCATGCCCTCCCAACCAAAATCCATAACTGATGTCGAGAGGCCCAGTTTCGTTGCTCTCGAATGAAAAAGAGAAACCGGCCTATGACAGGCCGTCTGTATTCCCAGTCTATGCTCATAGCTCTCTTTCCGTCCCAATCCGTGGGAGACCGTCGAGCAAATTCCGACCAGAGAACCGAAGAAATCCACTTTTGTCTATGTAATGCCACGGCGATAGCATGACCCTCTATCATGAAAAGCGAGAAAATGCCCCCTGCGGGGGGAGGATACCCTCGTAGACAGCAGAAACATGAAAAAACCGTGATGTCATGTCCAGATCTAGCAACTGTAGATCCCTCAACACCACGTTTCTGCCAGCATCGTCAAGTTCCTCTAATCTCGGTCTAAGGGTATCAAGTGAGGGAGGATGCTGAAATCAAAGAAATGCAATCTATCACATGCGTCGTGAAATGCCCCTGACCGTTACCCGCTGCCCCTATGCAGCGAATAAATAAAAAGGCACTCTTTCGCCTTCGCAGGTCATGATGCCGCCGTGTCGTCAAAAACAAATGACATAATGCGCAAATGAGAAATAACCGATGGAGATCGAAAGCAAAGTCGAGTCGCAGTAAGAAATGAAATAAAAAGAAAGATGGAAAGACTTGCCGACTCAAGCTGGAGGCGTCATGATGGACATGACTAGATGTGCACCATAGGAGAGGCAGTGGAGTTTACCACCAAGAGGACTGGCCACCAGCACCGCCGGGGTTGCCGTAACCACCGCCGCTGCTAAAGCCGCCGCCGTAGCCGCCGCCGCCGCCATAGTTGGAGCCTCCCTGAGGCTGTCCACCATAGTTGCTGAAGCCGCCCTGCTGGGGGTTGCTGAAGCCGCCGCCGCCGCCGCCGCTGCCACCAAAGCCGCCGCCGCCAAACTTGCGGAAATCACGGTTGGCACCGCCACGGCCACCTCCAGGGCGAGAGCGACCGCCGCGACCACCACCACCACCGAAAGAGGACTCGCGAGCGATGGCCTCAAGGAAGGGAGGAACCTCCTGATTGGCCTCCTTGAGAAGGTCGATGAGCTCGCGGACGATGCCACGGTTGCCGCGGTTGAAGAAAGCGGTGGCGATACCAGTGTTTCCGGCACGGCCGGTACGACCGATACGGTGGACGTAGTCGTCAACATCGGTGGGAAGGTCGTAGTTGATGACGTGGGTGACGTTGGGAATGTCGAGACCACGAGCCGCGACAGCGGTGGCAACCAGGATGGGGCAGCGTCCGTTACGGAAGAACTCGAGAGCGCGCTCACGCTCACGCTGGGTCCTGTCTCCGTGGATGGAGGTGGCAGGGAAGCTCTGGTTGATGAGGAAGTCGGACAGAGAGTCGGCCATGCGCTTGGTCTCGACGAAGATGAGGGTCAGGCCACCGGCGTGGGTGTGGAGGATGTCGAGAAGGACAGAGCGCTTGTCAATGTCCTCGACGAACTCGACCTTCTGGGTGATGTTCTCAGAGGTGGAACCAACACGGCCGACGGACAGGAAGACGTAGTCCTTGAGGAAATCCCTGGCGAGCATCTGGATGTCGCGGGGGAAAGTGGCCGAGAACATGAGCGTCTGGCGGTCGGCGACGGAAGGCATGTCCTCACCCTCGACGATGCGGCGGATCTGGGGCTCGAAACCCATGTCCAGCATGCGATCGGCCTCATCGAGCACGAGATACTTAATGTTGCACAGGGAGATGCGGCCTCGCTCTATGAGATCCACAAGACGGCCAGGAGTGGCAACAAGAAGGTCGCATCCGCGCTCGATCTGACGGAGCTGGGAGCCAATGTCGGCACCACCGTAGACGACGCAAGGGCGGACCCAAGATCGGTACGCGAACTTGCGAGCCTCGTCGTAGATTTGAGAAACAAGCTCTCGAGTGGGGGCAAGGATCAGAGACGTGGGGTAAGCCTTGCGCTGACGGCCAAACTGTCCAGCAGCGTTGGCGGGAACAGGAGAAGGACCGTGGATGAAGGCCTGAGACAGGATGGGGAAAAGGAAACCACCAGTCTTGCCAGAACCAGTCTGGGCACAAGCCATCAGGTCACGACCACCCATGACGATGGGGATGGAGTACTTCTGAACAGGAGTGGGCACCTTGTAGCGGGCCATCTCGATGTTGCGGCACAGGTGCTCGTCCAGAGGGGGGGTGGTGAACTGGTGGACGGGCTCGGGGACGTCACGGCCTGAGGCTTCAACGGGGATGTCGTCGTACTTCTCAAAGTTGATACCGGTGTGCTGCTTGGACGGATCGTCGGCAGTGCCAAAGAGCTCGCGCTCGACACGAGGGTTGGGCGGGCCGGGAATGTGCTTTCCGTCTCGCCACTGTCCGTCGCCAGAACCGCGGGCAGCGTGGTTACCGCCGCCGTGGCCTTCGTAGCCACCACCACCGCCAGAGTAGCCACCACGACCACCCCAGCCACCACCGCCTCGACGGTTGTTCTGATAGCCGCCGGCGGCAGGAGCCTCGCCGTTCCAGTTACCGCCGTCCTGTCGACCGCCGGCGAATTGCTGGCCGTTTGGTTGTTGTTGACTGTTGGACAATGTTAGCGTAGTGCTCAATCACGATACGGTGAGATGTGTTGTGCACTTACCCTGCTCCAGCCCAGGCGCTGTTGTTCAAACCAGCGGGGGGGGCCTCGGTGACGGGAGCGTTGCCGCCTCCACGGCTTCGCATGTGAGGGGGAATGTAGGATCGAGGGCCCTGCTGGGACGGCTGAGCGCCGTCGCCGAGGTTGAGGCCGCCCATGTTGAGTTGGTCTGCCATGTTGGAAGTTGGGTTCCGGGTTGCAGAAAATTGACTGATTGCAAGAAGTTGTTGAGTCTTTGTTCGCAGGAAGCGAAAGAAATAGTCGAACTGCGTCGATCAAGAAATCACCCTCGTCGAAAAATGAGAGTGAAGTAGCGAAGCCTGTCCGCAAGAATAGACAGCAAACAGGAAGAGAAAGAGACGGGAAGAACAAGTGTTCCCTGTTGTTTTTCTTCTTCTTCGATCTGAATTAAAAAGGGCACGCGTAGAAACTCGTGCTTGCACTTTCCGTCGAAGAACACGCAGAATCTTCAAAGGAAAGACCAAGGAAAGACGAAAATGCCTTGATGAGATATGGGGATGAAAGGAAAAAGAAGGAGGATGGAGATGAGAGGTTTGTGTGTTGAGAGGGTTTGCGTTGTGGGAAAGAAGAGAAGAAAAGGGACGGCGTTCTTGAGGCGAGAGAGAAGGCGAGAAAAAAAATTAGTCTGAAGGCGGACCAGAAAGAGGCTAGTGCCCGAGGGGGGGCAGAGTTTTCCAGAGAGCAAGCCACCAGCTGCGTACCTCTCAAGTATTGAATCACGTGAATTTGCGGTATTTGGCGGAACAGCGGCGGGACAAGTACTGGGGCGCTACTTCAAGCCCTCCCTCGCAGGGCCGTGGCGTGGAAGTGGCTTGGGGCGTTACTGGGCAGACCGATTCTTTCTCTCTCCCTTCTGGCAGTTGGCACTTCAGATCCGTGGAGTGAAATGACATGCTACTGGCACGTTCGCGGGGCTTCCATCCGTCTTGCCACCGGGCAGTTTTCTCTTTTCTTTCCTTGTTCTATTTTTCTTTACTAAAGTAGTAGTATCTCGGGCTCAGCGAAGAGGATGGCAGCCCTCGGCTTGATCAGCCAGTATCTGGGGTGTTGCCACGCCAGACCGCACCACCCACTCCGGTCCAGTGCCGGGGACTTTGGGCCACTACGAGCACAACCGCCTTGCCGAAAGCGACCCTTATCATGCTGCCTGACAGGTGGCAGCAGATGCGCGTCTTGGACCCCTTGTGGGCTGGTGCATCCAGTACCTCCCCAACTCCCTTGAACGCCATGGGATTCTTGCTGCTGAACCCTCATAATGGCGCCATCCCCAAGTACAGGTACGGTGCGAAACATACGGAAAATATGTTCGAATGGCTATCGCACATGATTATCTTCCTTCCATGATGCCAGCCTACACCGATAAATATGCATACAACGGCTCCCTTGTAGGTAGGTGCCGTGTGGCTCTGGTGAATACCGCCTCGCCCCCCTTCAGAAGCGGGACAGTGCATGTACACATCACCTCTGTTGAGACTTACAGATCAGGGCTGTTTTGTCATGATAAATCATGGTTGCCCGCCGATTGGGTCAACGGCCGGGACTTGCTTCGATCCTCAGCGTGCTTCCTACGCAGAGAGTAGAGTTTCTCACACGCAAAGAAGGTTCACGGGCGTTTACGGATGCAAAACCACGACGAAACGCCCGAGATACTCATGTAAGGAGGCTAGCATACCCCAAGTCAAAGGTATCTTATTTGCCAAGCGAGTCGCTGTGATGTCAGTCGTAGGCCGTTGCACGATGGCCCTCAACACGCTGGAAGATGCCGAGCCGATACTATCCATGCTGACCCCTACGTCAGGGCCTCGTAACGTGGAGGATTCAAAGTTTGACCGGGGGTCCTTGGTCCTCGGTCCTTGCCAGGAACCAGATGCTCGCTCACGAGATCTTGATTACTAGACTCATCTGTTGCCACCTGCCTGTTATATCCAGCAACAGTCTGTGACCGGTAGTAAATACTAGAATTTGCCACTGTATATACGAACTTGGGAGTCTTTTATACGGATAACCATGCTCGAGTCTGGACAGGAATAGCCAGTCTAGTATTATGATCATGATAGAAGTCTGGTCGACGTGGATAACAAAGACAGCTTGGACAGCTGAGGAGTCATGCGAGCTCGAGGCTGTCTTCCGCACAAACAATCTCTAAGGCATGAAAAAGGGGGGCAGATTGAAATCAAAAGCAATTACGAAAGGTCGACACTGTAACAAGGAACAGGGCCGTATCCGAGCTATCTCTGTTGAAACCACGGTACTGCCGTCGGCATGTCTCACATCTGATATGGTGAAACTGGGGAGATACATCGCTTCGAGGCTCCGTAACTAAACTTCGTCTACGGAGTACTTCAAGCCTTGATCCAATCTACCCCAGACATAGGATCTTTGTCTCATCTTTCTATTACAAGATCGCCTCCGGATACTCTGATGGTAAAGTCGGAGCGGTTACCGAGGCGATTTTAGAAGCCGCCGCTCCTGGGGCTGAACACGGAGCCTTCGCTGTGCGGGATAAAGCTAGTAACAGGTGTGGACTATCATTTCTTTGAAAAGTTATGATATGAAATAGCTTTTTAACGGTGTATCCGAGGTACTCAGCCGGAAAGTTTTCAGGATGGTAACCCTTGCTGGTGCCTTGACTGCCCTTCCAACAGCCTTACCGTATCGCTAAACGCTGGCAACCAAGCAACTGCATATCAACGTTGATCAAGAATGAGCCGGACGAAGCGGCCGTATATTAATTACCAAGCTCAAGCAAGTCTGTAATGATATACGCCATCTCCTCTCCAGCGCCCACCCTCTTGCTCACGCGCTCTTCACAATCCGGTCGTCGTCGAACTCTATGTCGACAATGCCGTCCGCCTTGATTGCCTTGACCACCATGCCCTTGAAGTCAATCGGTAGTCGACGCTTCAGCTCGTCTATGCACATCGTCATGAGCTTGATTCCCTGTCCGAGGGTGATGTCTGGGTGGTGGTGCTTGTCGAGGAGGGATAAGCAGTAGTATCTGTTGAGCAGCAAGCTGTTAGCAAACAATTCAACCAAAGATGCCTAATCAAGCAGATGTGAATCTGGGTCAAAGAAAAGGAAGCACATACTGCGCATAGCCGTGTGCCGCATACGGCACCTCCGCCAGCGACGCTAGGTAGTCCAGCCAGTATAGAGAGGGCTTCCCGGTAATGGGATCAACTCCTCCCATGAGCAGATTTACGTTGTATGGGTTTCGAGATCGTAGGCTGGTGGCGAGTTCTCCTCGGACGAAGTGGGCGAGGCCAGAGGGTGACAGCTCGGTCTCGTTGCGCATGGAGTAGAGTTGGGCGTTTCGCTGGATGTATTCGGCAAATTGTACTGCCAACTCCCCGTCAACGGTCTGATCCCGAGTATAAAAGGAAAGGAAAATCCGAGGGAAAGCTAACCTGTGTCGCCAGCCTCGCCGGAGAAAGCCAGCAGAGTGTGCTTGTTCAGCGCTCTTGTCTTGTCGTCGGATGCCTTGAGGATGGTGGCTCCTCTCATGGCAGCTTTGGAGGCGCCGATGAGAGTAAAGTCCTTGCCGGTAATGCCCAGAAGAACCTCCCTGTTGCGAGCATGTTAGCTATCAGACGCCATCAGGAGCGGAGAGGCGCATCAGCAATGCAAACTGACATGATGACTGTTGTGTGGGTTTGGGTATGATGTGTCGTCGTTGGAGAGCTGCAGTAGAGAATCGATATCAACTAGTACAGCCCGCCTGCGAGCGGCCAGCCAGAGCTTCCCACCTTAAGGTACCTCGTCCCGCTAGGCTGTAGCGCTGCGCGTCAATGAACCGCCGCCGCCTTGCCCGTTTGCTTGTGCCAGAGCTGACCGCCCTGGGCCGGAACCACTATAACCCGGACTTGGCCTGTGATTGGCAGATAGAGAAGTTGTGGGTTCCCGAAAAGTTCAGTGGGGCTTCTCTATCTCGAAACTTTTTTTTTTTCTGTAGAGACGGGTTTTATGTGCAGGATTGATTGTACATGGTGGGATATCATCTGGCAAACTCGGCGAGGCAGATTGAGCCACAATGTCCTCGTTTTTCACAGTCCCCGGAGCGCAGAAGAAGCGGAAGAGGCCTGCAGCCCCCGAAGGACCCAAAAAGAAAGTGTCCGCCTCCTCGAAATCGTCCACAAAGGCGTCTGCCAAGTCCGCGAAATTTGCGAAGCCGGCCGCGAAGCAAGCTGCCGCATCGACCAAGAAGCGAGTCGAGCGTGATGACGATGACGATTCGATCTCGGGCAGCGACTCGGATGAGAGCATAGAAAGCACTTCCGACGCGACCAGCGACTCCGACAAGGACTCCGACAACGAGGGCGAGACCGCCGCCGAGAAGCGGCTGCGGCTGGCCGAGCGATACCTCGACAATGTCCGGGAGCACGTGGACGAGATTGGCTTCGACGCCGCCGAGATCGACCGGGACTTGATCGCCGAGAGGCTGCAGGAGGACGTTGCCGAGTCCAAGGGAAAGGTATATCGCCAATTGGCCTCGGAGCTGGCCTTTGGCAGCGCCAGCCAGACCTTGTTCCGGTCCAACACAAACTCCGTCACATCCATTGCCGCCTGCGCGCCCTACGTCTACACCACCACCAAAGACCTGTTCCTGCACAAGTGGAGGATACAGGATCTGCCCCAGCACCAGTACCCGCAGACCACGAAACGGAAACCGAAGAAGCCTCCGGCACCGCCCAAGAAGCGGCCGGAGCTGGAGGCCTGGATCAGGGGAAACGCGAGCAAGCAGCAGGACAGGGACTACAAGAGGCACTCGGGCAACATCCTGTGCGTCGCCGCCTCGTCGGACGGCAAGTTCGTCGTCACCGGAGGCCAGGACAAGAAGATCATCGTCTACGACGCCGAGACCCTCAAGCCTCTCCGGGTCTTCACGCAGCACCGCGACGCCGTGACGGGCCTGGCCTTCCGGAGGGGCACCAACCAGCTCTACTCGTGCTCCAAGGACCGCACGGTCAAGGTCTTCAGCCTCGATGAGCTCGCCTACGTCGAGACCCTCTTCGGCCACCAGGACGAGGTCCTGGACATTGACGCCCTCGCCCAGGAGCGCTGCATCAGCGTCGGCGCCCGCGACAGAACCGCCCGCCTGTGGAAGGTCGCCGAGGAGACGCAGCTCGTCTTCCGCGGCGGCGCCGTCGACAAGAAGCCCCAGCCCGGCGTCAACCCGCGGTCGCTCCTCCACGAGGGCAGCATGGACCGCGTCGCCATGATCGACGACGAGCTCTTCGTCACCGGCAGCGACAACGGCAGCATCGCCCTCTGGAGCGTCGCCAAAAAGAAGCCCGTCTTCATCCAGCCCCTCGCCCACGGCCTCGACCCGCCCCTCGCCCCCGAGACCGCCTCCGCAGAGGCCCATCCCGACCCCAAGGCCGTCCCCGCCCCGCTCCCTCGCTGGATCACCGCTCTCAAGACCATCCCCTACTCCGACGTCATTCTCAGCGGAAGCTGGGACGGCCACGTCCGCATATGGAAACTGTCCGAGGATAAGAAGAGAATCGATCTCGTCGCCACCCTCGGCGGCTCCCCCGAAGATGACCAGCCTTCGGAAGGAAACGGAGACGAAGAGACTCACAGCACACCCAAGACGCAGTACAGGCCCGTCCACGGCGTCATCAACGACATCGCCGTCTTCGAGCGCGGTGACCGCGGCCAAGACGGAGTCTGCGTCGTCGCCGCCGTGGCCAAGGACCACCGCCTGGGAAGATGGAGCGTGAACAAAGGAAACGGAGTGAGAAACGGCGGTGTGGTGTTTGAAATCCCCAAAATCCCCAGGTCATTGTCGAATGGCGCACATAAACATGGTGAAGAAGGAGGGGAAGTGAATGGTCATGATGAAGATTAAGGGGCGTTCAAAAGGAGAAGCATGCTTAGAGGGTTTAAAAAGGTACATAATAGCAGTCAAAACATTGTTCGCACAGCAGCATCGGTTCTTGTATATATAGATTCACATTTTCTGAAAGGGCCACATTCCGAAATGCATGCATTCGCACAAGGTATGCACAGTTCTGATATCGTGAGTCGCGTGCAAGGAATTTTCCTTTTTGGTCCGTTCGTTTGTTCATCTGGTGCTATATGTTCCTCGCCTGCCAGCGTCTTTCGTGATATGTCCTCAACACAAGTCTCAGCCGCCATTTACTCATCGAGTCTGGCAAATCGCTCCACTCGAAAGCCTGGATTCCAAAAGTTTTATCGGAAAACGAGAAAACGTCCTGCTATGCTCGGCCTGTAAACCCTTCCCTAAAGCCGCAATGCAATTGGTGTATAACCAACAAAAAAGACAATGATAAAGCGTATGCACCCGCAACTCCCCCTTCCGTGATGTGTGCCCGTAACTGCATCATGGTATCTAAGGGAAAAAAGAAAGAGAAAACGAAAGGAAAAGAGAAGTAAAAGGGGGCCTGATACGCCACAATTAGAATATTATAGCCTCAATCGGTTTGCTGGACCTGTCAATGCCATCGTACTTCGGTTGATCGTCATCGGATTCAATGCATTCAATGGCCTGTCCGGCGAGCCGTGACGGGAGATTGGTAGAGGACTTGTTTCCTTGTTTCTGCATCCGAGAAGAGGAAGCTGGTCGCACCATTGGTGCCTCCACCTCTTCCACAGAAGAGCGTCGGCGTCGGCGTTTTGCAGTCGTGTTTGAGCTACCTTTGTGCTCGCTTGGAGAAGCTGACGTCTCCTTCACAATCTGGACATCGTCGGACGAGGTGACAAACTCGCTCCTGTCAAAGCCTTTTGGGGGTTTCAGCTCGACGACGATCTTCTTCTTGTCCTTGTCGAAGGACAGAGGGCTAACGAACTTGGGGCCTTCGTATGGCTTCCCCTTTGGCTGAGCTTCTGAAACTTCTGCAACTTCTGCAACTTCTGCAACTTCTGCAACTTCTGCAACTTGATCTGATGCTTCACCATTCGAGCCACCGCCTTCCAGATTGTCAACCTCTTGCACAGATTCTGGCGATGATGGAGCCGCCTCTGACGCTGACTTCCTCTCTGGAGATTCTGATGGGAAAGAGCCGGGTATCTTGGGTGCTGGGGGCGACAATGTTATAGGCTTAAGCGGTGAGGAAGCCTCGGTCATTTCTGACAGGGACTTTCTCTTCGCCCTGCGGAGTCTTTTTTCTTCCTCCAGCTGCTTGTGACGCTCTTGCTGTTCAGCTTGAAGCTCAAATAGCAGCTCTCTGACTTTGTTTCGTATATGGGTAGGACGAATGTCCCACCCAAGTTCTTCCTTCATCAGGAGCTTACGTGCTGCCTCATCGGGGTTCGCCAGGAACTCTTCCATGTACGCCAGTATGAAGACGCCACAGTCGCAATAGTTGTCCTGTTCCGGAATGCCTCTTGCTGTCATGCCAGCGGGAACGGTTGTCAAGTCGATTCCCTTCTTTGCCTTTGCTTCCTCAATCAGGTATTCCTTCAGCGCCTTGCAGGTGGGGGCGTGAGCATTACCAAGCGAGTCAAGAGTGATGATCCTCGGTTGCGTAGGGTCAAGCTTGGACTGCGTAGAGCCCGTGGGCTTCCTCTTCTTAAGAGGGGTGAACCGCGCAACTGATGAAGCTCTCCCGCCGCGCGATGAAGCATCATCCGCCTCTTCCCTTGGTGCTGCCGTCGCCGCAGTTCCATCGTTCAAAGAAATTTCGGTCAAATCCCGTTCGACCGTTGACATGTTGGGGGAGCTGCGGGAATCCGTCACCTCTATGGCATCTGGCATCGGAGTCGCTGACCCCTCCCTCTCCTTCTCCTCCGAGACGGATTTGGCTGCGTTGGGGACATTGCAGATGATAGCCAGATACCAGTGAGCATTTTCGTTGACCGGCACGATGATGTAGTCGTAAGAGAGCAAGTCTACCTTTGCCGTCCACGATTTGACGCCGTCGTAGTTTATCTTGCCCTTTGTAGACTTCAACTTCTCAAAGAAGAAGGTACTAAAGAAATAGATCTTGCGTAGTAGTTCAGGCCTTTCCTTTTCCAGCTTGTGTTCAAGGTAGCGGATGTAGAAGTTGATGAGATTGTCGTTCAAAAATTCTCCCTCGTCCAGTCTGGGAATGTCGACTTTGTCCACCGTCGCTCTATTCTTCCCGGTAAGGGGAAATATAAGCGGTGCCTGCCACGACTCATGCCAATCTGGATGCAGCGTTGTCCAGGTGTCTGGAGATGGCATACGATGGCGCGTGGACGGGGCGTACGACCTTGTCAACCGACGAAAGTCGAACCCAAAGCCAGACTCCTCTTCAGCGCGTTGAGCGGCCAAGGAGTCGTCGGGCGTCTTAGCTGATTGCATGAGACTGTCTATTAGCTTTGGTCTGTTCGATCCTGAGCGTCGCTCTGGACTAGATGGCGCTGGGATGGCATCCTCTTCCTTCTTGTCCCTGGTGAGTGCCCGGTTGTTGGTTTTGGAAGTGGCATTTGAAGCTATCCAATTCCTTGCTTCAGTGAATGCCTTCTCGGCTTTCCTTTCTAGTTCATGGCTGCAAAAATCAATTAGCCTCATATCCACTAGCAGTTGCATCACGGAAGGCCTACATAAACTTCTCTTCAATCCGCGAAGATTTTAACGCTTCACAAAATGTTTTCAGGGCGTTAGAATTTTCAAACTCCAGATAGAGTTTAGAGCCGGCATCTCCCTTTTGTGCACGTAGAATGAAGGCATAGTGAGAGTCCTCCGAGGTCCCAAAGTGACGGACTTGGTCCAGGTCAATGCCTAGCCAAGCAAGTCCGTCCACTTCTTGGCCGTTTTCTGATACCGGCTCGAGCCTTTTGCCTTCTTTTTCCTCCCGACGCAAAACGACTGCACTGGGAGAGTCCTCACGGCTGTATATGGATTTCCCACAAACCGCCCTGATGAGACTCATGCTTTTGGCCGATGAGCAGCGCGAGGGTTTCCCAAAATCTGTAGGCCGTATGTCGCCTCTCATGGGATTCTTGGTGGGGGCGCCAGAAGTGTCAGAGGATCGTGAGTTTGCGCCCTTCGAGTTGCTTGCTCCTCCGCGCTTCGTGGGATCGGCTTGAAGTTCGTCCTCCGAGATATCTATGGGTTCTCTCGTCGTCGAAGGCTTGTGACGTTTGAACTGAGGCCTGGAAAAGTCGAGTCGGGAGGGTCGGTCCCTTTTTGTGGAGGAGTGTGTATAGAGATCAGACACTATGTTCGAGGGTCCAGCGTCAAGGTCGTGGGCACCGAGAGCATCTGGGCTGTCTTGTATAGAAATAAGATTTCGTTTTGCAGGAGGTCGTTGGTAGTCAGGCCTGGTGTTAGCCGCACCATGCAATGGCGAACTCGAATTTGGAAGGGTCCGGCTTTTACGTCGTCGCGCCGGTTTCTTGCTCGTCTGAAGTATGTTGTCCAAGTTGCGATATTCGCGCAAAGCCAAACTGCTGGTGCCTGTGTTTCCCGCACTTGAAATGCTTCTGTTGTCGACTGTATCGTCGTCTATCAGAACCTCGTGGATGCCACTGCCCTTGGCTGCTCTTTGAAAATAAGGGCTGCTCTGGCCGTATGGGTGCGTGATGTCCTTCTTCTGACGCTTCGCGGACGGCACGTCTGGTTCGCTTCGGGCCTCGAATCGTTTTACGCGGAGGGTGTCGACCGGTCTGGTTACCGAATGATTGATGCGCTTCTGCTCGCCTGTCTGTCAGCACTCTGAGGAATCGTTCAGCAAGAGATGTGATGACCAACCAGCCGGTCCGGACCCATGGTAGGTTTGCGATTCCGGTCCCTTCTAGAAGTCAGCGAGCTTCCGGAAGACAAAGAGAATACAGTCTTCCTACACATAATCCGGAAACGAGTGTGCATCAGAATGATAGCGAGCAAGCGGGCTGCACGGAGTCAGCAGGCAGATCCCAAGCGGAACGAAGGAAGAGTGGCAGCCATTGGGCGGCCAGGAGGCTTGACATACTCCCACCGTGATTGCGTCGGCTTGCTGTTGTCTGGAGGTGGCTTCCTTTCGCTGCCCTTGTCCGCGTGACGGCCCAGGAATTTTTCTTCGACAGCCTCGATAGGACTTCGGCTAGCGACGCTTGGCGCCGATTCGGACAACCTGAGGCCGACGACTTTAGCACGCGTGCGATAAGGCAGGATGTAAAGGGAGGCACGAGAAGGACCCGGAGAGGGGCGATATGGCTTACTTTGTATCCACGGCAGCTACGGGCTCTCGCTGCTCATGGGCATGAAGCTTTGGCGACGGCGGCGATGGTGGTTGGGTCTGTCCAAGATTCCAGGCATTAGCGGAGGGGTCCGCGAAATTTGATGGCAAATCCGGCCCGTGGCCAGCAGGGCAGGCAGCAGAGCAGAGGCAGAACCTCGCAGCGGCCACAGCGGCTGTAGCGCAGGCTGTGCGCTGAGCTGGCGCGGGTTTAGCGGGCTTTGGCCACTGCGTCACAGCGCGTCAGGGCCCACGCGCCTTGTTCCGCTCGCCAGGGAGGCTAATTTGGAAACGGGATCGACTGAATGCTGAGAAAGCCGGAGAGAGCAACGACAGCCTCAGCTGCCATCAAGGTGGGCAGGTCGGTGAATGCTCGGTAGGCGGTAGGGGATGGAGGCTTGAACAAGCAATTTCTTCCCCGTTCCTCTGCCATCCTCTGCTTTCTCGTCTTGTCTCCCCTTCTCCTCATCCCCATCTTCAATCTCATCTCTCTCTTCCCTCTCCACTTCGTCTTCATTCACTTGCCTTGGAATCTGCCGCGTCGCCCATCGCGCCTCTTGTCACGCGGGACAGCTTATCGTCATCGCTGGGAGCCATGGTTCTGTCGATGAGTGTCGCATTGTTCACTCAAGTAAGGCTCTGTCGGTGCCTCTCCGAGTGGGCAACGAGCGCCGCTGTTGCTGGGCATTTATCGCATCAGGAGCACTTCCAGCCGTTTGTGTCCCAAAGATCGCTATGAATGCATGTATTATGAATAGGTATATATACTACTTGGGGTTGGTAAAGGGAGGAGAAGGTGGAGGAGGGGAGGCTGGCACGGAGAAATGAAGTACTCATACTCGTACCTTGCAATATCGCAGAAGAGGCGGACAGTAAGTGGTCGTGCATGGTACCTGATAAGGTCGGTACGGTACTATGGTACGGTATACTTCGAGCGGAGGGAACTGGAAGGCCACCAGGGCCTATTACAGATCATGCGAAGCGCCTCTCCGCCCAGGCCGAAGAATCGATCTCTTGCAGTGATGACGGGAGAAACGGAGGAAAAGACAGGCTCGTCATCCTAGTCCAGCGGTACGATTCGCCCAGTGGCCGTAGCGCAGCCATCGACAAGTACAAGTGACCTCGAGCTCGTGCAAATGCAACCCGCCAATCCCTTCCCCGCAGCCTCTCCCGCCATCAACCAATGAACAGACAGCCCCATCTGCAAGGCTGACAGCGTCCAGCTTCCCGTCCCCAGCGACGTGTCCTGTTAAAGCTACAGGTACAAGGGTCTTGTTAGCAGAACCACATGCTGTGACATTGACAGCCTCATTCCTCTGCATCTTTGTAAAGGCCAACTCCGTCGCTGCGTTTCTGCCAGCGATCTGGATCAGTTGCCCAACATGCACAGCTCCTTCACCCGCCTCCAGAATGTCTTCGGCTTCTTCACAACAGTCGCCTTCGTCCTCGGCGCATTCATCGCCGCCACAGACCTCGGCGCTCCTCGCACCCCCAGCGGCGTCATAAAGACAGACAACGTCCAAGTGTATGGTCCTTTACACCAACCAGCCCTCTTCTGCAATCTCACAACAAATCTAACTAACACAAACCTCGCCAATCCAACAGCGTCAAAGGTAGACCGCACTACTACTCCTCCAAGAAGGAAGAATACGCCATCATCCGATTCTCCCTCGAAGCCGATCTCTCCTCGCTCTTCACATGGAACACCAAACAGCTCTTCGTATACGTGACCGCAGACTGGACCGGGCCCGACAATGCCAACAACTCTGCCGTCATCTGGGACAGCATCATCACCAACCCCAGCGCCGACCACCTTCAGAACCTTGGCCCTGTTGCCATGAAGAAGCTGAAGAGAAGCGCCGAGGGGAAGAGCATTGCACCTGAGCGGTACGTCTCCCTGCATAATAGAACACCCTCGACCATGCGACATTGCATGATATTAGTGACGATGTATACTAATTGCTTCGCAGAGGACTGCTCAAGCTCAAGAACCAGAAGCCAAAATACCAAATCACCCACCCCAGCGGCAAGATCGCCGAGACGCCTGACGTCACTCTGAGATTGCATTACAACGTACAGCCCTGGGTCGGCCTTTTGACCTGGAACATGGATAAGCCATTCGGTGTGTGGCAAGCCATGAGCGGCGGTATCAGCGACTACTTCACGCTGCCTGCCCTCAAGTCCAAGGATACCAAGGCCAAAGACGCCAAGGAGAAGGCTGGCGCGAAGACCAAGACCAAGAGCAAGAAGCCCTGATATCCCCTTTGATTTATGAGCATCAGCCAAGTGAACATAGAAGAGAAAAAAAGATGTAACGACTTTGAGTCACCGTAGGGATCTCAATGGACAAGTGTGATGTTGATTGACATGATATCGTGCTGTTACAGCACCATATATACGACTAGGTAGGCACTGGATTGGCGCCTTTTCGTTACATGAAGAGAACAGGCTATGTTATCGTAACTGCATCGATCAATCATACAGCACCTCACAAAAAAAAATTCAGCACCATATTCCTCCAGCCTAAAACATGGACAAGGTGCGGCAGATGTATGTGATCTCATGCCTAATGAGCCACGGTTCCGTCGCGGCCACGTTGAGGATTGCCTGCGCCACGTCCTCTGCCTCCCCTTCCGCGGCCTCCACGTCCACCTCGCGGTGCATCAAGGCTTGCAGGAGGCGGTACGCTGTTATAGCTTGTCGGCTGGCCTCGTCCAGACCCAGCTTGGGGAGCAAAGGAACCTCTGTTGCCGCCATTGCCATTGCCACGACCACGCCCTTGGCCTCTGCCGTTGCCACCTCCCCGGCCGTTAACATTCTGAGCCTGATTAGCATCGCCGCCGCCTGGGCTTCCTCCCTGCGGGCCTGGCCGATAGACCATAGTGCTATGCAGTAGGTTTGGCTGGCCACCGCCGCGCGCCGCGCCGCGGCCAGGGCTGTTCCGCCCACGGCCATTTGACGCTGAGTTGCCAGAAGCAGCTCCACGCCATCCGCCGCGCAAGGGGGGAGGAGCCGGCGAATCCTTGTACTGCGTGACGCCGACTGAGCCGTAGGCTCCAAAGGATTGAGTCGCTGGAGCAGCGCGTCTCTGTCGCGACTTGGACGACGCAGAGACGACCTGCCAGTTTGTGGTGTTCAGCACAGTAGACGATGACACCGTCTGCCCACGGAACATTGGGGCTCTGTCGCCAAGGGTCGTGCCGCTCATGAAGGGAACGTCCCAGACGACATCCAGCAGAACAGCAGTCGCCGTACGGGAGATTCCAACCACAGTTCCCCGAGTCGCAAGAGGAACCTTGCCAGCGGCGGCGACGAAAGTGACTCGATCTCCTAGCTTGAAGACCTGGTTGCCCAGTACCATCTCAGCGTCTGCCGGTTTCAAAAGAGCCGTACGGGGCACACCGCTGAGCGTCTTGGGGGTAAACTCCAAGGTCGCCTGGTGCAACTGCTCCCCGACTTTAGCCAAGGACATGACGACATCTGAGTCCAGCTGCTCTGCGTCGAGCGGAACTCGCTCAAACTTGCTCGTCTCCTGCTTCTTTAGCCATGCCACAATGTCCTTGATCCTCTGAGAGGCGACGCTTGGGTCCTTCCACAGGTCGTTTTCGTATATCTCGCTCCTTTGCGGCTCTTTCTGGATCGCCGCGAAGAAGTCGGGAAAAGCTACCATGTAATCGGCGATAAGCTTTACAGCTTGGTTCGAGAACTCCCAGCCCGTCTCCGATTTGCGTGAGTATCCCAGCACCTTGAGCTTTCGACCCTCGAACTTCAAGTTGAGACCCAAATTGAGCTTCAAGCCGGCACTGCTAATGACCTGGAAGGACGACGTGATCTTGCTGAGGATGAGGGGGTGAATGCCTAACTTCTTGGCAATCGCGAATGAGGGCGTGTACGGGTTGCTGCGTTCCGCTTGCATGATCATCTGCTTGGTGACATCCGGCTCTTTGTTCTTCGGGACGGCGACAACAACCTCTGCTTTTCCATTCACATGTCCCGTCACTTCCAATGGGCGGCCATAGGCGAATTCGCCCAGGAAGAAAGCCCTTGTTCCGACTGGAAATTCTTCCTCGATTGGAAGGGCCGCCCTCTCGATGAAGCGCTCATCTTCGTTAACCACTTGCTCCACGATGGTCTGAGACGCGTAGACCTTGCGCAAGCTCGGGTTTTCGGCATATTCCTTGATCAGAGCGCCATCTTCGGTCTTGATAAGGCCCTTGAGCATGTGAACATGGATAAGACATTCGACCTGACCAATCGTGATGCCCAGACGCTTGGCATGCCAGTGTTCCAGGAACTCGGCTTCTTTTGCGTAATCGGAAGCCTCTCTGTTGCTGTGGTCTCTCGTTACGATGTCTTGTTCATTCTCAGCGAGCTCATAGGTAAAGAGTTCGTCTTGCACTTTGACGATTTTGGCTTCTTGGAGGAAAGGATAGCCCACAAAGCAACGCTGTCCCATCTTTGCTTTCCAAGTTTCAACCTTTGTCCGCTGCTCAGTCTCGGTGAGAGTGACGATGATGCTTGGATTCCTGCTGTCTTGCTGGAAAACATTGACTCCGGCTCCCTCCACCAGCTGCGCCGAGTATGGCAGCGTGTGCATGGTTGGGAAGCCGGCAAGGGCTCTGATGTTCACCAAAGCCCCGTTTGTCAGCCCTGAGACGTATTCCAGCCCCTCCATACTGGGCAAGTCGAAAATATTCTCAATGCAGCGGCAATACTGGATATCCGGAAAGACGCCGGGGAGGGGGGAAGGATAGGTAAAGTTCACTTCCGGGGAGAAGGTGAATTTGATAGGAACTCCAAAGCCATTTCGTGCCTTTTCGTCGTCGCTTAGGAGCTCGTTTTTGGGAGCCATGGCAGTGAGAAGGCGCGTTTCGTCAATGAAAGGAATCTTCACCACTGCTTCCCATTCCATCTTTTTGCCGTTCATGTCTAGTTCAAAATCCCTCGGGTAGAAGTCGACGATGGGGGAGTTTGGGTTGGTCATTAGATCGTGATAGACCGTTGGCACGATTTTCTTGCTTCGGTCTGGTAACACTCCCATGAGCTGTTCGTAAGGCTTGAAAGGTTGGCCCTTTTTGAAGTTTAGGTCGGCACCCACGCCCTTAGTAACATCTATTATCAAAAAGCCATCGTCAGTTTAAAAAAAAAAGTTCATAGAGCAATGAAATCAATGCCACGGCGCTTACCCGACGGGAGTGGTGCATAGTGATATCTGTAGAACCACGGCCACGACGCAATACCCCTATAGTAGTAGTAGAGCACCCACTGTAGTCCCTGCACGTAGTTCTCGCAGAGTTTCTTCTGCTCTTCCTCATACTTGTCTTGAGGCCACTCCTCGAATTTTTGCAGGTAATACTTGGTCTTCCAACCTTGGTATTTCTGTTGGTACAGCTCCTCATAATGCTTCTGGGCATCTTCAGGAGTGACGTCAACAACTGTCGCTTTATCGTAGGATTTCATGACACGGTAGGCAGCAAGATTGCCTTCCTCCTCGTCCTCCTCGTCATCGCTGCCTTCTTTCTTAGGGGGAAATGCGATCTTCAGGCGACGGTTACCTTCCTCGTCCTCCTCGGTGTACCATTGAAGACGCATAGACTCGGCAAGGTCCTGAACGAACTTTCGATCCTCTGCCTTGAGGTCGGGTCCCAAGTCGAGTGGTTGTTGAGACCTATTTGAGATGAAGGGCCGAATCTTTTGCTTCCACAGATCCCTCTGAAAGGACGTAATGATGAGCTGGTTGTTCTTCTGAGACCTTGGCTTGGTTCCGTTCCTCTCTCCGAGCGTCTTCTCCATCTGCTTGGATGCAAACCACTTCTGATCCGAAACTTCGTCTTCGAACTGGCTTAGCTCAGTCTTGCTAAGCTCTTCAAGCAGGCGCTGCAGACGAGGCATGCTGATAACACCATTCTCGTTGATGTAGCCGTCACACTGTGGCAGCACAGACTTGTATATCCTGAACATGTTGGCCAAAGCGCCCTCGTTGATGTGTAGGCCGGGAAGGTTGGGCAAGAAGTCGTTTCCAACAAAGAACGCCATCAAGATGAAGTCATCAATGACTCTTTCGAGGTCGAAGGGGAAAGACAAGACACCTTCCTCCTGAAGCTCCTGAAATTCCATTTCCAGGTATTCCCTCACAATACAGAGATGGAGCAAGTAGAAGTTCTGGTGTTCTAGTTCCTTTGACTTCGTCTTGGACGCTCGTCCGAAGGTAACTTCTTCACGCAGCAGACAGAAGTGAGGATCATGGCTGAGAAGCCCCAGCATGATGAGGTCAGCGTCGAGTCCGTAAAGACAGTGTCGTACGTTTGGGTCGTAGTCTGGCTGCGCTTTCGCATTTCGAATGTACTCCATGATCTTGTGCTCTCCTTCACCGGGAACTTCATGCCCGGACAGGACAATGTCGCATCCTTGCCAATCGGTGTCTTCGGAGACCTTCTTGTTCACGAAGTATCGGAGTTGCTGGGACAGCTTGGCCATGAATTCGGTACCTATGATAAGGAACAATGGCCGGTTAGTACCAAAGCTGAAGAGGTTGCACAGGGGATGTTACGAACCTGGCGTAATGCAGTTGCTGTCAAATGGTTCTTCTTTTGGAAGCTCTATTCCTTCCCGGATCGCCTTTTCGCGAGCCTTTTCAGCATCCAAAGCCGTCCGGAATCGTCTAGCACGCTGCTGGTTCATCTTGGCACGAGGGGCGACGCCATCGATCGCCATGAAGAAAAGCTTCTTAGGCTTGATCTTTCCGAACAAGTGTTCGATGTAGTTGAATATGCGGATGAACATTTCTTCTTCGCTGAGTCGAAAGGTGGCATCTTCGCCCGCATCTTTATGTGTGCAGTTGTGAATGATGCCGTTCATATCGAGCTGGCAAGAGACGATTAGCACGCTGCTGCAAGAAAGATCACGCAAGAGGTCATCTCACATAGAGACAATCGAATTCAGGAATCCGATTCTCCGCAATCACCTGCGAGATTGCGGGATAGCGCTCCGAGAGCCATCTGAAGAACTTGGGCACACTACACAGCAGTCGTATCAGCACTGGTAACAAGGGGCTCTGGCAGCCGAGAGACGAACCCCATGATGCCGGCTGCCGGTCAAGTCTGCGCCAATTGTATGTACACGGAGCAAATGTCGAACAAGGAGGATCTTGGAGCCGCAGATACCCGATTGCGCCAAGATGCCAGCCCAGCTGTCGCAAAGGTGGCAGATTCGAGGTTTAAGGACACGGACAGAGGAAACGCCTGCAAGACACAATGGAAGAATGCCCCAGAACTCCTGCAAGAGACCGGTAGCGAATCCAAATCCGACAAGGACGCCTCCAGAAAGTCGAAGCTGGAGCGAGGGAGATTGTATGGCGAGGTGGTGCAAAGGCGAAAATTGCACTGGTTGCGATCGCATGGAATGACTCTTAGTACAGGGAGCGACTCAAGCTGGTACTTTGGCTGTGCGTGCCTGAGGAGGCACCGAGGAGGTACAGCGGGGAGGGGGGTGGCCGACGAGGCTCAGGCTCTGGATTCCCAGCCTTACTAAGGACACGCCCCAGAGCAGCCGCCTCGTCACTTAACGCGCGACGCGACCCGTTTAGCAGCACTTTTAGGTAAGGTCACCTCTTTTCAAGCTTCTTTTCGCAACGAACCTCAGTCTTTTCGTTTTCCCCCTCTAATATTCGCCCTTTTCCGCGCCTCGGGAGCTGCTGTCGTTGCAGCAGAAGCACGCTAGTTTCCTTTTCTTGTTTTAATATTAATCATTAGCGAGAATCTCATCTCTCTCTCTTTCGCCTTTGTTCGATCACCGTTGGTCGATCCAATATGGCGCCTCAAGGTTCTGAGCTCGACCCTCCGGATGGTAAGTTGCCGTGGAAGCTTTGTCCCGCATATTATGCCGCAATGGATACTGACAGGGACCTGCAGTCGAAATGGTGCACGAGGAGGAAGACGACCTGGAGGAACGCCTCATCAACGAGGGTAGGCGTCCTGTTCCCATCGAGACTGAGCTTCTCATTGCGGAGCCCTTCTGAGCTGACATTTGGACCAGAGTACAAGACGTGGAAGAAGAACAGCCCGTTCCTCTATGACATGATCCTCGGGTAAGTTGGCCCGCCAATGGCTGTTTGCACTTGTGGATTGAACTGTTGCTCTAACCTATCTGCTCCAGAACCGCCCTGACTTGGCCTACTCTCACCGTTCAGTGGTTCCCCGACGTCAAGGAACCAGAGGGCAAAAACTATCGCATGCACCGCCTCCTGCTCGGAACCCATACTTCCGACGACAGCCCCAACTTCCTCCAAATTGCCGACGTCCAGATACCCAAGGCCGTGGCGCCTAACCCCGACCACTACGACGAGGAGCGAGGCGAGATTGGGGGCTATGGAAAGGCGGGCGACGTTGCTGCTCTCAAGTGTGACATTGTGCAGAGAATTGAGCACCCCGGCGAAGTCAACAAGGCCCGCTACCAGCCTCAAAACCCGAATATCATTGCTACTCTTTGCGTTGATGGCAAGATCCTCATCTTTGACCGGACCAAGCATCCTCTGCAGCCAACAACGCTGGGCAAAGTGAATGCGCAGATTGAGTTGATCGGCCACAAGGCGGAGGGTTTCGGCCTCAACTGGAATCCCCACGAGGAAGGCTGCTTAGTTTCGGGTAGCGAAGACGAGACCATGTGTCTCTGGTATGTCATGTGTGTTGACCACTCGAGGCACCGCTGCTAACCTCGGTCATGATATAGGGACCTGAAGACTCTGGAAGCAGACTCGCGGATACTGCGACCTGCTCGCAGATATACACACCACACCCGAGTTGTCAACGATGTTCAATACCATCCCATCTCGAAGAACTTCATTGGCTCTGTATCAGACGACCAGACTCTGCAAATTGTCGATCTGCGATCTGCCGAGACCAACAAGGCCGCTCTTGTCGCAAAGCGTGGCCACTTGGATGCCATCAATGCGCTGGCCTTCAATCCCAAGTCTGAGGTTCTCGTTGCCACAGCCTCCGCCGACAAGACGATTGGCATCTGGGATCTCCGAAACGTCAAGGACAAGGTGCACACACTCGAGGGCCACAACGATGCGGTAACATCCCTTGCCTGGCACCCCACCGAAGCCGGCATCTTGGGAAGCGGCAGCTATGACCGGAGAATCATCTTCTGGGATTTGTCCCGCGTTGGCGAAGAGCAGTTGCCCGACGACCAGGATGATGGCCCGCCTGAGCTGTAAGTTGTCGACGTGCCCTTGTTACTTTAACTGGCGATGTGACAGTGTCTCTTGATCATTGCAATGTACCTCGTTTATACAGAGCTAACCCAAATATCACCGCAGGCTGTTTATGCACGGTGGCCACACGAATCATCTGGCCGACTTTAGCTGGAATCCCAACGAGCCTTGGTTGGTTGCCAGCGCCGCCGAAGACAACTTGCTACAGATCTGGAAAGTCGCCGAGTCCATTGTTGGCAAGGATGATGGCGACTTGCCGGTCGATGAGCTTGACCGATAGATGAGGTGGAAGTTCTGGGAGAAGAGTCGATCTTCATAGGATGAAGGCGAAGAACGATTCTGGCATGGAATGGCACATCTTCGCGCGAAATGGGTCAAGCAGATGATGTCTCGCGGTGTCAAAGTCGAGGCTGTGAAGGGTGAGGAGAAGAGCACGAAACCCAAAGAAGATCCACCCAGCGTTGAAAGCCTGACTCTAGTTGATGAGAATCAGGGTGATGAGGATGAGGATGAGGATGAAGGTGAGGAAGAATATGAGGGTGAGGGCGATGGCTATGAGGGCGATGGCTATGGAGGTGATGGCTATGAGGGTGACGACTATGAAAATGAAGATGAAGGCGAGGATGATGAGGGCGATGGCTTTGACGATGAGCTCGAGAATGGCGAGGAGGAGATTACCGAGCACGAGGTTGTTTTGGACGTGAGAGAGCCGGCTTTTAACTGGAGCTGGTGGTTTGAGGGTCGGGGGTCGACGTACCCTCAAGGGCGCTAGTTATTGACAGCAGATATTTTTGCCTTAGGAGACAGGTTTACGCAGTTGTACAGGAAATACAGATTCAATTGTTCGGAGTTGATCGAAAGATGCCATTTTCCAGGTCATTGCCGATATGCGTGGCTGGCAGCTGGGTGGCAGCTGGCAGAGACGCCAGGGGGGGCGGTTGATTTGGTCTGCCTGCTGTTCCATTCTTCCTCATTGGCCAACAGCTCTTCTCAATTCACTTTGACTTCACCTGGAGCTGTTGTTGACCTCGATTTGTTTTCTTCACGTTCCTCAGCAGTTCCTTCAGCGATTGGCGCAAGAGAACAGACTGACCGTCCCAAGAGGAATTCACTCCCATCTCACTTCTTCATCTGCTTCTACACACCTTCAATTTCATCTTTCTTTCACTCCCTCTTCTTCTCTCCTCATCTCCCTAACCATTGCTCCTAAAAGTCCTCCTCTGCCATCGAGCTCAGGCCTTGGAGCCTTCTGTCAAAACACAAACAGAACCATCACCACCTCCCTCACGCATTCTCGTTCACAATAAAACAGCACAATGGAAGCCGACAACGCAGAGGCTGGGCCAAGCAACAGCCCGCAAGGCAACCCCCTCGACTACATCCAAATCGTCGAGGCCGTCAGGCGACGGGCCCTAGAAGAAGAGCTCGAAAACGCCAAAGACGACCCCTGGGTGCAGAGCGTCCGCGACTACATGGTCGAGGGCATGGGCATCGACGTCGACGTGATGGAGGATCTCTTCAAACAGATGGGCAGCGGCATGGAAGGCAGCGTAAGGATGAACTGGATCGGCGACGACATGGGTCTGCTCAGGGGCATGAAGCTCATGGCTATCCAAGACGTCGAGGATGGAGGCTTGAAGAGGAAGAAGTTCAAGTTTGACGACCTCCTCATCGAAGAGTTCTTTGGCGGCGTCGACCCGTACGAGGACCCCAATGAGAACAGCAGCATCTCGTATGAAGGCAAAGACATCCTCACCTGCATCTGCCTCAACGTCGAGCTCGCTGTTGAGCTGGGCAAGCACCTCGACGGCAAGGACATCCTGAACCTCTGCCTCGCCAGCCGTCACTTCTACAACACTGTCAACACCTATCTGCTCTCCAGCGTCCGCTCGTGGATCGAGTACAGAGCTCCTGAAGCCGGCCGCGTCTTCCACTTCCGGCTCTACGCGAAGCATCTCATCGACGATCCGCTCAAGAGGACCTGGTCAGCGCTGAAGGAGGGCCTGACGACGCCGCCCAACAAGGACAGCAAAGTCCGCAAGGTGCCCGGCCTCAAGTACCTGCAGCTCGTGCTAGGCCGCGACAAGTGCTGCAGGGACATCCTCGCCATCATGGCACGCTGCGGCCACCGGATGCCGGCAACGATGCATCACTCGCTGCTGCGGCTGTGGCTCCTCATGGACGTGTCGACCACCAAGCAGAGGCAAGCGATGCTGGAGATGAAGAACCTCTTCACGGACGTCAACCTGTACAACATCCAGATGTTCCTCGTCAAGCTCTCGCTGCTCTTCAACGACCCCGTCTACGGCCCCTGCTCCCTCGATCTGGTGCAGCTGATGATGGGCCAAAAGGGGCTCTTCAAGCTCTGGCAGCTCATCACGCGCAAGAAGTTCTACAAGCTCTCCGACATCGTCGAGCTCAAGCTGCGCTACGACATGCCCTTCTTCAGCGAGGGTACGTACTGGATCGAGCACTCGCTGAACGCGGTCCAGGGCATCCCCATCGAGGACATTGGCCAGTACCACAGGGAAGGCTGGGGAGCGGGCGGCACGCATCTTTCTCGTCCCGACGAACTGGTCCCCGTGGAGGCTGTGCGGCGAGGCCTCAACCTGGATGACCACCTGAACCACATGGCCATCTGGGGATACTTTGACTGGAAGACGGGCGAGAACCTCGTGCCCTCCCTGGAAGAGATGCACATTGAGAACGAAGCCGAGGTCCTTGCCAACGTCGACACGACCGAGCACTGGAAGCCGAAGCACGTCCTGAAGAAGCGCTGGAACGAGCTCACGCCTGAGCAGCAGGAAGAGATTCTATCTGACGAGGAAGACGACCGGCTTCGCGCCCAAGCCTGGACCAGCACCCTGGACGACGACGACGACGCCGGCAGTCTGGACGGATCTTCAGACTCTGACTCTGACGAAGCGTCGGATCTCGACGACGAGATCCGTCGCGGCTACATCGTGCCTGAGCAGCCCAAGGACCGCAAGTCGACTGTTCCCGAGGTCGACGACGCTCAGGGCTGGGTCAACTTTGTCAACCAGACCTTCCTGGGCGGCCGCATGATGGCGGATCTCAAGGAGGAGGAGAAGGCGCGTGCTCAGGCTTTCCGGGACGGAGAGGAAGAGGAGCCGGAGATTACGAGCACGCGGCTTTGGGATGAGATTATCACAGTAGCGCGGATTCAGCAACGGCGGCGACAGTGGATGGAGACGAGTATGTCGCAGGTGGGAGATGGAGAGGAACATGATGGGGATGAGGAGGGCGAAGGCGAGGAAGAACCAGCAGCTCAACGAGTCGAGATGCAAGAGGGAAGTGAAGAAGAAGACGAGGAAGAAGAAGGGGGAGAAGAAGGAGGAGAAGAAGAAGAAGAACAGAGCGACGAGGACGACGAGGATGAAGAGGCTGGTGATGAGGAAGAAGAAGACGACGAGGATGGAGAAGAATATGAAGAAGTGGTCGTCGATGCTGAAGATGAAGATGACGATGATGATCAGAATGAAGTAATGTCTGAGGATGAGGCTGAGTACCAAGATGGGGTTGAGTACGAAGTTGGAGAAGAATACGACGAGGGAGAAGAGTATGAAGATGAAGAAGAATACGAGGGTGAGGAACAATACTACTACAACGATGAAGATACTCTCGTCGGCGACCCCGAAGACGACAACCTCTCGCCCGCCGCCGCCAGCACCACCTCCTCCCAAACCAGCCTCATCAACCAGGCGAACCCCTTCGCACCCATCAACCACCCCAACCACCCCAACCACCCCCTCAACCCCCTCAACCTCATCGACCCAAACAACCTCATCGACGACGCAGACCTCTTCGACGACCAAACCATAAACGCCACCGCCGCCCAGCTCAACAACCTCCTCCGCCAATTCTACTGCCCCCTCCTCAACTACCAGCCCCCCGACGATCCCACCTACCGACCCAGCTTCGTATCCCAGCCAGCCACCACCACTACTCAAATGGACATTGACACGCAGCAGCAGGCGTACCAGCTCAGGCCGCCGCCGCAGCCGTACGCACAGGGCCCGTTCATGGCCCATGATTTCGAGGATATGGATATGGATATGCAGGATGGGGATGGCGAAGCAGAGTATGATGATGATGATGAGGAGGAGCTTTAAAGGGAGATATTTCAGCCGAGAGGTCTCCTCTCCCTGTATACTCGTTTCCTTTTATGGAGAAAGATATGTTTAAGAGTTTCATTGTATGTGTAGAATAACTGCGAGGAAAGGCGTCAAGGGCAAGGCAAGGGATCCGGAACGATTAAAACTGCTGACAAGCTCTTGAGGTTCATCAAGTCGGCGAGTCTAGCAGACGATATACAGGTTAGCAGATTGGTGCAAACATGCTCCGTCTATATAGGTCAAGACACATTACGCAATATCAAGATTGAGATTAGGAGATTAAAAAATATCAACACAGTACCTTGTATCAACATACAAATCCGTCCAGCCACTCCCCGTCCCATCCCGCCCTGTCCAGATCTCACTCTACTTTTTGCCCATATTCCACATCAGACGTCCACGGAACGTAAGGAAAGAAAGAAAGGAAAAAAGAAAGAAAGATGTTAAAGAAAACAATCTGAGACATTCTTAACATGCAGCAAAATCTCAACCGTAGCCAAGCATCGGCACCCCCCCTCCAGTTGAACGAGACTTCTTCCACCCTCACTCCCTCGACCTTTTTCGTTCCTCCCCTTCACCCTCCTCGCCATTCCCAGTGTGCAATAAGAGAGGCTGTGCCATTCGATTTGCCGCAGAACAAGTCATCTTTTTTTGTGCTTTTCCCTTAAGTAAAGATTCAGCCCAACTCCCGCCAAGCCCCCCCTCTCGCCGCGCTCCCGCTCCAGGAAATGCTCAAACTACCTTGACACCTTTCTCTCCCAAGCGCGCGGAATCGAGTGAATGATACAAACGAGTGAATGAATAAAGTACAATGTGTGGGAGAAAGAGTGTCCTATGTAAGAGAAAATGATTGACAGGTTAAAAACAGAGAACAGAGAAGAGAAAGAATTGATAAAGGAAAAGAAGAGGAAAACGGTAACGAGATATAAATCAGATTTGACAAGGAAAATTATGAGAACAAAAAATCAGAGACCCCCTAGGTTAATCTGAGTGAACCATCCGACACCGGCAAACTGGATAATTGAGTCAAACAAGGCCAAGATATACCCTACTCCCTTTCGCTATGCACCAGCACCGGGACAAAGGATTCCAGCAAAAAAAGAATGCCACGTCCGACCGAATATCGAGTCCACACAACCTTATTTCCCTTGCCAAGAACCATGTTTGCCCCCCCTTGAGCGCGAAAGAGAACCAATTTTTTTTCCTCAGCAAAGCTTGTACCACAAAGACTCGTTGACCCAGAATAGCCGTGGTGCTTTTCACTTTTGTCTTCCAGCCTTCGAAACGATTCACAACCCCCTAAAACATATCCGACACTCCGTCCTAGATCCCCCAAAATCAAACCAAATGCACACCAGCCCCTTTCCCTTGAAATAGCAAGCAAGCCAGGTCCGGAAGGTATTTGCCGAGGTCAAATGCTCTATGTTCATCATTCCAAAGATCGTCGAGTGGCCAACGAAAAGATATACCGAAAAGGGTACATTGTAACCAGTTGAGTAAACAATCATCATCTATACACGGCGTCTGCCGCAGGGGCTTGAACCCTATCGCTCTGGCAAAGAGCACGCTTAGGCGGGCGACTTGCTGGGAGTGGCACCAGCACCGTTCTGACGGGCGTCGCCGCTGACAGTGAGGCCGCCAATGCCGCTGCTCAGGAAGGCAAAGGGGTCGTTCTCGTTGTTGCCGGGGTTGCCGCTGTTGTTGTTGTAGAAGTTGTTGCCAGGTCCGCCAGAGACGGGGCCGTTAGTCGCAGATTGGAAAGCCGCCTCGGCAGCTCTGCTGTCAAATGGACCGGCGGAATGCGCGCCAGGACCGGAAGCGAAACCCTGAGAATTCATGGAGCCCGGGTAACCGCCGGCGCTGCCGCCTATTCCTGAAGGGAGAAAGTGGCTAGGGGGGCCGCCGAAGTGCTGGCCGTAGCCACCGCCTGATCCAAAGGCTCCTCCAGAAGCGAAGGGGCCGGGGCCAGGGGTACCGGCCATCGAGCCCTGGTTCATGCCGTATTGAGAGCCGTTATCCATGGGGGAGGGGTAACCGGAGTCCGCGACGACGGCAGCACCAGCGCGACTGGCACCACAGCGGAGACAGCAGACATTCTTTGCAAAGTTGTGGTATCCGCACACTTCGTTTCCGCACTTCCAGTCTCCAGCACGGAAAGGCACGACGCCGCCGCCGCCCATGCGTCCACCGTGACCCATGGGACCGTGGTGGCCGCCGTGGTGAGGAGGGGGCATCATGGCTGGGGGTCCGTAACCGTATCCGTAGCCGCCAGGACCGCCCATCTCTCCGGGACCTCCACTTCCAACAGCAGGGAACGAGCAACGGAAGCAAGCCGTGCGGCGCTGGAAGTTGGAAAAGCCGCAAGAGGGGCAAGTCCAGTCACCAGGTCGGGGGCGGTTCTTGCTCGGCGGGAAGGGCGTCAAGATATCCTGAGCGCGATCCAGGACTCGGCTAGAAGAAGGGGAAACTTCGATAGCTTTCTCGTTCAGGGCACGGCCATTCATACACAAGCTTTCAGCAGCCTAGGGGGAGTTAGCTATGACAGGTTCCTAGGCACGACAGATCTTGTCGACAATAGCAGAAGTCGGGGCAAGACAAATGATCCACTGAGCGGCTGGGGCGGAAGGACTTTTTCCACCGTGACTCAGACGAAGGGGGAGATGAGGAAATGGAGAGGGTATGGAAGAGAGAAATAAGGCAGAGGTTTGGGACTCACTTCTTCGTGAGAAGAGAAGACGGCGAAGCCGGTGCCAGTGGGCTTGTGCTGCTCGGGAGTCCGAAGAGTCCAGAAAGCAATAGGACGGCCGCCAAACTGGGTGAACCAGCTCTCCAGCTCGGACTGGGTAGTGTCATGCGGCAAACCAGACATGTGCAAAACCTTGCTCCTCTCAGAAAGGAACGCTCGGACATCTGCCCTGGCATCCATTGGCCTAGTCAAAACATCAGGGTGATCTTGCGGGGGCTGAGACTTGCGGATCAAGCCACGAAGGACGCGGGCCAAGGTGATGGCCTCCTCCATGGCGCGACGGGGCGAGGCGGGAGCCAGAGCCTGCAGGTGGAATGGCAAGTTATGCTTAATGGGCGCACTTGACTGCACTGGCTCCACCTCGAGAGCCGCGCAGATGTTGGAGAGCATCGAGGGCCCAAAGGGCAGAGACTCGGGGTGGTGTTGCTGCCATCGCTGATATTCAGTTCGCAGGTCGAAGGTGCGGGAGTGCTGCAGATAGGGAGGCAGCACAACGGCCTTGTCGCGGGCTTCTCGCGGGAGCTGAACTCGGAGGTCCCAGGCGTCGAGGGTGACGAAGACGAAGTCAAGGTTTTTCGAAGTCAGGTACTCGGTAGCAAACGTGTCGAAGCGGGTGATGGCATCCCTAAAGGTACCAGCGTTTCGGACATGTTCCCACGTCAGAGTCGTCAGACTCGCTGCGAGGAGAGGGAAAAGCAATCCAGAGTCAGCCCCAGTTTTCAAACAGTACACCGCAAGCTCAGAAATTTTGAAACGCCAATTCTGTGCCCGCCTCACGAGTGCAAGGCAAAAGGGGGCAAGCCGCGACAGACGAGGCCAAAAAAATTCAGATCCACAAGACTGAAAAACTTACTGCATAGCGGGGTGATGGGAGTGTTGACCGGCTTGACGAGGACGCTTTCGTGGGTGATCTATTGTGATGTCGTCAGGTCAGCGATGCTTCGGCTTTTAGAAAGCATGGGTGGCCAAGTAGTGGCGCAGGGGTCTTGGTGGGAGGAGGAGTCTGACCTCTTCGAGAGTGTTGGCATCGAGGAGAATCCATCCAAGCTCAATGACCTCGGCGGAGTCCTTGGTAACGTAGACACCGTGTTCGTCACAGGTGGTCGCAACGTGGATCACGACGTAGCGATCGATGTTGAGCTGGGGCACTTGCTGCGAAGACATGATGGCGGCGGGTTTGCCGGCTCGAGCCAAGTGATGTTTGCGAGATGCAGGCAACGGCGTCGACGACGCTGCAACGATGGCCGGATCACTTGCAATGGGTTGGTCGTTGTTGTACGCGAGGTGGCGTGCACTGCGTGAAGCGCCACTCTGCCCTCCCAGCCGGCTGATCAAGTGCAGGCGGGAACCGGGCGGGTTGTTTTTGGCCTTCTGCGACGAGGCTTCAGGAGGCGGTTCCTAGATAAACAAGAGCCGGAAAAAAATGGAAGCTTCGAGCTCGGGTCGGCGGGCCGGAGAAGTGAAGGATTCGAAGAAGAAGAGAGGGTTCAAGGTGAGCACACAATGAGAGGTCCGCTGGCGGAGGGAAAGATTGGCAGCGCGCTGCCGGAATGCGCAACACACCGTTGACCACAAAGTCGAGCTTTGGAGTACTAGATGGTGAGGGACTCAAAAGAGAGAATGGGAGGTTTGAGAATGGAAGAGACGGAGCGGGAAATTGGTGGTCCAGCAGTTTTCTCTGGTCGTCCACTGCAGTTACTAAGTTAGCTCAGGTACCTGGCCCTCCACTGCGGCCACAGTGTGTGCTCGGCCGCACTAGCAGAGGCCCCAGGGTCGCTCCAGGAGTGCCTGGCCGCGTCGTACAGCACGGCTCAGCACTGCGCGGCGCTGCACGCAGGCCAGGACAGGACGAGGGACGGGGCTTTTTCAGGGCTCTGTGGAGCGGTGGTACAGTATAGAACTCCACGATGGCCTGTCCCTCTCGGTGCCCGGGCTCTCAGCGGCCGTGGGCGCGCTGCGGATGCTCCCAGCTGGCCCGCTCAGCCGCTAGACGTGCCGCAACCCTGCTAGCAGGAGGTACATGTAGTCGAGCCCTCCAGCTGCCAACACCAATGCAGCGTGCGCGCTTCTACGACGGGGCATCGCCACCTTTACTTTGCTTGTAACCAAGGTACTACTAGTACCAGGTATCCAATGCTACGCGTACCTACAGCGAGACCTGGGCAGCTTAGGAAGGCATCGAGGGCGGGCTGGCACAGTCCCACCCAACGGGGTTTCCAGAAGGGGGGCATCCGGCAAGTCGGAGACGGCAATGCTGGGAGGCGTGTATCAGCAAACCAGAAGCCCGTGCTGTCTACCAGCGTTGGTAGGTATGTATGCTGCTGGAGGCATGTCCCAAAGGGACGACCAGCTTGAAGGAATCACAGGCACCTCGTTGTGCCCAGGAGCTGCCATCCAAGGTACTGCGGGCAGCTAGCTCCTGGATAGGAAGAGGTCTGCCGTCCGAAGGAGCAGTCTTTCCGCCGAGGTCCTGGTCTCGGGGCTCCAGATGCTGGCACGAATACATGCATACTGTGCCTGTACACCGTAACTTCATGCTCGATGCTTCGGCTGTCGAAGCACGAAGCCCCATGCCAAGTACTGGGGCACGAAGCAACACAGGTCAGGTATGTGCATGTAGCCTTGCCTAAGTTCCCCAGATCTATAATAGGTTATGCGCAGTACCGTCGCTTTGCTCGATTGGCGAATCTCGCCCTCGAGCAAGGCGTAGTTGTTCCCACATCAAGACTGTCTCCCAACTGCCAATTGCATGTCCTTTGGCTGCCATGGCAGAGGCGGCAGCAGAGCGCAGAATCCGCTGTTGACGACAAAGATTCCAGTAATCGCTATCTGGTGTTGGCCCTTCCGCAAGACTGTCCGCATATGTATGTACGGCTCTGGTCGTCTCGTCAGTGATCAGCATGGCCACCTGACGGCTATCATCTCCGCAGCCATTGGCAACAGCAGCAGAGCAGATGAAGAATCTTGACCCTCAGTAATTCTGGGAATAGGAGCTCTCTCTCACCGCCGCAAGCGAGTTGGAACAGTATGAGTGCCGTGCTTCTTGTCATCCAACTAGCACAGGTTCTCACACCACAAACCACGACCGGGCCCAGGGCAACAAAGCTACAAGCTCACAAGCTTGTCAACTTTCCGAATTGATCAGTCGGCAGTAACTGGCGTCTTATGCTGATATGCACACGAGCACCTATAAGGTAATAACCGACGGGGAGCTGGCATGACGGAAGAGAAGTCCCACATATGTATCTCGCAGCCCATGGACGTCGAACCAAGACGCCGGTGCCGTGTGGCGAGATGGGGTTGGTCTTCATCGTGCGGTCTCTGGCAGCTCTCCATTGTCTATGGCCAAGGGAGAGTTGCTTGCCACTTATGATACCCAGCCCACGTATCGCGTTGAGGTTTGCTGCATCGTCCTGCCAGGGCTGCGTCTCGGCCATTTGTGCGCAGAGTTCAGCACAGTGTGCGACACCCCAGCCGCATCATGCTGAATCAGGTTTTGACTAGAGCTTCTGTTGGCAGCAAAGTGACGAGTCTCCTGCAATCTAGGTTTCTCTTCGAGAGGGCCACTTCTTTCTCCGTCTTCGGTAGTCTCCAGAAGGGATATACCTGAACTCACGTACCTACTGGTATTGGTATTTCCTTTGCCCATGGTGCTCTTTCTGAACGAAAGTATACAGTGCTATGGTAGACTTGGACTCGACTCAGGCAGTGCAGGTCACGAGCCCGCTGGAGCATGACACTTCTTTCTTCTTTCTTCTTCCGTTTATGTGAAGTGGTGCCTGGTTCCAGAAGAGAACCCGTCCTGGACTGGACCTGTTTTAGTCGGCACACTAAAAGGTATTTGCTCCCGCATGGTTATCGGTATGTCGGGAATACCCGCTCTGCGAGACGTCCTGAGGCAGAGCCAGCGAGGGCAGGCGGCTTCTTCGTGTCAGTGTTTCCACATAAAAAAAGGAGAGGCGCCTTACCGACTTGACAGAGGAGCCATCTAGCTCGGGTGAAGAGTGGGAAATGATCCGATTTGAGTTGCGGATAAAAGGATAAGACTCCCGGTAACTCGGACAGCTCAGCGGCGGTAACGAACCGACGCAGGCGGCGTGATGACGGTCAGAACAAAAGGCATCTGCTCGCGTTGTTCGGACACAGTGCCCTGAGCTTAGCGTGGCCGTTGCTTCGTGACATGGAGGCAGGCAATGGCTTCTAAAAAGACGCGTCTGAAGGTCATTCTTGGGTGACCAGGCGGGGGTTTCGTCTCTTGGCATCTCCTCACGGAATTCAGGCCAACCACGAAGCCTGTGCTGGTGTCCGGTAGCCGGGCAGCCATCTGATTGGTCTGTTTAGACCGGCCCGGATCGGTTTCTAGAACACTATCAGAAGTGCGATGCCTATGGTTGTTGGAGAATCATCGCGCCGTATCTGTTTCCGGTCCCGCAATGCCAACTGCCATGCGCGTCTCATACCTATGTGGAATGTAGCTGCAGTGCATCTTGTTGGCCTTTTTAGGGTCACCAGAGTTGCGTCGGTGAGCCTGATTAGATGCCAGCCATTTCAATCATCTTTGTTTCTTAGCCTTGCCCCATGCCGCAGGGATTGCCGGATACAACTCTGACTCCGATTCCCAGCTGAGACCTATCCAGCATTGTTTCACCTCCGCTCCCCGCATAGCATTGTTCTGGCATCAACCAGGAGACCAGTCAGAAATGATGCGGCTCTTCATCACGGCAGCATCCGAAAGCCGGGGTCGCGACTTGATTCCGTCGGAGCGCGCGCTACCTAGTATATGAGTCGCTGGTAGACAGAGATTCACCGGCGCCGATTCGTCTCGCTGAGAGGTCCATGGGGACGCTGTCAAGAGGAGTGAAGTCAGCACATCGCGGCTAATCCAGGAATGAGGGCCGGTTACTAATGGGGTCTTACGTTACACCACCTTGGTAAGAAGAGAGGTTGTCAGCCAGGCCTCATGCAGATGAGACATTGTAGCCGTGTGCCTGGATCGTAGGTATCTGTGCATCTCACCTCACCTATACCGATAGGATGGTTTGCTCCTACCTTAGGTATAGGCCACTTCGGCGTGGCTTTGCACAGTGTAGAGGACAGTAGAGACTTCCATTAACGCTTGAACCGTCTCCCTTCAACGCGTGGGGGAGAAGATGTGGCGTCCCCTCTTTCACCTCTTCTGCACGCCTGAAACTACACTGGAGCATAGAAGCGGAAGCACTTGCGGGAAACTCGGTACAGCTTTCCCAACTGAGGGAACGTTGCCAGCTGGTGAGCTCGAAATGAGGAAAGCACCTGCAATTGAGTTTGAGCCACTACACCAAGCGAAGCGCCTTCCTGGCCGCGGGCCGGAATGTCATTCACGTGCGCCTACGTCATGCGCTCCTGTCCTCGGCTCTTGCTGTGCGTCATTGTTGGCGCATCGCGGGCCGCGATTGCCTCGATGCGGCGGTTGATGGTGGTTTGGGTGGTTTGATCAATGTGATGTGATGGTGGTTGATTGCGTGAAGCCAGGACTATCGGCGTGACTTGCTGCACGCATCATGTTACGCAATACAAGTACAGAGGCCAAAACTCTAAGCAGCCATGACATGCCAGCCTTGCAATAGAAAAGGCACTTGCCTCGTCATTTTCACTTGACTTTGTCACTTCGGCGGATCATCTCTTTCACCTGATTCTGGGCTTTAGAATCGACAGCTTCACTCCAACCTCTTGCCCAGCTCTTGCGAATACTGCGACTCCGCAGACCAATCACACACTTCTATATCAAACTTGCAGCCTCAGCCTACCGTCATCATGGGTGCTTGTGCAGTCATTTGGCTAGTCATTCTCACCATTTTCCGTATGTCAAGATAATAAGAAGACCGAGCCAAATACTTTCTGGACTTACTAACGACGATTCTCAGTGCCTCCGGTCGGCGTAGCCTGTGTGGCAGGATGTGGAATGGGTATGCATCTTTTCTTCTCCCTCTACCATGATGCCCACTGCAGTGTCGCACTGCATCGTGGGATGAACCGCAGTAAGACGATATGCTGACTCACTCTAGATGTCTTCATCAACATATGCCTGACAATTCTTGGATACTTCCCGGGGCATATACATGCGTTTTACATCGAGTATGTCTATTTTGATAGGCGCCAACAGGGCCGCGAGGGTCATTATCCTCCGCGTCGTGCTCCTGGCATCTATTCTGAAAAGGTGCAAACTGGCGGACATGGCCCACGGCCGGGCTATGGGACGATGGCACCACCGGTTGCGCCTGTTGCGCCTGTCGAGCCTGTCGGTGGCCCGACGTACGAGAGCCAAGGCTATGGGAATCAAGGATACGCAAATCAGGGCTATGGTACCCAAGGACATGGTAACCAAGGATATGCCTAATGGCCTGTATCAGTACCACCGGGTATGTTAATGAGATGATGGAGAGAGAATGAGGATCCAGGTTGATGGAGTCACGGCAACGATATGCTTGGGGTATATAGCTCGTTGTGTAGGCTGCGTAGTCAAGGTGAAACATAATCAAATAATGAGTAGACTTGGACTAGAACCATGCTCAATTGAAGGACAAAGAGCTGTTTGGAAGAACGCGACGTTGAGACGGTTCGTGCACTTATTGCAGCTTTGATATGGTAACTGAAGAGACACGAGATGACATCACCGCGGCCGAGCACCTCCGCATTGCTGTACGGAATTTCTCGTCTGCAGGCTCGGTATCGACGGCCAGCAAGGCATCTTTCGAGGCCAATCGGATGCCCGCGATGGACTGCAAGATGCAGTGGCCTGAAACACGTTGCGAATCATGCATTTATCAGCGAGCAGAGGCGGTTGAGTCAAAGGTGCGTCGACGACGGAAGAGCAGCGAATTGGCGTCCAGCTGCCCCGCGCTCCCGCATAATATTGCCCCAGCCTCTGATGAGTGCGTTTCTGGGGCAGAAGAGGCCTGTGGACAACATGACAGGAAAGGGATTCGGTATTCAGGCGAGAGATCAAGAGAGAGAATGATACTGATAGTGCTAGAAGGACAAAGCAGAATTATACCTTAGGTAGGTAGGCAGGTAGTAGAAAAGTCCACTGGTCTGTTGAATCGTCCAATGTGATGATTGCTCGAAAATCGCACCAATCTTTATGGCCAATTGGCTGCATCCTGGCTGGCGACGTTTCTTCAGCGCTTGGACCCAGGCAGTTTCTGCATCTGCACGCTCCTTCGCACATGTACGAAGCAACCTGTAAGCAAGCTGGCGACGAGCATCACTTCACAGCGCCGTGATTGGCCTGGACGGTGCTTGTTGACGCAAAGCAAAAGCAGCAGCTTGTGTGCCCCCGAACAAGTTGCATCGCTCTGCCGCCGTCCACACCAATCGTCACCCACACGCGCCGCCGCTCTCACACGCTTCTGTCACTGTCCTTCTTGTCGCCTTTCCGCTTCTGTCGGCGAACACGTCGAGATGCCTCGATCCAGCCAATAGACGGCGCACACGCCAGCAAACAGCTGCGGCAGGGATGATGCCAGAAACGCAGTCCTGTCAAATCACAGCAGAGGCGGCTGAAAGTATTCACGCATGCATTTCATCCAAGCTTTTTGCCACGGACTCGAACGCTTCGAAACGGCCGGCCCCGGAAGGCAGAAGCCCGTTGAGCAGCGGCCACGACAGTCGTGCAGCTTCGCATTGGCGCTTGTGCAGCTTGTGCATTGCATCTGCTTCCTTTTTGTCGTCGTTTTTCATGGATCAATCCATTTCTCTTTTTGCTCCGCCCACGCCCGGTTACGAGGTGATTTCTGTTGCGCTGCCTGGCGCTGCCTTCAGTTGTTGGTCTCTTGGTTGAAGTTGTCTCTTTGGCCCCCCCTCACTCTGCTTACTACTGAGTACTACTGCAACTGCACCTTTACCCATCAAGCCTGGCGGCTTCGCTCTACTACGACTACACCATCACAGCCTCCGAGAGTCTCGGTCCTCAGTCCTCAGAAGCGACGCTCTGCTGCCCGTCTCTCTGCTCCGGTTCTTCGTCCATCTCTTTCGTTTCTTCTCCCTCTGTTGTCCGTCGTCGAGCTGCAGCAGCTGCTTTGCCACGGCAGCATCAAAGCAACATCAATATCATCATCATCGTCGCCACACCACCACCACCTCCTCCAGCCTGCTGCTTGCCACTTTGCTGCTATTTCCAGCACGCTCGCGCATACGAACATCTGCATCTCGCTGCTGGTCTGCCCTATTACCACCCGCGCTCTGCCTGCGCTCGCTAGTACATGCATACATACCTACATATGTACAGACATACATACATATCCGTGTGAGACTCCGCCAACGCTACCGTCGCCAGCTACCTTAGCATCTGCCTCCTGTCGTGCCACTCTGTCACTAGCGAGGGACACCCTACAGCACACGCATCCTGCCCTCCTCCCTCTTCCCCCATCCTGTCCTGTCCTGTCGACGCCTGGACCGGGGACCTTGTCCGCATCGACACGACCGTCTGTCTGCGGCAATGCCTTGAGGCCCTCGGAGCTGCACAGCTTGCATGTTCCGCGCCCGATGTCTTGCTGAGACCCTGGGCCGATCGTCGCCGATACCCAACACCCCAACTCCTCTCCCAACTGGCCCTGCCTGCTCTGCTCTGCCTTGCCTTGCCTTACATATATTGTATCAAACCGCCTACTCGCTTCTCCCTGTCCATCATGTCTCTGCCCACCTCTGGCTCTCAGCCGTCGTCTGGCCATCTTGAGCCTCGGTCTGAACCTCGGTCTCAGTCTCAATTCCAATCCCCATCCCGGTCTGAGCCCCAATTGGTCACTCAATCTCAAGCTCAAGCTCAGTCTGCGTCTGCTCAGTCTCCCCGGTCGTCATCGACTACCATTGAGCAGCATCGTGGTGTCAATTCCCTCCCACCTCCCCTCAGGCGTTCCATCCAGCCTAATCCGTCTCCGACGAGCCTTGTGTCCTCCACTGCTGAAGGCAAGCCGATCCCGGTCGATGATTCGACAGTAGAATACCGCACCACCGCCCTCCGAGAGCTCAACCACAACTTCCCGAGCCATCGCTACGCCAAGTCGACCGGTGCCCAGAGCAGCACATACTCGGAGCCTGTCATTGTCCGGAGCTATTATCCCCCGGTGCCGTCCAGCAGGCCGTCCAGCTCGTCGCGTGGCCCCGTCGCTCACGGATCGTCCGTCTCCGGCATTGGTGCCGGTTCCGGTTCCCAGGTCAGCCGCTTTGCCGAAGCGGTCGCCGGCGTCCCTTCCAGGCTCGTGTCCGGAGAGCACGGCATGCTGGGCAACATGGTGTTGTCCTTTGGAAAGAAGCCCGTCAACGGCCGCGCCGAGGACGAGGCGCGCCTGCCCCCGGTGGAAGCCTTTAGCTTCAAGAGCTTCATGGCCAACCTCGAGGCGCAGGGCGGCGGCATTGCCGGTGATATCAATGCCGATCTAGACCGGATTGCCGAGATCTGTGCCAGGTCCAGGTACTCGCTGAGCAACCAATACGAGGTCCATTACACTCCCCATGGATCCGGGACCTCTTTCTACAACGCCTCGGCCCATAATGACATCCAAGGCCCAACCCTGCAGGTAGTCTCCGCAGACGATGAATACAGCGTAGGGGCATCCGCCCGGAGGCGGAGACGCATGGCCCGAAGGAACAGCAGAGCCGTAGGCACGCTAGAGACCATCATATCGACCAGTCGATCCTCGGACGAAGAACAGCCTGGCAGGAAGAAGACCGCCTCCGAAATTGCCGAGGAGGTTCGCGGTCGAACGGCGCAAAAGAGCTCAAGCCATTCCTCGGCCAGCAGTTCTTCAAGCGGCACTCTCGATGAGCGCCGTGACGCTTACCAGGAAGACGCTGCGCCGAAGAAGTCATCAACTTCACTTGCTCTCATCGATCCGTCTACGAGGCATACCGGCGCGGCAATAGATTCCCCGCGCACCTCGGCCACTGGTCTCGTCAGTGAACCGGCGCGGCCACAAGAATCGACGAGCCAGCTTGAGATACGCACAGCGCCAGGTGAGCCCCATGAGGAACCACCCGCCACCCTCCTCGTCAAGGAGACACCACTTCCGCCCAAGCAAGTCGGCCTCTCCGTGGCAAAGGGAGCCATTACGCACACAAAGACAGATACTGCAGGCGGTGGCATTCTCTCCATGATTCACGGATGGATGCCATGGAGGCCGTCATCCACCTCCACCCATCACCACCACCATCATCAGCAGCAGCAAAAGGGCCTTGCAGAGGGGAGTCTCCGGGAACTCTTAAAGACAGCCGAGCCCAAGGGCAAGGGCCACGAGATCCTGCAATAGTTCCGATTGGAAAGGGGGTATCATGGGATATGAAGACGCGATGTCGAGCGGGAATTCAAAGAGGAGGTGAACACAGAACGATCCTCTTTGCGCCATTGTCTATTCCATCTTTCTTAGGTAAAGGCTTGGTTGGTTTAGCTTTGATTGGGTATGTGTACATGGGAGGGAAGCTTTTATGATACCACATTGGCCGGGGGATATGATTGATGATGTTATGACGAATTAAAGTGACCCATGACCTGTTTTCTATTTCCCTAGATAGTCGCACAAGAAGAAAAGGAGTTGACGAAAACATGGGAGGTTTCATGACGTGTCCTAAGCATCCGCTGCGTCTATACCCAGTATCAAAATCATGCCCTCGGAGGACGCAAAAAGAACATATGGCTTGTCTTTTGTCCGCTGTAACGGCTTTCATATATTAACTTTCTCCACGCTGGAAGAATCCGCTTGTTTTCTTCAAATCCGTCCCATCTACATGCATCTTTCTCTCTCCCCAAAAGCCCGCGCTTTCATCGAAACATAACCCCGACTGTCATCCCCCCTACTTGCCATGCCATGCAGTATTTCACCTCACCCTCCCTCCCTTTGCGAAGAAAACACATTGAAAAAGTAGATGAAATCCATTTCCACGTTAAACCACCAAACGCCAGATGTGACCCCCCCTTTTGAACACCTTTCGAAAGAGAAAAAGTGGACAAGAAAGAAAGAAAGCTAAATAAAGAACGTCAAAAGGGGAAATAAAAAAGAGGGAAGAAAAAAATGACTCTCTCGTGCCACATGTACGGCATTGTATTACATCAACACAGCGCCCTCTCCTCATCTTTTCAGCTTCCAAGAACCAAGACCGCGAGGCGGGAACGAGACAAAGAGGCGGCAGCTTATATATCAGACAAGAAAAGGGCGGGGGGAAAGCTCGCAAAGCAAGGCCGGGAAGTTGAATGAAGATTGAACCTCCATTCACTCCTTCGTAGCTGTCGTCGTAGTAGAAGCAGTGCCGCCACCCGCGTCCGCCGACTTCTGATCGACGTGTATCCGCTTAACGCTCCTCTCCCGATCATGAGTCTCTGTGACGCGTTTCTTATCTTTTTCTCGAGTGCCATCCTTGGCGGCCTTGCGGGCCTCTCGGTCTCGCCGCTCGTTTTCCTTCCGCAGAGCCTTGGATTCAAATTCGTGCCAGTCACCACCAATGTTTGCCAGCCTGTCATGGGAGGTTAGCCAGTTACTTCGTCATTGAGATATGGCTTATTAAAAGGAGGAAACTCACTCTATTGCCTGCCGGGGCAACGGCTCTTCGGTGGTAAAGTATGGGTGCTGCAAGACCTCGGACGCAGTAGGTCGCTTGGCCGGGTCGTAGCGGAACATGGATTGCAACAGGTCAAAGGCGGCAGGGGAGACTCTGTCTTTGTATTTTTCAGCAAAGACGCTCTTTCGCTTGGCAGTCGGTCTGAGCAGCTCGAACCAGGCCATGTCGGTAATCCCAGGCCAGTCCTGGCGGGTTGGCGTTCCCAGTGTGTTGTAGATCTTCTCCAGCTGGCTGAGCTCCGTCCCATCTCCAGCAAAGATGGCGAGTCTGGTGAAGATCTCCACCATGACACACGCCGCGCTCCAAACGTCCACGGCGGCGGTGTACTTGGTTTCTCCTAGCAAAAGCTCCGGCGATCGGTACCAGATCGTAATGACCCGATTCGTGTAATCCAGCTGGTGTCGCTTCGCGTAAAATCGAGCCAGACCGAAATCTGCCAGCTTCAAGATCCCATCGCTGCTGACCAGAATGTTGGCCGCTTTAATGTCCCGATGAAGAACGCCTCTCTCGTGAAGGTAGTCTAGGCCTTCAAAGAGTTGCTTGGCCATGTGCTTCTTCTGGGCTGCGTCTAGCGTAAACGAAGGGTGGTTGAGCAAACCCGTCAGATCGTGAGAAAGGTACTCAAAGACCATGAAACAGTCATTCTTCTCCACCATGACCTCCTGAAGGTTGACGATGTTCGGGTGTCGTAGCGATTGTAGCAGCTTGATTTCTCGCACGGCCGTCACCGGGAAGCCGTCTCTTTCGCCCTCCATCCGAATTCGTTTGAGAGCGACAAGCCCCTTGGTGTAGACATTGAGCCCCTTGAATACCTTTCCATATGTACCCGAGCCAACGACAGACTCGTTTCCAGGTTTTCGGAAGAAGACGGAATCCGAGTCAATCAGGTCCGGTGGGAGAACAGGTCGGGACTTCGGCCGCTTCATGATCTTGGTCACTTTACGCGTTCTGGGCGCCAGTTTCGGGCCCTCAGGAGGGTGCCTAAACTCTCGTCGAGAGCGGGCCGATGACGGCTCGGTAGGAGCGCTTGGAGGAGGTTCCCGATCACGGTTGGTGGTTTGGGTCTGCTGCGGAGGAGGCTCTTTCTTTGGCGGCGCGTTGAATTTCTGGGAAATCTCAGGTTTCGGAGCGGTAGGCGTTGGCTTTGAAGACGGCTTGAAAGCAAAGCTAAACTTGCCGCCTCCGCTGCCTGGCTTGGGCGTGGGTTGTGATGGAGCCTCAGCATTGTCCTTGGACGTGCTTGTGTGATTAGCGGGAGCAGATGGTACGTCGTCCGAAGGTGCCTGAGCAGCATCTTCAGGAGCATCGGTAGCTTCGGTATCTGCCACGGTACCTGTCTCAGCGTCTGCAGGATTGGCCCTTCTATCCCCTTCTTCGTCTGATGGCAAGCCATTGCTACGAGGGGGAGGGGGCGGTGGCGGCGGTGGTGCCTGAGATGCAGGGTTCCTAGAAGAGCTTTGGAAGGCAGAGCCACGGTAGCCACCTCGGTTTGCAAAGGAGCTACCACGAAAGCCACTCCCCCGGTGACCCCCTCGATAGCTGCCCTGAGGCCCAGTGGGTGCTGCATAAGGAGGCGAGTGCAGAGGATTCACGTGGTAGTGGTTCTGTGATCCGTTCTGCGGAGGGCCAGCGGGAGCGTAGCCGCCGCCAGCATGAGCATACTGCGGAGGATATTGCCTAGTCATCCCCGTTAGCAACATGCGACGAAAGCAGGGATATGCACAGAGGGCGATACATACTGTTGAGGGGAGTACTGGTGCCCGCTCCACCCGCCACGACCAGCGCCATAGGGCGATGGAGATGGGGAATTGTGAAAAGAGCTCGAGTGCTGGGGAGACTGGGAATACCCTCGCGGGTCGTTGCTGTGGTGGGACTGGTGAGTATAGGCGGGGTTGTATCCTCCTCGATAGCTGCTCCGAGACGTCATGTCGTCGTCGACGTCCGACCGCGAGGCGTGATGCGGCTCGGGGAAGTCCTTGCCTCGCTTCCGGTCTCTATGGGAGGGGGGAGAGCGAGGTCTGGGGTCTCGGTGGGCAGGGCGGTAATCGACGTCGCCTCGCGTCCGGTCGTCAGTGGCAGTGCGGACCGTCAGGGTAGGTTCGCCCACACGTGACTGCGAGCCCCTACGATGTGAAATGGAGTGCCGACTGCTGCCAGCTGGCGGGGACCGAATTCTCGATGGACTTCGGGGCGCCTCGTGTCTCTGGCGGTGCCGGGAGTCGCGTCGAGACCTTCTCCTGTCGCTCGCGGGAGATCGAGATGGAGATCTCCGCCTTGAGCGGTGGCGGTCCTCCTCGTCGACTCGAGCAGGGGATCTATGGGAAGAGCGATGACGACGCGGCGAGGAGTCTCGACGATCACGATCGGTCGAATGGTGTCTTCGTCTCTTGGAGTCGGCTTTGGACTCTTGGTCTCGGTCTCGGCCGCGCGGTGGCGGACTGTGAGTCTTCTTGTAGCGCTTCCTGCGTGACGGGCTCAAAGACCGGCTGCGGCTGCGGCTCCGGCTCCTGTGTCGCTTAGAGGAGGACGGTGAGCCAAGCAACCCGCGATCACGTTCTCGCTCGCGCTCACGCTCGCGCTCTCGACCCCGCTCACGACCTCGCTCACGGTCTCGCTCACGGTCACGGTCTCGGTCTCGATCTCGGTCTCGATCTCGGTCACGGCTCCGACTGCGGCTACGGCTGCCCCGAGCGGTCCTGGCCTTGGCCTCGGAGGAACGCGCCTTGCTCTCCCGGTAGCGAGGGATCAGGTCGTCGGGCTCGGCGGGCTGGCGCGAGGATGCAGGCCTCTCCCGCCGGGAATAGTCCCGGCTGCGGTCTCGAGAGCGATGCCGGTGCGCTGGCGCTGGACTTCTGGGGCGATGGTGGTGACGGGCGTAGTCGGCACTGTGACGGGCCTCGTGGGGAGGAGATCCTGGTCGATCCGAGGACGTCACTCCTCTGCCAGATCGAGGCCGTTCTCTGTAATCATGGCTTCCTCCGTCGTCTCTCATGGCAGCATGTCGAGGGCGACGCGGAGGCGATGTCTTCTGCCCCATTGAACTTGCACCTCGTCTGAGTTTTTAGCGTCGCAGCGCTGGTAAATCGCCGCACCTTAGCCGGAGGAGCAAGGGTCGAGAGGCTTGTTCCGTCCCACAGCCTGGGGACCGGCGGCGCTGCGATGAGGGTTTGTGAGAGGGCAGAGTGCTGAGAGGGGGAGGGTTGAGAAGGGGGAGGAGAGGGAGCGACAACAGAAAAATGATGAAGAGGCAGAGCGTGATGGGCGCCTGGTGCCACAGGGCCGAGCGCTTCCCTCCAGAACTGACCGCCGTGATGATGCCCTTTTTCGGACGCCTTTGAGCCTCAACCGCGCAAAACTGCGCCGGCTCTTCCCCAAACCGTTCTCGCACCTCCGCCACGCCCCAAAGCCACCGGATCTCTTGGACATGCACTTGCAAGCTTTCACCGTCATGGCAGTTGTTCTCATACGTCCCTCCTTCACTTCATATCCTCCCAAGACATGCAGACGACAGCCCACCACGGCCAGTCGCCTAGACCAGCCAGCACATGCTCCAGCCGTCATAAACCAGCAGCAAGGCGCTATATACGTTGCAATCCTCGTTGGATCATTTACGAAACTTACCCAAGCAGCATCAGTCGCCCATTATAACATCGCCTGCGAGCGCGACTTGGCCAGCTGCCCCGTGTCTGTCGGCTGGCGATGGATAGTCTCAAATGGGCGAGCTGACCACCGAGCATCATGTGCAGAGATGAAACGCGTAGGTCTGGCCTTTGATCAAGACGTTGGCTGCGCCGTGCCGTAGCCATTCCCTTTGCCCTGTCCTTCGCTTCTTGCTGCTTTGCGGGAGACATAGAGCGATCCTCTGATGGTGGAGTAGCCAATCATCAATCAGAGCAGAACTTCAAGGCCGATCAGCACGTTCTTGGACGAGCACTTCAACAGCATAGAAGGCCAAAGAAAACTCCTCCCTCAACACCATAGCGAGCAAAGTGGCCGGAAAGGTTGAGCGACATCATCAGTGCCGGTTCATGTCGTAAGCAAAGTCCCTAACCCGCCAGATTCCGCGCTTGCAGCATGTGAGGACTGCCTTGACAGGTGAGTAGAGGCAGACAACGCAACATGTGCCTTAGGAGGACAGGGGCTCAGGCGTCGAGAGCCATAATTTATCCGCATGGCGGGTTGCGTTTTATCCGACATATGCAGTGCCGACATCATCCAAGGGCCATATCCGCCACAGCGAGATGCCGCTCGCGTGTGGAGGAGTTGCAAATGGGGCACAGCGAGGCTGTTTACAGGTGCCTGGCTGCGGCGCAGACAAAGAGGTGGTGGTGGGGTTCCGGCGACAGGACAGGCTCGTCCACGGGTTGGCGATGATGTAGTATATCACGTCTTCCTCCGTCGCCCCAGCATGCCCAGTCCTGATCGTGTCGGCTCGTGTAGCGAAACGATATTCCGGGGGAACGAAGCTCCAAATCGCTCGTCAAGGAGTCAGCAGCTCCCTGGGGATTCACACTCCCCCTTCGCCCCCGGCAGGCGGCAATGAACAGAACTAGAAAATCATCCCGGCTTCCTTTCTGCGGGAGATTCCGACAGCCACGGGCGCTGTATCTCGGTGAGCATCGACGTGGGCTCGTGGCGTGGTGATGCTGCTTCGCTTTGCTCTGCTTTGCTCTGCATGTTCTTACGCAGAGTCTCTTTCGTGCGGATCACACGCCAAAAAGGCGGCTCGGCCACGTGACACACCAGGTGACATGCCTTGTCCACAGGAAGACAAGCTATACCCAGAATGTACTAGCGCCTTGGCGCGAGCCGAGAAGCAAACGGATCGCCACCTTTATCTTTGATTGGAGCTTTTCGATTCGCAAGAAAAGGGCCGGGAATTTTGATCAATTGAGAAAGGCCATGTGGAAGAGGAATCAACTGCGACGTGCATACAAAGACTGTGCCGAGGCTCCTCGAAGCTGGAAGCAATTTTACGCAGACGACGTGCTGATTGTACATGGTACCTGCTAACGCCCCAGCAATTCTTCCACACGCAGGAAGAAGCAGAAGCCGAGGTTACACTAGGAAAATCCAGGTCAACAGACGAGTAATGCGGTCCCTCGATGGATCCGAGTTTGATCTAGAATAGATACGGAATACTATCCCGCCTGTGAATTCTAGCATTCACTTGCCGCGGCTCGGTGAACATGCCGCCTTGGGAGGTGGGCCATGCTGTTGTGCCTCGATTGCTAAGGGAACAGGTACCTCTCCGTCCTCTCATACAAGCAGAAATCGGATGTACCTCGCTGTACGGTCTACTCTGTCCGCGCCCATGGAGCCACGACTTGCAGCTGTACTCTGTACAAACCCAACATGGGGCCTAAGGCCACCGGTGGGTTTTGCTGTCTTGTACAACCCTCCTTATCAGATCGCGGGCCTTTTTTCTCTTCTGTATTTGCTTCTTCTACTGTACACCTGTTTCACTCAGATAGACTTGATTGGCGTTTCATTGATAGCCTATTCGTCTTCCTATTGCCAGCCTCTATCTTGTGCTCATTTATCACAGCCCTTTGGGTGAATACACTTGACCAGCTTGGGCATCTAACATTCCCCTGCAATGGAGTGGTTAGGAAGAGCCAAGATCGAATTCACCCATTCGCCAACTCCACGGACAATCAAGGAAAAAGACGGCCATGAGACAGACCTCCTCAAGATCTGCGAGTCAAACACGCCGCCATGCCACCTGAACCCCCTGCTGTTCAACGGCCATGTACAGACAATGTGGACGGCCACGAAGCCACACGGGCCACTCATGTACTACAAGCGCAAGGTCTTCCAGGCCGAACACGAGGCCTATGAGGGATCCTTTGCCGTCGACTTCGTCGTGAAGCCTCACGAGGGCCGGGACGAAGGCTTGCCGCCCCGGACGGTGCACTACTCGGACGAGGAATGGGCCGACGTCGGGTCGGACGATGCGAAGCCGATGCTGGTGGTGCTGCACGGCCTCTCGGGTGGCTCTCATGAGGTGTATCTGAGACACACGCTTGCTCCTCTGCCAGAGCAAGGCTGGGAGATGTGCGTGGTCAACTCTCGGGGCTGCGCAGGCAGCAAAATCACCAGCGGCATCCTGTACAATGCCCGCGCAACGTGGGATATCAGACAGGCAGGTTGCCCCCCTTATTCGCCTGAAGAGAATGTTGAGATTCTAACAAGAGGAGAACCACAGGTGGTCAAGTGGTTGAAGAGGACATTTCCGAACCGCCCACTCTTTGGCATTGGCTTCTCACTCGGCGCAAACATCATCACAAACGTGCGTTTTCACTTCCTTCATATGGGTAAGCCATCAAGTTCCGGCTAACATCTTTGCCAGTACTGCGGTGAAGAGGGTTCAGAGTGCCTCCTCAAAGCCGCCATTGCCGTCTCAAACCCCTTCAGTCTGGACATTGCCAGCAGAACAATGTCGAGCACCCTCATCGGCAAAGAACTCTACCTCCGAGTCCTGGGTAGTAAGTGCCCGTCCCCAAAACACCTGCACGAAAAGCCATTGACTCATAACCCATCACAGCTGCTATGAAGTCCTTGATTGAGCGGCATAAAAAAGAACTTCAAAAGCACACCAAGTTGGATCTGGAAGCCATCGCAAACACCACTTATCTAAACGAGTTTGATCGGGAGATTCAGTAAGTTTGCCTCTCAGCCTCATCAATTGGGTACACCAGGTGGAAGAATATCGGGCAGACTCACATTATCTAGGTGCCCGACATGGGGATATCCCACCGAATTTGCGTATTACCGCGACGCTTCCTCGACAGACGCAATCCTCGCCATCAAGATCCCATTTCTAGCAATTTCAGCCATCGATGACCCCGTGCGTACTTTATCTTTGCCAGACCACTGAGCCAGTAGCAAACTGACAGTCCTTGTTCCAGATTGCGGTCAAGGAAGCTATTCCCTTTGAAGAATTCCGCCAGAACCCCAACACCGTCTTGCTCACCACATCCTTGGGCGGCCACTTGTGCTGGTTTGAAACTGGCGGAACTCGCTGGAACACTCGTCCGGTACGTACTACACAAAAAGGGATGACATTCACGTCTATGAGACTTGAGCCACTAACACATGTGTTTAGGTGTGCAACTTCCTCAACCACATGGCATACAAGGTTGATCTCGACAGCCTCGTACCAATGGATTACCCACCCAAGGAGAAGGCTTTCGCCGCCTCCGAGTACGACCCAATGAGACGTAAGATGTACATTGTGCGGAATTAAAAAGTCTTAGACTTTTTCTTCTTTTTGTCTAGAGCATGGGATAATAAAGGGCAGATATGATAGAAAGAGATGGATGAATCTCGTTGATAGAGACGCTAGAGTAAATTTGAGGACGAATACACTCGATATATGGGTTTCGGCGGCAACCACTGCTGCTTCGCGTGAGTACCACCAGCAGCCGTGGTGAGTTCTCTGTATGTCTTCTGTCTGGTAGTGATAGGGAGGACGAGAGTTGATAGTCGCCAGGGTGCAAAATATTTGGTAGCCAATTTAAGGTGCTGACAAGCCACTCCCTTGATCTTGATCCGTTGAGGCCCACAAACGAGGCCCTGAGATGATTGTGGCTTGGCTGACTCTGTTGCAATAAGCCGAGGAATGTAATTGTAGAGACTCCTTGGATGGTGAGTATCAAGGTAGGAATGAAATATGGTAAAAGTCCTCAACCCCCATCTCCCGCCGGTTCCTCTCTAGGTATGCCAGTTCATATCAAGAGCAGCCGCTCCAGACTGTCGGATCGTCATTAGGATCCTGAGCTCTAGCTCTTTGCTTCTTCAGCCGCCCACTCTTCTTCAGTAAAGTGATAATACTGAGAAAGACCGGTGAAAACTGCCCAGACCTCTGTAGTGAGAAGAAGGTGGAAAAACTCAGTCCCCAGATAGTTCATGGCCGATGTCCAGGTGAAGCCACTGAGAAGGTTTGTTTCCAATATGTCGTCCAAAGGTAGGCCATTTCTCACGCAGAAAGCCCGCGCCACCAGTCGTAGAGCGGTCGCATCATACGGCGTCATCAATAACCGTGTCATGGAGTTGGCAAGCATGTGCGATGCCAGCAGCGCGGGAATCTGGGTGAGCAGTGTATCCAAATATGTGGGCTGGAAAGTGGTAGATCCTCTTGAGTCTGTATTGGCAACACTTGGCCGTAGCTCTGCACTCCAGAGCCCCTGAGGGGCATCCGTAGACTCGGTCGCCTCCACGTCAAAGCTGATAAGGGTGGCCCTTATTACATCATTGTCCTCTTCATCGCTGTCGAAATCATCGCCTCTGGCTGAGAATATGCTCGGCCTACGGGCAACCTCCACGCCACCCGTATCGCTTGGCAACTGGCCATCCACAGGCGCGACCGGCGACCCTCCCTCATTGCTGTGAATCTCACTAGGAGCTTCGTTCATGAAAGACTGTGACATTGACGGCGGAGCTTGCGGTATCGTCTTGCCTCGGAAGACCGTGCTGGGGAGGCGCTTGAAGGTCTCGGCCCATATATGCGGCTTCCAATCGCGAACCATTCGTTGGGTCACGACGAAAACAATGAATGGGGCATTGCAGATGAGAAGACCACCCATCCATTGCAGAATGGATGATATCCCAAAACTCTCGAGCGGTGGCGGAGCAACAATTGGCGACTGTTCAGTGAAAGGGATGAAGTAGGAGGGGCTGGGCAGCCATTGGCTGCTTGGTATCAACCCAAGTCTCTGGAGAGATATGTGTAGTTCCAGATGAATCCGTATGTATGACCAGATTTCGTGGATACTAAGACGACGAGTCAGCACATTAGCAAGAATGGCGATGTTGAACATAATGCGGGTCCTCACCAACGCCTGGCAGTCAGTTTTTCTTGTTCACCAAGCCATAATCGGGCAACCGAGAACTCGATGTAATTCGACAGCAGGTTTGCGGGGGCTCCAGGAAGGATATCTCTGGATACAGAGAAGTCCCGTCGTGCCTGCTGATAGAGATCCCAGAAGGGAATCTTGGAGTATCGCTTATAGATCTAAGAAGATGTGGTTAGCATGACGATGCAACGTTCATTGCTTGGAGAGAGCGCCTCACCAGGATCCGGTCTCTCAGGCCATTGACACCAAAGATTCCAACGGCCTCCACACAGCGCTTAGCTGATGATGCCAGCTTCAACCCGATCGACTCCTCATAGGCCCCATGTCGCCTCTGCGAGTCAACTTCCGGGCCGGGGTTCTCAGGTTCAGCGATTCCGATGATGAACATGACCTGGTTGTGCGACCTGATGATATCCCTGTTGATCCTCACAGTATCGGGATTGATGGGACGCCCACCATGGTCATACTGCTGCCTCGGCATCCGCGTATCTTCCTCGCCTTCTCCCTGGACTACATCGTCATATGGCGAACGGCCCTAAATGCGTCAGCACCCAGTGGTTACCCATAAGGCAGGGTCGGGATGTCAACTCATACCAGGGCTTGAGCCACGAGCGGGCCTTGCATCCCCATGGTGAGTGGTTCTAGAAGCGTAAAAGCCTCTCAGCATTTCAATTCACTCAGACATGATCCACAGATGCTCAAGCCGCACGTAAAGCGGATATAGAGAGGGATACTTTGTCTACTGCAGGATGATGACAGTTTTATGATGCCCCGGATGCTCTCCCGATCTACATCAGCGTATCGTAACGCCGTCAGGAGCTCGCGGGTGGTTGAAGTGGAAGTACAGTACTAGGCAGTCGGTTAAAGAGCGGCGAAAAGGCGCGACCAATCAACTCTGTCCGGCATCGTCCTTGCATTAGCCCGGCTCTTATCTTATCGGAGCATCAAAAAATAATTCCCAGACAGGCGCATGCGCTTCCCGATTCCTCTTCACAGCCGGCCAAGTTCACCACCATGGCAACCAAACAGCCCTTGAAGACGACGTTTGACGTCGAGCGCGTCATCCGTCCAATCTATACCGGAGGCTCTGTTGCCATTGACAACAAAGCGCAGATTCTGGCAACAACACTGGGCGAGGATGCAATTCTCACAAACCCCACCAATGGAAAGCATCTGGCGCAAATTGAGGGCGTAAGTGATGGCATGTACGAGTACAGCTTGGGATGAAAAGCTAACCTTTACGACAGGACGGGGAGTCAATCTCGACACTGACACGTTTGTGACCCCCTTCACCATGTGTCGACAATTGAGACTAACCATCTGTCCAGTAACGCCGTCCGGTTCCCATCTTATCGTTTGCTCCCGATCACTGTCCATGAGAATTTTCATCCTCAAATGGTCCTCAGAGGGCGATTCGATCGAAGCATCCCTGGTGCGCACACTGAAGCCCCATACGACTCCAGTCATTGTCTTGGCCGTTGATCGAACGGGCACGCTTCTGGCTACAGGAGGTACCGATGGCGTGATCAAGGTCTGGGACATTGCCGGCGGCTATGTCACACACACGTTCCGCGGCCCTTCGGTGTTGGTTTCTGCGCTGCGCTTCTTCGAAGTTGCAGCACGAGCAGCAGCACCCAACCGGAAGGCCAAGGGTGGGAAGAAGCAGTCCGGTGCGGCAGACGAGGAGGACGAGGACGAAACAGACGCCGTTACCACTACCAACTTCCGATTGGCGTCCGGTAGCCAGGATGGAAAAGTGCGGATCTGGGACTTGAACAAGCGAAGCTGCATTGCCAACTTGGATTCCCACGTGTCTGACGTCCAAGCGATCGATTACTCTCCAGCCCAGCACGCTCTCGTCACAGCCAGCCGGGACAAGACTCTGATTTGGTGGGATACGAAATCGTGGAAAATCCGAAAAGTCGTTCCATGTCTCGAACTCGTGGAAACCGCGGGCTTTGTGGACGATGGAAACCTCACATTCTCCGCCGGAGCAAATGGATGCTTGCGCATCTGGGATACCGATAAGGGGGCCGAGCTGACGCCGAAGCAATCTGCTAAGAGCGAGGAGGAAGGAATTGTTGCCGGCATTTACCGACCGGAGCTCCCCTTCATCCTCTTGGTGCAGGTTGACCACACACTGGCTTTGTACGAGCTGCCGTCAAAGGCCACCACAACAGCCTTCACCGCGCCGGAGCCCTTCCGCCGGATATCTGGTACCCATGACGAGATCATCGACTTGGCCTATCTTCTGCCTGACCACTCATTGCTTGCCCTGGCCACCAACTCGGAGGACATCCGTTTGGTGTCTGTGGTAGAGTCCAACAAGGAAGCTCAGGAGGTGTCATGGACAAAGTCAGAGACTCCATTCTTTGGCCAAGATGTGGCCCTTCTACGAGGACACGAGGACATTATCATTGCCCTGGATGTTGACTGGTCCGGCCACTGGGTTGCTACGGGAGCCAAAGACAATACTGCAAAGTTATGGAGGATTGATCCTGCCAACAATAGCCATGTCTGCTGGGCTACTTTCTCAGGCCATGCGGAATCTGTGGGCGCCGTGGCCTTACCACGTACTGTTCCGCCCGAAGGATCAGCAGCACGAACGGACCCTCTCAATCATCCTCCCCCTTTCCTCTTGACGGGATCACAGGATCAAACGATCAAGAAGTGGGAGATTTCGAAAACGCCCCAGCAACAAGGACAGAAGTCGAACGCCAGATCTGTCTTTACGAGAAAAGCCCACGACAAAGACATCAACGCAATTGACGTACACCATGCGGGCCAGCTTTTCGCGTCTGCTTCACAAGACAAGACAGTCAAGGTGTGGTCCGTGGAGGAGGGAGAAGTCCAGGGCATTCTGCGTGGTCACAAGCGAGGAGTGTGGACTGTGCAGTTTTCACCGGCTCAGATGCCAGCTTTGCAAGGTGAAGACGGCCCCGTCACGGGCAAGGGCGTCATCCTGACGGGCAGCGGCGATAAGAGCATCAAGCTCTGGAACCTTTCGGACTACACTTGCATTCGTACGTTTGAGGGCCATTCGAACTCGGTGCTCAAGGTGACTTGGCTCAATATGGCTCCGCGCTCAGAGCAGTCGAAGGGTTTGGTTCAGTTTGCAAGTGCCGGTGGTGACGGACTCGTCAAGATCTGGAATGCAAACTCTGGAGAAGCCGAGTGCACCTTGGACAACCACGAAGATCGAGTCTGGGCCTTGGCTGTGCATCCAAAGACAAACACGGTCGTCTCTGGAAGCGGTGATTCCACCGTCACGTTCTGGAAAGATACCACGTCCGAAACCCAGGCGGCAGCATCTCAGGCCGCATTGGAGCTCATCAAGCAGGAGCAGGAGCTTGAGAATCACATGCACGCAGGATCATACAGGGAGGCCATCACTCTGGCCCTCCAGCTGAACCACCCGGGTCGTCTGCTCGGCCTTTTCACCTCTGTGGTGACGACCAGCAAGCCCGAGCAGGGCAGCTTGTGCGGCATCAAAGCCGTCGATGAGGTGCTGGCGACTCTTTCCGACGACCAGATATACATGCTGCTGCTCAGGCTGCGAGACTGGAACACAAACGCTCGTACGGCCCCGGTGGCGCAGCGTATACTGTGGACGCTGATCAAGAGCTATCCGGCTTCCAAGTTCTCGAGTCTGCCGGTGAAGGGCTCGAGGGGCGAAAAGAGCCTGAAGGATGTGATGCACGGTCTGAAGGTGTACACCGAGAGGCATTACAAGCGCATGGAGGAACTGGTGGACGAAAGCTATCTGGTGGAGTACACGCTGCAGGAGATGGACAGCCTCGCCCCTGCACTCGAAAGCGATGCGGCCATGAAGGAGATGGACACTGTCATGAGTGGTTAAGAGGCTTGACGTGGAGATGTGTGAGAGTACATATTCCCAGAAAGGCGATATAAGGGGCTGTCATAAGATGATGATATTGTAGCGAAATTCTTAGACTTGTAAATGAACGGTAGATATAATCAGTTGATTGGCATTACCATTTCGCTACTCTCTATGGGATCAAGGAAGTAATACATTGATGCCTTTTGCAGACATGTGAAGACCACTGTGGAGGTGAACGCCTACCTGGGAGTTAAACATGGAGTCTAAGCTGCTGTCGTTATTACAGCATATTGCAACGAGCCATGATAGAACCAATTGCTGCATTGAGACCAATAGCTTCAAAGTCAGTTGATCTTTTTCAACTTCAGCTCCTAACCTCCTACGAAACGAGAAGCAACGCCACATAAACCCATGTAATTGCTGTCGATCCGATCGTGCATCATACATAGCTCCAACGAGCCTTACCATGAAGACCGCTAACCTTCAGGCTGCGGGACCCACTGGACATTTTCCATTTCAGCCTCGTCACCGTCAACCTCCTTCAACCTGTTTCTCTCCACATTGATACCCCATTGCTCTTCTCCAACGCCCTAGCCCATCACGATCCTCACTCCTCCTCGAACCCAATGTCCAAACGACAAGCTTCCGAAGCTCTCGACGAGCTCCAGGACGTCGCATCGCCCGCCTCCAAGCGCTCTCGAATGGGCGACTTCGACTCGCCTCTCGCAAACAGCCACGACGATGCGCAGAGCCTCGACCAGGACGCAGACGCAGATGCGCGAAAACAAGAGCGCACGGAAGATGCACGAAGGGATGACGACGATGACGACGACGACGAAGATCTCGACAACGAGCCCATGGCGGCGCCCGTCCGACAATCAGGCCCGGCGGACGGATACGACGACCTCTACCTCGACACCATAGACCGCAACGTGCTCGACTTTGACTTTGAAAAGCTCTGCTCCGTCTCCCTCTCCAACATCAACGTCTACGCATGCCTCGTCTGCGGCAAGTACTACCAGGGCCGGGGCGTCAAGTCGCACGCCTACTTCCACTCCCTGGACGAGGACCACCACGTCTTCATCAACCTCGAGACGCAAAAGGTCTACGTCCTGCCCGAGGGCTACGAGGTCAAGAGCAAGTCGCTCGACGACATCAAGTACGTCTCGGACCCGCGGTACACCAAGGAAGAAGTCATCCAGCTGGACCGCCGGCGGCCCAGCGACGCCGTCATCAGCTGGACCCTCGACGGCAAGCCCTACACGCCGGGCTTCGTCGGCATGAACAACATCAAGGACAACGACTACCTCAACGTGGTCGTGCAGGCGCTGTCGCACGTCTCGCCGCTGCGCAACTACTTTTTGCTCGAGGACTTCTCCAACAAGTCGGAGCTCGTCAAGCGCTGCAGCATCCTCTTCCGCAAGATCTGGAACCCGCGCGCCTTCAAGGCGCACGTCTCGCCGCACGAGCTCCTCCAGGAGGTCGCCCTCCAGTCCAACAAGCGCTTCACCCTCACGCGCCAGTCCGACCCCGTCGAGTTCCTCTC